TAGACCACACAAGGCATCAAAAACATGTTGCTCAAGCGAAATACTCATTGTTTCTGTGCACTGGTTGACTGGTTCGAGACTATTCAGGAAATTTTGCATAGCATGAATCCTTCTTTATTAAAATTGCATAAAAGAAAAAGGTTAAATAAAAGTTCTAGACTACACAAGGCATCGGAAACATGTTGCTCAAGCGATATACTCGTGGTTTCTGTGCACTGATTGACTGGTTCGAGACTATTCAGGAACTTTTGCATAGCATGAATCCTTCTTTATTAAAATTGCATAAAAGAAAAAGGTTAAATAAAAGTTCTAGACCACACAAGGCATCGAAAACATATTGCTCAAGCGATATACTCATGGTTTCTGTGCACTGGTCGACTGGTTCGAGACTATTCAGGAAATTTTGCATAGGAGCAATCCTTCTTTATTAAAATTGCATAAAAGAAAAAGGTTAAATAAAAGTTCTAGACTACACAAGGCATCGAAAACATGTTGCTCAAGCGATATACTCGTGGTTTGTGCGCACTGGTCGACTGGTTCGAGACTATTCAGGAAATTTTGCATAGCAGCAATCCTTCTTTATTAAAATTGCATGAAAGAAAAAGGTTAAATAAAAGTTCCAGACCACATAAGGCATCGGAAACATGTTGCTCAAGCGATATACTCGTGGTTTGTGCGCACTGGTCGACTGGTTCGAGACTATTCTGGATATTTTATATAGCAGCAATCCTTCTTTATTAAAAAGGCATGAAAGAAAAAAGTTAAATAAAAGATCCAGAACACTTAATGCATCGAAAACATGTTGCTCAAGCGAAATGCTTACGGTTTCTGTGCACTGGTTGACTGGTTCGAGCCTATTCTGGATATTTTACATAGCAGCAATCCTTCTTTATTAAAATTGCATAAAAGAAAAAGGTTAAATAAAAGTTCTAGACCACACAAGGCATCGAAAGCATGTTGCTCAAGCGATATACTCGTGGTTTCTGTGGACTGGTTGACTGGTTCGAGACTATTCAGGAAATTTTGCATAGGAGCAATCCTTCTTTATTAAAATTGCATAAAAGAAAAAGGTTAAATAAAAGTTCTAGACTACACAAGGCATCGAAAACATGTTGCTCAAGCGATATACTCGTGGTTTGTGCACTGATCGACTGGTTCGAGACTATTCAGGAAATTTTGCATAGCAGCAATCCTTCTTTATTAAAATTGCATGAAAGAAAAAGGTTAAATAAAAGTTCCAGACCACATAAGGCATCGGAAACATGTTGCTCAAGCGATATACTCGTGGTTTGTGTGCACTGGTCGACTGGTTCGAGACTATTCTGGATATTTTATATAGCAGCAATCCTTCTTTATTAAAAAGGCATGAAAGAAAAGGTTAAATAAAAGATCCAGAACACTTAATGCATCGAAAACATGTTGCTCAAGCGAAATGCTTACGGTTTCTGTGCACTGGTTGACTGGTTCGAGCCTATTCTGGATATTTTACATAGCAGCAATCCTTCTTTATTAAAATTGCATAAAAGAAAAAGGTTAAATAAAAGTTCTAGACCACACAAGGCATCGAAAGCATGTTGCTCAAGCGATATACTCATGGTTTCTGTGGACTGGTTGACTGGTTCGAGACTATTCAGGAAATTTTGCATAGCAGCAATTCTTCTTTATTAAAAATGCATGAAACAAAAAGGTTAAATAAAAGTTCCAGAACACTTAATGCATCGAAAACATGTTGCTCAAGTCAAATTCTCATGGTTTCTGTGCACTGATCCATTGGTTCGAGACTATTCTGGATATTTTACATAGCAGCAATCCTTCTTTATTAAAATTGCATAAAAGAAAAAGGTTAAATAAAAGTTCTAGACCACACAAGGCATCGAAAGCATGTTGCTCAAGCGATATACTCATGGTTTCTGTGGACTGGTTGACTGGTTCGAGACTATTCAGGAAATTTTGCATAGCAGCAATTCTTCTTTATTAAAAATGCATGAAAGAAAAAGGTTAAATAAAAGTTCCAGAACACTTAATGCATCGAAAACATGTTGCTCAAGTCAAATTCTCATGGTTTCTGTGCACTGATCCATTGGTTCGAGACTATTCTGGATATTTTACATAGCAGCAATCCTTCTTTATTAAAAATGCATGAAAGAAAAAGGTTAAATAAAAGTTCCAGAACACTTAATGCATCGAAAACATGTTGCTCAAGCGAAATACTCGTGGTTTATGCGCAATGGTTGACTGGTTCGAGACTATTCTGGATATTTTATATAGCAGCAATCCTTCTTTATTAAAATGGCATGAAACAAAAAGGTTAAATAAAAGATCCAGAACACTGAATGCATCGAAAACATGTTGCTCAAGCGAAATACTCGTGGTTTGTGCGCAATGGTCGACTGGTTCGAGACTATTCTGGATATTTTAAATAGCAGCAATCTTTCTTTATTAAAAAGGCATGAAAGAAAAAGGTTAAATAAAAGATCCAGAACATTTAATGCATCGAAAACATGTTGCTCAAGCTAAATGCTTATGGTTTCTGTGCACTGTTCGACTGGTTCGAGACTATTCTGGATATTTTACATAGCAGCAATCCTTCTTTATTAAAAAGGCATGAAAGAAAAAGGTTAAATAAAAGTTCCAGAACACTTAATTCCACGAAAACATGTTGCTCAAGCGAAATACTCGTGGTTTGTGCGCAATGGTCGACTGGTTCGAGACTATTCTGGATATTTTAAATAGCAGCAATCTTTCTTTATTAAAAAGGCATGAAAGAAAAAGGTTAAATAAAAGATCCAGAACATTTAATGCATCGAAAACATGTTGCTCAAGCGAAATGCTTATGGTTTCTGTGCACTGGTCGACTGGTTCGAGACTATTCTGGATAATTTATATAGCAGCAATCCTTCTTTATTAAAAATGCATGAAACAAAAAGGTTAAATAAAAGTTCCAGACCACACAAGGCATGGAAAACATGTTGCTCAAGCGAAATACTCGTGGTTTATGTGCACTGGTCGACTGGTTCGAGACTATTCTAGATAAATTGGATAGCAGCAATCGTTTTTTATTAGAAAGGCATAAAAGTTCCAAATTTGCCTCGAGTAATGAGCATTTAGCTCAAGAGGAATTTTTTCGACAAGAGCAAACTCCTCTGCAGGTATAAAGCGCTTTGCCAAAACGTTTTTATAAAAATTGAAAAATATATTACTAACGGTTTTCATGTCGTTAAAACATGTTTGGCAAATGCCTTCATAGTGACGAAGCACTATAAATACAATGGTTCGCGAGGCTGTTCTTGTTGACATTGCATTCGAAGCAATTCATTTATCCACATGAAGAAACAAGATGAATAAAGGATTCACAGTGTCAAGCATTGTCATGTGGTGAAACAGCACTAAGACACGCACGTTCTTAGTCTATCTTTCACATTTAAAGGCATCTTGATTATTTGATGATAAGTTCGAAAAACAAACGTAGTTCTTCGAACTTATTGAATGAATGGTTAAGCAGACAAGATAATGGTTGCTTTATTTGATAGGACGAATAAATTCCATCGTTTAATGATTTGCATAATACGACAAAACAATGGGAACATACTTCTTTTGTTAAGGAACACGACCTATTGTTTTTACGATTATATCTAATATATATATCCAGTAATTTGTTCAAAACAATCATGTGGAACAAATACATTATGACATACATAGCATCATGCATAAGATGTTATTCACTTAAAGCTTTGGGCAGTTATGAACTATGAGGTGCCATGGTAAATACTTGTCGTTTATACAAAGTAGAACAAGACTACACAAAGCAAACAAGTGTTAAGTATTTAAAAGATTTGTGGTTGTGCAAAGCAAATGAAATTTGGTGGTTTAACCAGAGTGGAAGTTGAGTATTGTTTACTTTTTCTTTATTACGAGAAGATTTCTCCAAATTGACCAATAAAATATGGGATTTGTTTGACTTAACAGGGAGCAAGCAGGGCAATATTTTTGAGTTTGATTAACCTGAGTAATTAACTATAAAATGTTTTATCAAAATCCGAGAGAAATAAATTTATTGTGAGTCAGTGTAAGCGTTAGATAAGTTTGAGTTATTGGGGTTCAAGTCAGAGATGAAGAAGATTTAGGTGATGAATTATTCTTGGTGTGAAAATTATCTCGTGCCCGCCATTATTAGCCATACATGTAAACATTTGTTACCCTCTTGAAATAATGCATGTTTTTTATACTTTTTCTAACTTTTTCCAATTTTCTAGCATTTTCAAAAAGTTACGCAATATTCTAGTTTCCGAGGGAAATTATGGATAAACACGCAAGAGGGAGTTTTTTAAAGCAAGTCCAAAGGAAGAGTTTGAGCCGTTAAAAATGAGCCTTGAATTGAATTTTTTACCATAATTTCAGTAGAAACTATATACTAATACTTGGTAATAATATTCTTCGACATATTTCGCAGAACGCTATCTTGCTCTGGCCGAGACTGTTTCGCTTCGTAATTCAAGAATTAGTCTTTCTCTATCGCTTCAGAAAAGCCTGGTTGCGTGTCCCAACTATTATAAACATTCGCCAAAAAAACATTACCTGCTTTTGTGCTTTATTCTTTGCATTGTTCTGTAATTCTCGAACTTCACACCATTGAAATTGTGGAAGTCGTTTTGCTTACAAATGCCGCCATGTTTCTTGTTGAATTGAAAAATTGAAAAAAGCGCTTGTTTGACTTTCAGTCTTTTCAGCCAATCAGGTTACAGTATTTACAGATAATCTTCAGCTACTTGCAGCAACTGAAATTACACTTTTTTCACTGCAATTTAAATAAGATAAACTGCATTGCAATCAACAGCCAAGAAATATCTCAAAATCTATTAATATAAGTACACAAACAATGATATATTATTATACTTTTTCATAAAAGGACTTGCACTACATACAAAACATGGTTTCAATCTTTCCCCTCATTATCAAGTATGTCCCCCTCACACGATGGTCTCAATTACTACTGTAACTACATCTTATGAACAACATGGCGAATCCGACTTCTCAGTTGTTGCCGTTGGGTAAGTATTGTTTAGACAGTTTCTTTTTAAAGTGATCTTTGTTATTTGGCTTGTTTTTCATTCTTTGCTAAATTTGATGTGATGTCCGTGCATGATCACTTGAAAGACTCGATAAGGTTGATAGTTGATAATCCGACTTTACTATAAACATGTGAATTGACAGAATTGTTATATTTCATGGATTAGAGCTGATCGACAAATGCGTTGGATCCAAAATTCACATTATAATGAAGAGCGATAAAGAGATTGTGGGAATTCTTCTTGGCTTTGATGATTTCGTCAGTATCCTTCCTAGCCAAAAAGTAACACGTGCTGTCAATTGTCAAGCAAATGTAACCCAAATTGGCGTAAATTAACTTAATTAGTTGATTAGTAACAATAATTGATTATTGCAGAAGATGAAACAATGCGAAATTGATCATAAAAAGTCATAGACTGTCAATATTGCTTACTTTAAATTGATAGTTTTTTATTATTTCAAACAATTGCAGATATTGAACTTTGGATATCTTTTGTGCGATATAAAATAATAATACAACCTTAACAGCGATCTCAAGATATGGTACTGGAGGACGTAACAGAATTGTAAGGGAAAGTTATAAAAATACTTTACAACTCACTTTTGTTGTGACTTTGAAAAACTTTATTTCAGTGAGAACACGAGCGAAGGTCGCAGAGTTACAAAGTTGGATCAGATCTTGCTAAATGGAAACAACATTACTATGGTGAATAAATTGCCTTTCGTTGCAAATTTAATTTATGTCAAATTATTCTTTTACACATGTATTTTATTTTACAGCTCATACCCGGAGGAGAGTATCTTTTAGATCTTTGTAATTTTTCAATAGTTCTTACATTTTTTTGTCCATGTGCAGACTTTGAAGTCTGTAAATTGTATGATGTTGGTTTGGTGATGGTTAGTGCAGATATTTCTTTCACATTTGCCTTATTATCCTTAATGTGTTCAACAGAGGACCAGATATGATGTAATTTTACACTCAAGCCTGATGGACTTTGTAATAAATATGTTTGTTTGTTAATTTATTCTTAGTATTTGTGAAAAAATACATACTTAACTGGTGTAATGCTATAAAATGTTGGATTTTTTTGATATATATTTAGTTATTTCTGTTATTTTATGACACTGATAATACATGGACAATGATAAGGACTCTTTTCAGTTTTTAATTTGTAATATATATTTCATTTGGTTTATCAAATTCATAATGAATTATGTCTAAATGTCAACATCAAAAATTTCTTCAAGGGCTATCTTTGTGGTTCTTCAACCATGATTTATATCATATGTATTGCAGTAGAAGTCTTCTTAAAGAAAAGCTGGCATTGTATAGAACATCTGCTTCATCGTGTTGCAAGTAAAGAAAATCATGATTTCATAAGATAATTTCATTCTTGAAGCTTGATGAAATTTCCTTGTAAGGTAGAACGATGGAGTTTCGGATCACAAGCTCAGGATTGATTGTGACATTGCGACCTAGTAATCAGAAGTGTTATCTAATGATGTTAAACTATAGTCAAGAGATGATCAACTAGCAAATTGACTTTTTTACCAAGGACTGTGGTGGATGCGATCAAGCGTCCATCTTTTTGAAACAAGGATTCGCTTGCCAAACGAGCATGTGGTTCATTGGGATTGGGTTCAAATTTGGTGCCTTCAATCCTGGACCATGCACCAATCACACAATTCCAGCCAACTATACTGTACAAAATACAGCAATGTTCCTAGAAAGTCAAGTTCAGTAAGTTTATAGTAAAACGATTGATATAGTTGCTGGCAACTTTAGATGATGTGGAAGACCTATGATTGTATTATTTTAATTGCAAGTTTCAAATAGCTTAGCTGTAATTTGATAGCTCTCTGTTGATCAATTTATGCAAATCAAATTGGACTGTTTCTGACTCTGATCTATGTATGTTATATAAATTAAAAACAGATTTTTGTGCTGCTTTTGTGATTGTAAGATAATTTTCTGAAAGGAATCATCTCCTTTTGATTTCTATTACCCTGATTTCTGCTTTATCCAAAATGATAGCATCTTTAATTCTAGTACCAGGCCCAATAATTACCCCACTGCCTATTGATACATTTGGTCCAATCTGAAATGAAGTATTTCACTCTCATAAATATTTTCACGTGCAAGGAGAAGTTCGAAGTTTGAATATGTGGGAAAATCAATACATACGACAGCTGAATGATCAATAGTTGCTGTGGAATGGATGTAAACATCTCCTGAAATAATGAAAAATACTTTGGATCGTATTTATCAGATTACTGTGTTGAAATAACTCGACAGATACGACGATAGATATCTTATGTATGGTAAAAGTTCGTACAACTTATACGAGTTACGACCTACCTATTATTGTTGGTTTGTTTTCATCATTTGAGGTGAGACGTTTAGGATGTGCTGTTTTATACAAATCTAAGAAGTTTTTGTTCGCGAATATTGCTGACCTATATTTGATGCAGGTCATTTAGATTATATTCTACAGTCTTCATTTTGTTGGTGTACTGATTTTGTGCATTTCATACCCTGCACTCTTCAACACTGTCCAGAAGTTGTCCGTTTTGAAAACATACACGAGAGATTGTCCTGCTAGATATGGCATCAATTGCTCGCCCATCATGATTCTGCCAACATTGTTTGTATTCACTTGTTCGCTAGTAGGTTAAATAATTTGTTATTTGTAAAGCTTTTGCATCAAATTAACTGGTTATTTGCTGAAACCTACCTAGATTGTTCAACATTTCTTTCTCTTAAGGCTTTCAGTGCATTGAATATTGTTGGGGAAAAAATGTAAGCTCCACAGTTAATTAAACTGCTCACATAAGTCTCTGGCTTCTCCACATAATGTAGTAACTGCACAATTGGTAAACATGAGTTTAACTAAAATGCTTTTCATGGAAGTCGTGGTTAATTTGAATTAACATTTTAAGACATGGTTTTAAGTTTGTTTTAGTAATTTGACAGTGGTCTTTGACAGTTTTCAAAGTTAAAAACTAACCTTTGAAAGTCAAGTTCAAGTGCTGAAGTGTGCTGTACTATATTCAAAATATGCTGTTTCGTTGTAAAACTTAGAGTCATGTAAACTTGCTGCTACAGTAGCGTTTTTGGTCTTATTTGTGTGACATTAGATGCCATAATGAACATGTCCTCTTTGTGTTTACAATATTGAACACAGCTAATGTACAACAAACAAGAAAGTCATGAATTAAAACAACAATAATTAGAAAGATGTCCACCTACTTGATGAGTTTTTGGGTCCTCAACCATAACACCATTATCGGAAGCTTGATTTGGGGCAGACTTTAACAGGAAAAAAACCCAATTAAAATACATCAAAATGTTGACAGACCATAATAAAACTGTTTGACTGTACATTGCATAGATAAATTGTCATTTGACATACGTCATATTGTCTGCTTGTATCATTTCATTGCCAAATACCTCTGTTCCCAAGACTGTGTGTTTGCCATGATTGTGTGCTTTGTGGAATTCCCACATTTCTTTAAGTGGAAAGTCCGAGCTTATGTCAGCATAAAGGACAATAAGCGCATCAGGATTTCCAAGCATGATTTGGTCTCGAAAATGATATAGACCACCAACTGTTCCCAAGGGTTGGAATTCTTGTAAATAGCTAGAAAATGTAGCGTAAACTTGTGTTGAGAGCCCTTTGCATTCTTGGAAATCATTATAATCACCTAAAATCCTTACCGGACAGGTATTTTGTATTCTTGTTGCATGGATGCAATAAACCTTGACAATGACTCGTTTTGTTGGTAATAGCCAATCAAGATGATCTCTTTCATGTTGGGTACCTTGTGTAAATGAGATATTTTTAGGAAACTGTTGAAAATTTATCAGTTTTTGAAAAGAGATAATTATGCTGAGATATATACGTGTTGTACCTTGCAGCATGCCTCCATGTGGTGTTGAATTAGAGGACAGCCTGCTATAGGGAATAATGGTTTGGGCAACTCGAGCGACAACGGTCGAAATCTTGTTCCTATGAAAACAATTGAATCGTTTACAAAACAGAACGTAGCCTATGATTGCAAAATACACGCTGGCAATATAAATATTACATCAGTATTTAAAAATAAGATGAAAAAAACATGCACAGCATATTTCTATTGAATGGTCATAGGGTCTTCAACCAGTTGACCTGTACTTTGAACAATTTAGACTTAAGTTCAGTGATCGAGCACTGTTTACATAAGTTAAAACAGCTAAATTAAATTAAATGTAGATATGATTAAAACAGCTAAGTTTACCTTTTTGCGGTCCACCAATTAGAATAACCGTTTTTAGCTCCATCTCTTGACAATTTCTATAGCTTTTCCAGCTCGAAACAACTGGAATAATTTTCAATTTCAATGTTGTTTTGTCTAGTTGGCAAGCCTTTTGTTGACACGTCCCCAAAACACAGTTGCGCAATCAAAAAATCCGAGTATTTACGAAGACGGTCCGAGACATCACGAAGGTAAATATGTGCTTATTTTTATAAGTGTTTAGCACGCATATTTCGTGAAATTTTAAAGTTCGAATGAGCCGTGACATCAGTTCGAATGTGCACGTGCGTTCATTGATTTTCCGTGTCCTTTTTAGGTCATGTAGCCGGTTGAACGTCGTTAAAGTAATTGCACAAAGTCTTCTTGCATATTTTTGGTGCATTACTATGCTAAATTGCCTAATTTCTTAGGACGTTTTGTGTCTCACTGTAGCATTATACTTGAAATTTTACAAATATTTTCTCTTAATCGACAATACCCTAAAATAAGAGGTTGCTATTTAAAAATGTCGCAGTTGGAAACGCACGCTATCTTGATCTATACCAGAAAGAGTATGAATATAGGCAAAAGCCACTTGATATCAAGAACATTTTTTTTTGTTTTGTAATGGTTACTGGCGAAGTAATTTTTACTTAGCTATAGATGTATTCCCATGCAGCAGCCCAACATCATAATAATTCAATATCATCGTATACCTGGTTGTCAATTGAACCCTTTTTAGTTTTCTCACAGTCGTTGTAATTTAGCTTCTCGGGACAGCGTAGGATCTTCGTCAAGCGGTGTGTATTTTGCCGTATCTTTTATTATTTGAAGACAATTTGAAGACAGAAAAATTCACACCGCCTGTTAAAGATCCTACGCTATCTCGAGAAGCTAAATTACGACGAGTGATAAGAAAACCAAGAAAGAAGGGTTCAATTGACAACCAAGTATACTATGATATTTTCCCGAAAATTCAATACCAATTAGAACGGGTACTTCAGCGTCAAATTGCCACACATTAAAATTGATATTGTTGCAATTGTTTACCGAAAAAACGTGAGAAATTTGGAAGTATGTTGTCGAATTTCATCCTAGAAATTTTGCCATAAAAACGACGAAGCATTACCGATTATTACAATAGAATTACACGCGACAATCTTGAACATTTAACACGACAAAGGTGTAAAGTAATACCTCGCGCACTTCCAAATTAATTCAATATTTGATCTCTGTCTTACAGGATTGGACAACGCGATTACGGTATACATAGGAGACCACAGCTCAAGGGCTGCATGTCATTATTCTGTTAATTGGTCCACTGCTTGATGACATCGTGAATTGACAGGCATTCCCGAGACAAGGCGTTTGGGCTCAAGTCCAGCCGTATCAAGTATTCTTCGCATAAGTGTATAAGATCTGCCACAGGGATTAAAGGCCTGTTCATTCACATTAGTTCTACTTTTCAAGTCATTCTTTGTCGTATGGTTTGGCTGTGGTTTTGTTGTGCTCGCTAATCGTTATTCGAAGTCGACTGCGGGTCCTTGGTGTGTGTGCGTGTGTGCGTTACATTAGAATTTACTTTCTAAATTTGAAGTGAAACAGCACGTACAATTCTCTTCAATTCTTGACTCGTCAGGAACCACGGTAATTCTACGGATAATTGGGTGCCGTTTAAGTTCTACATCTAGCATTTTCACAGCAAAGTTCATTATTTTTGCCGTCTGGCCACTGACAAGACTTTGGATTTCGGTTTCTAAAGAAGAAGTTGGGCAAGGAGATAATTTCAACTTTCCGTATCAGTCATCAGTGTTATCGGGGTGATATTAAACGAAGCCATAAAGATGCTGAATGGGCAAGATCCTTCCAGAGGTAATGATGAATCGAATGAGGAACAAGGCAGTAGTAGTAGAACATCCAGAGTAACTACCCAGAGGAAAGAGTCGAAAGCTAGCGGCACTAGAGCACCCAAGACCCGTTCCACTGCGGCCAAAAGGTACTGTCGACGGTGTCTGGCATTTCTAATATGGCTTCGAGAAACATGAACGTCATTTGCTAAAAGATTAAGGCATTGGTGTTCTAGATTTGTGTTTATATTGAACGCAAGAAGAGCTTATGTTAAAGTTTAATCACACAAAGCTCTTGCAGTTGGTTCGAATGACGCCCTCATTTGCATCTTAACTTTGAACTCTTAACACACATAAGCTGGTTCAGGAAACGATACCATTTTAACACAGCTACATAGAGCTTTCCGTTCTCTTTCAAATGAAGGTTTTTTGAAGCTCTTGCGCCTTCGGAGAGTAGAGAAAAGCGAGTGAATAGTTAAGCCATTAGACCGCGGTCGCCATTGTGTTTAAAGTAAACTCTGCATGCACATGTCATGTCCATTGAATTTAAACAGTTCAACTTGTCGTCTATTAGCGTTGATATGCATAACATATTTCCTAAAGTTTTTTCACATCTTTTAATCTAGAATTCAAAGGGAATTGGCTGATATCACTTTAGATCCTCCACCAAATTGCAGGTTAGTGTATATTCACTGAAATATATAGGCTCCATATTCATAGGAAAGTGTTACTTTAATAAATTATTTCAGCCTCAATACCCGGAACAATAAAATGCCCGACAGCTTCAAGTATTGCATACCAGCTCACGATATTTCGTCCCGACAAACTGTTCATTTTCTTTTGGTGGTGAATACCTTTATAATTTGGATGTGTGTGGTATATAAATGAACATCAAAAGGCTTGATATAGTACTCACACAGGTCAATTGTGTGGCAAGGACGTAAGGTTTTGGTCATTTCTCCGAGTATCTCATAAGCGATGATATGTCATATTAAATACACGCATCTTTTCTAACCTGCTTTCAAAATGAACTGACATGGAGGAAAGTCCTATTGCTATAGGCAAAACGCTACAATCATTCTTAGAGAAAGCTGCGAAAAGTCGGCTTTCATCAAATTTGGTTTTTGCGACAAACTTGTCTTTAGCCCTGGGCATTTACTGAAAGAACGCATTTCATAAAGCGTTGTATATTCGCACCGAGAATTGGGTTTAGTAGATTTTCTCGTTTTTTTATGCACTTAGAGTAACGCCACAAATAATAGTAAAAGTTTCGAAGCTCTGGCGGAGAGGCTTTGAATTTCATACAAAAGGAGACCAAAATACGGATTATTGTCGAATTACTGTGAATATATTCTGTGTTTATTCGAGAAATCTATGGCAGTTTGTATGATTAGGATGCTCGATGGGAAGGATACAATTCCTACTACGTTCATTTCTCTTTATAATGTCTGAGTGTGTTTGTTCTCAGAGTCTGATAAGGCATTTGCACATAATCACTTTAGAATACAATTACACGAACGGTTTTTAACACACAATTTTCCCTATAATGATCGAGGGATCACGTACGCGCCATATAAGTTTTTTCTGTACGATAGACAAATTGGACTGTCGTGGTTTAATAAGACGGCAGCGTTTATATCATTAAATGCTTAAGCCCGTTTTTGTCATTGAGTGTCAATATAAAATATCATTTCATCTATTTATGAGCTATCTCGTTGTATAGCTCAACTTTTTAACAAGAGTTGTGTATTTATAAAATTATAAATTTATTATATTATAGCCTTTGTTTGATTAAACTGACTGGAGTTTTTTTTTCTTATAAACGTCTTCATTTGACGCAACGTCGAAACTAAGTGACAGGAAAACAAAACGTTTATCGAAATGGTTTGGCTCAGGGCAAGCATCGGGACAACATATTCTTCTTTTATTGAGATTAGCGGGCCCAAATTCAATCTGCCTACGAATTTTGAAATGTGCAGGTTGCTCTGTACATTTCAAAATATATAAATCTGTTAGAAATTTTCCTATTCTTTTTTATCAATTTTAGTGCAGCGCCGAAGGGAGACAATATTTACGAATGGGTATCTACAATCATGGGTCCTCCTGGATCAGTCTACGAACGTGGAGTTTTTTTCCTCGATATACACTTTCCTCCAGATTATCCGTACAAACCACCTAAGGTATACATAAAGCTTTCTTTTATATCATTTGCGTGTTTGATAACAAAACGAAACAATTCTAAGGTTTTGAAGCAAATGTGTTTGTGAACTAACTGCGTTTACTGCTTTTCAAAAGCTGTTAAATATGTTATGGAAACATGTTTAAGGCATAATCTCATGGTGTATTAAAATGGCATAAGTTCTATATTTTACATAAAATGTCTTTTGTATGTCTTGCTTGACGTGCACAAGTTTTTTGAACAATATATCGTTACTTTGTCACTTTATCAGAGATGAAATACTTTATTACTTGCGCTGAACACTTGGTCAATTTCACATACCCTGTTGTTAGTAAATGTTGCAGCCAACGACGGTCATCGATTTCTGCTTCGATTTATGTCGCTCGCACTTATAAAAACGATCAAAGCGTATTCTTCAATTTGAAGAGTTGAATAACTTCAGTTACTCCGTGCCCTTTATTCCTTATGCCCTAAAGTTTAAGATTTGCGCGACTTTTCCCAAATGCTGATTGATGTTGACCTCTCATGAAAGATCATCATTCATCAGTGCTCTTAATCGCTTTTAATTTTCTAAAAAAACAATTCTTATAAATACAAATGTTTTTGGACACTTCATTGCCTTGCCTTTGTGAGAAAATTACCGTTCATGTCTTAAGCGGTTTGTTTTGCCGCACATGAGATGATGAGGCCAAGTATGATATACGGCCAATATTCGAGAGTAACTTCGAATTGCCTTAGTGTTTATCCTCCGTGACATTTTGACCTCCTGTCAAGCTTGGGTAAGCTCATGCTGTTTTCTTACATCTACATTCGGACGATGTTATTCGGGTTTCGGGAAACAACAGCCTTCGAAAAAAGCGCGTTCTTATATAGATACAAATCTTGTAAAGTGTGACCTCATTGCTGTTGTTTCTACTTGTATTTCTATTATTGTCGTGCAACATAAAACAGCATTTTATTATCTTTTCATCAACGCAACTCCATCGAACAGGCACGCGTACCTTAGATTCACCAGTAAATGACGGCTATATTCTAAGTCCTTTAGCATTGCTATATTTAATGCTGACAAAAGCGTCAATTGAATGCTTTTCATTAAAATTCCATTATTTGCTCATTTCAGGTGACTTTTCGCACAAGAATCTACCATTGTAATATCAACAGCCAGGTATATAATTCGCGAGTGTTTTGTTTAGCTAAAAGATTGAAAATGAGTTTTCCTATGATTTTTTTGATCCTTTTATTGATAAGCTTTTAACCGTTCATTAGCTATCAAAAATCATTACGTTGAACCGAGTACATACGACCTTTGCCTTAGAACCACACTTTGTTTTATAAGTGAAGGACTTTCTAAAATTTTCTTACAGGGCCAAATATGCTTGGATATTTTTAAAGATAGTTGGAGTCCAGCGTTGACAATTTCTAAAGTACTGCTCTCTATATGCTCTTTGCTGACTGATTGCAATCCAGGTATTTTCTGGGTGCAAGTTTTTTGACCCAATATGTTGCACTAGTAAGTCATAGAACACTTTCATTATGTTGTAATTTACATGAAGTGCACACACTTCCATTCTTCAAATATGCCCGACAAGATTCTTCATTTTACTAGTGACAGAACTCTTCATCTTGCTAGTGACAGAACTCTTCATTCTGCTAGTGACAGAACTCTTCATCTTGCTTGTGACTGAACTCTTCATCTTTCTAGTGACAGAACTCTTCATTCTACTAGTGACAGAACTCTTCATTCTGCTAGTGACAGAACTCTTCATCTTGCTAGTGACAGAACTCTTCATCTTGCTAGTGACAGAACTCTTCATCTTGCTAGTGACTGAACTCTTCATCTTGCTAGTGACTGAACTCTTCATCTTGCTAGTGACTGAACTCTTCATTCTGCTAGTGAGAGAACTCTTCATCTTTTTAGTGACAGAACTCTTCATCTTGCTACTGACAGAACTCTTCATTCTGCTACTGACAGAACTCTTCATCTTGCTACTGACAGAACTCTTCATCTTGCTAGTGACAGAACTCTTCATCTAGCTAGTGACTGAACTCTTCATCTTGCTAGTGACTGAACTCTTCATCTTTTTAGTGACAGAACTTTTCATCTTGCTAGTGACTGAACTCTTCATTCTGCTAGTGACAGAACTCTTCATCTTTTTAGTGACAGAACTCTTCATCTTTTTAGTGACAAAACTCTTCATCTTTTTAGTGACTGAACTCTTCATCTTTTTAGTGACAGAACTCTTCATCTTGCTAGTGACAGAACTCTTCATGTTGCTAGTGACAGAACTCTTCATTCTGCTAGTGACAGAACTCTTCATCTTGCTGTGACAGAAATCTTCATCTTGCTAGTGACTGAACTCTTCATCTTGCTAGTGACAGAACTCTTCATTCTAGTGACAGAACTCTTGATCTTGCTAGTGACAGAACTCTTCATCTTGCTAGTGACAGAACTCTTCATCTTTCTAGTGAAAGAACTCTTCATCTTGCTAGTGACAGAAATCTTCATCTTGCTAGTGACAGAACTCTTCATCTTGCTAGTGACAGAAATCTTCATCTTGCTAGTGACAGAACTCTTCATTCTGCTGGTGACTGAACTCTTCATTCTGTTAGTGACAGAACTCTTCATTCTGTTAATGACACGACTTTTCATCCAGCTAGGTCTTTTCCTCCTGCTTGGGAGAAGTCACTGCGATTATGAAGAGAGTAAATGGGTTTGGTCTTTATTTTTAGACGATCCTCTCGTTGGTAGCATTGCTACCCAATACCAAACGAATCGTGCCGAACACGACAGAATCGCTAAGGAATGGACGCAAAGATACGCCACATAATTTGCGGAGGATATGCATTTGACGATCTGACTTTATTGAAGTCACAAATGCATTTCTTGATTTCCTATATGCTGGTACAGCATATCGACATTTGTACATAAAAGACATCGTATGTTTTTGTTTCTAGTGTTCAAAGCTTGTGAAATTTCTCATCACTTTTAGCAAACTGTGAGCGTTTTCGTATATTGTAAATTTTTGACCAGACTCCTAGAATTATTTTGTAGAGTGATATTTTTCACTGTCTTTTCAAATTGTAGTTATTGTACGTAGTTTGGAAGGGAAATAATAATGAATCTTTATTGATATGGTGCTCCATGCGGGATAATAATATACAATGAACATGAAATTAGGATAAGAGAGATAATGATGGATCAAACCGTCCCTGCTTTCCTATTTTCCTAAAAACACGTGTGCCAACGGTTTATTTGCACTGTAGTATTCCTCCGTTTTCAGTAAATCAAGTGCATATTTTTTAAGAAAGAAATATTTTAAGTCGCCAAAGTTAAGATTTGACAATGACCGATCGAGCTAGCGATTCAGAAGGAGAAGAACCTACAATTTCGGAAGATGTTGTCGTCACAAAGTATAAAATGGCGGGCGATATGGCCAATCGTAAGTACAACATATCGTGATCATTTCATTATCCTCTGCGTTCACTTGTCATGTTTTAAAGTTCCTCTTCGCATCAAGAATGTGCACCTTATTTACTCAAACAATCTCTGTCACTTTTGAATGACGTGTTTTAATCACTGAATAATCACCAGTACATTCTTTGTGTGGATGGCTTGATCATGATTCATGAATACATGCAGTCAAAAACCGTCACACACCAATAATGGCCATTATAAACACATTTATACATTTGCTATGCATGAATCTTTGAGCATTGTGCTTGTCGAGTACAGAGGCTGTAAGCCACAAGGCACCTAAAAATTACACCAACTAAAAGAGATCTATTTGCCAAGAAATATGTTATACATGAGATTACAACGGTGGATATCAACAGAGCTGATAACCATACATTGGCTAGATGGCAAGAAAGACGTTGCATGTACAGAAGCAGTGATAATTTATATGATTAAAGACTCTCTGACCTATGTATATGAACTTGCTATCTATCCACTCTTGTTTAAAGTCTTCCCATCCTTTTTTATCTTGAGTCTTATCTCAAAGCAATTTTTGACATAGGAGTCACTGAGTCAACTCTTCACTACTGCAGATGTATGTATGCATGTCTCTTCTTTGCGATAACCCAATGTCCCATGGCATATATTTACATTCTAGCATTAGTGTATTCTGTTAAATCTCAGATTTTGTGGTAAAATTTATGTGCAGAGAAGTTTATTAAAACATGTGCAATCCGTCTATTATGTGCCGAAACTCTTTCTAAAACTTTCCTTTTAAAAATTGCTCACCACACACATATGACAATGTAAAAGTCTACAGACATATGATTGTGTGAAATTCTACATACATATGACTTTGTAAAATTCTAAACACTTATGATTCATGCTTAAGAGGAATGTATGGTTATGTAATGTGCAGGCTAAGGACAATTATAAAACAAAAACAATAAAACATGTGAGCTGATTGATCTATAACCACATTTGCATTAGCCTGTGCAAACCAGAACACTGTTCTGAACTCAATCAATTGAATCAAAGAGAATTTATAAATCAATTATGAATACATGTTAGTAGAAGAATTGTTTTGAATTTATCTGTTTCAAATTATCATTATTTTACGAAAGATATGAAAGATGTTTTTCATATTTGCACTGGCTTTTGCAAGCATTAGAGACGTTTGTGAAAACTCTTGAGCAGGTGCAAACTGATAACCTTTGGTCTCGGGCTTGCAATGATCTGCTCTTAAGTTCTCCCAAAGGTCTCCTTGGTTTGAACAAGCCTGTCCAAGCACAATAAACATCTTTTATGTCTTAAGTAATAATGATTGTGTGAAAAGCCTGCAAGACGAGCATAAAATTATTGCGTTAAACTGTTGCAAGGTAGCCACACTTACATGGCGAGTTTAATTACTTTTTGTTCTGTTTCAGGTGTGTTGGCACATGTTGTGAAAGCAACTGTGGCAAATGTCACAGCTAGAACTCTGTGTGCTATGGGAGATGCATTGATTGAAAAGGAAACCGGAAATGTTTATAAAAATAAAAAAGACATGAAAAAAGGTTTGACAAAGTGTAGTTTACTGTAATCAGTTTTTTGAAATCATTCTGTTAGAGCACTTTCCAAAAAATAGGGCCATGAGAGGCTGTTTATCAGGGTGTGAAATTCATATTTTTTCATAGATACTGGGTTTTTAGAATTTGGTATCGCTCTCCATCATCTAGTGTTCGAAATACGGATACATAACTAGTTGGCTTTTCTTACTCCATGGTCTGATACAACAAAACCCTTCACATTTTATGATTAAAGTTGCATTCAGAAACGTAAAAGTGATTGTTACTCTGCATTTTATTGACTATTGAAATTTTTTGAATTATTCAAAAAAATACTGTCACAATACTTATGAAGATATTTGTCATAATGCAATTGTGTTGATGCTTACATCAAACATGAACTGATTGTTTACAAATTATTCATAAAAAGTACTTGTCAATGTATAATGAAGCTTGTTGTTGTCTGAATGACTTACACAAGGTCACATTCCATCAACATCTTCGTTAAACCAATTTTAAGTTACTGCATATTTTGCACAAACTGGAAATCAGTTTCCGTTGACGGGGTCAGCGTGCTTGAATAGCGTTCATTCATTCATTATTTCATTATTTTTCATTCAGGTGTTGCGTTTCCTACGTGCGTTTCTGTCAACAATTGTGTTTGTCATTTTACGCCGCTGGCTTCAGATGGTGATGTGGAAATTTGTGATGGCGACATGGTGAAAATGTTAGGGACATTCCATCGCTTGATGTTTTTATGTCATCATGCTCAAAAGTTGGATTTTTTTTTAGAGATCTAGGAATTCATATTGATGGTTATATAGCAGTTGTGGGACACACAGTGGTAGTTGGAGCAAGCAAGGTACAATAATGTTGACGCAAGACATTTTTTCAATCATTTATTTTGTTCACTGAACCTGATGCTTCATATTTAGGAGAAAAAAGTCACTGGTCGTAAAGCAGATGTTCTATTAGCGGCACATTACACCTCCGAACTTTTACATCGTACAGTTAAACCAGATGAAGAGGTGCGTTATCAAATGTCTTTATTAAATTTGACAACGTCTAATGTATAATTTGAGGTCTTGTTTGTTGTTTTTTTGTAGAACTTTACCGTAAGTGATAATATTGAGAAAGTCGCGGAAGCTTTCAAATGCAAACCAGTTGAAGGTATTTTTTGGCTTTTATTGAAATGGTGATGATGAATATAGATCCCTTCTTCAAATCTTGATGCTGTGATTTAGGCCAACCGGCTTTGCGTGATTTTTATCGTATCTCAACTTTGAGTTGTATGGTTTGGTGATTCTTTTGTATCAAAGCATTTTTTTGAACGTAGGCGCGATAAAACTTGCTTTAAAAACTTGTTACGTAGTCTTTCCTTTTATCTATCTTATGAAGCGTTGTTTATTATGAGGAGAGTGATGAGTATGGAAAGGATTCTACTCAGACTGCGTTAATTTTTTGGGGGTCGGACGAACACATTTTCGAATCGGAAAATCATGAATTACTTTTGTCATGAATTACATTGCAAGTATGCAGTTGTTAAGCTAATGCTTTGATAAATTTATTGAAGTCAGTTTTTTTTCAAAATAAATTAAAATTTTCTAGCATAAGGGTTGCAAGTGGGCCTCACTTTTGAACTATATAAATGACTTGGCCAGGTTAATTGTTGTCATTGTGAAAACTTTAAAGTCTTGGGCTCTGCGATTTATTTCAACATCATCTGAGGAAGGGAAGCACATCAAAATAAACCAATGGAAAATGTATCATTTAGGCATGTTTAGGTTGCCTTAAGTTATAAGTAAAAACGACCGAACCTGAAGACAGAATCAACGCTAATAGACCTTGTTAGTTGTTTCTATGAGTATGAATAGTTGAAAGAATTTTTTTTGAAACATGTTGATGGAAATTACCAGTCAATAGGCAGTGGGTTTTTTCTCGTAATTTTGTACTACCTTGTATCCTTAGTGATATTAATAATTTTATATCTACTTCATAGGAATGCTATCGCATCAGTTGAAAAGAAATGTCATTGATGGGGAAAAATCGATCATACAAAATCCAAACGAGAGTCAAAAGTAAGAGGGAATTTTTGCTGCATTTTTTGACTCTGATGGGTATTTGCCTTAAATCCTGTTTTTGCCTTTTCTTTCATCAGAAAAGAACACGAGAAATGCACGTTTAACGTTCACGAAGTTTACGCGATAGATGTGCTGATCAGCTCAGGAGATGGCAAGGCGAAAGAGAAAGATACACGAACGACTGTCTATAAACGGACGCCAAACCTCTACAGTTTAAAAATGAAAACGTCTCGAGGTTAGATGTTCAATATTTATTTCATTCTTGATCAGCTGAAATATTACAGTCTCTTGGCAATTGACAGTGCTCTAGAAAGGTCCGCTATTCTTTTGCGTGCACAGTTGTCGCATTAAAAACTGCTTCACCTACTGGTAATTTTCAATGGCAAGACTTTGAGAATTATCTCTAGCAATCAAGATTGCACCAGCATTGTTTAATTATTTCACTTAATGCATCTTCTGACGGTGCGATGCTACAAAGTTGAATTGTTCCTTTACTAGTTAGTATATCATCCAAGAAATTAAAAATTAAATTTCGAAGATTTGTATGATAGGATGAATTGGGAAGCAATATTAAACGACCTTCGAAACAAGCGGCATAGGCTTGTGAAAAATTGATTCAAAATTCGTGTTTCTTTTTTAGTGTTTTTTAGTGAAATTTCAAACAAATTCACCAGGATGCCGTTTACGTTAAGGTAACATTTGTTGTCTTCTGTAATTTTTGTTGTATTAAGTACGAATGAGTGTATTTATCATCAAAGAATCAACATCAATGCATTTGTTTGGTTGAAACATGTTAGTACAGAATACAACGTAACGAAGTTCGTCTCCAGTGTTCTTTGGGCTAGCGCTGTTTGTCATTGATTTGCCATTTTGTCAATACGGGAAATGCAATTTTCGCATTCGGATTAATGTTCTTCACGAAAACATTTGCTGTTTAGCTTAGCTTTGTGCGCATGTTAACAACATGACAACATGACCGTAATTTTAATTGAACTATGTTTATAATAAAGCGCTGTAACTTAAGCAATAACGCGAAGTTAAATATTTATAACATAAAAAACACAATTAAGTAATTTCTGCTTGTTCTTTACGGGGAATGTTTTTTTTTTAATGCAAGCAACTCAACGTTAATGTAAGCACGAGATATTGACCTAGCTGGTTCATCATTCAATAGATTTTAACGCCCACTTTTTGACTTTCTACGCATGCTCAAAATCATGTAAAGATGTAAAACCCACGCTTTTCACAAACCGTAATTCAATTAGCTCTATTTTCTTATAAATAATAAAAAATACATCGAGGTCAGTAACAACTCTGGTTTTCCTTCAATCCGCGTATAAATCTTTCGCCTTTTACTAAAGATTTCCGTGGAGGAGAACAACAGAATGAGTCTATAGACTAATTTTTCTTCACCCTGCCTAACGGCGGGGTCCTCGATTTGAATAAAATAATAAATTAGATAAAAGTATTGTTGTTATAAGTTGAGACGAAGGAGCCTTATATGAATGTAAACCATTTAACTGAATTTAATTTAAGTTGTTTTGTATGATAGAGTATTGTTATATGAATGTTTTATGCAGTGCGGTGTTTTGAAATTAAATGAAGATTTGATCTTCGCACTTTTGCTGGACAATTTAAGCAATCGTCTCAGGAACCTGAAAAAATCAGGTGACTCAACGGGATTCGAACCCATGACCTTTGCGGTGCCGGTGCAGTGCTCTGACCAACTGAGCTATGAAGTCACACAGTGGTGAGCAGGTCAATATTGTTGGGCTCATGTTTTCTGAAAAGATGCTTGCTTAAATTGTCCAGCAAAAGTGCGAAGATCAAATCTTCGTTTAGAGTATTGTTATTGTATATTGTATATTGTTATAGTATATTGATTTTGAAATGTATTGTTTTTATAAGTGATGAACACCAAAGTATCAAATATTTACATAACACGACCAAACGTGCGTGCTGGCTAGGTCAATGGTGAGATTTAGCAAACACGACGTATCGTGTAAGATGTCGTGAAAATGGCGTGAATATGGCGTGGACCCAACCATATATGGAAATATCACGCCATTTTTACGCCATTTTCACGGCGTCTTAATCAATACTTCGTGTTGGCTAAATCTCACTAATAATGTCCCTTAACACTTCCTGTCTTAAAACTTTACCAAAGACATTCTGTGCTCGTTGCAAGAGCTGACATTACACCATGGTGCTTTTTAGAGCGTTTGATGATGAAAAACAAGCAAAATTAGGAGTAGTTGAATGTGTTAAACATGGCCTTCTGGAGCCGTACAACGTTCTTTGGGAGAAAGACGGTATACCCAAAATATTTTTGTTAAATTGGATGTTTTGTTGTGAAAATTGCTCACCCAATGGTAATCAAGATTTCTTTTTGTAAAGGCGAATATGTCGCTCAGTTCAAATTTACCGTCTTGTTGATGCCAAACGGTCCTATAAGGTCGGAGAACATTCTTTTCCATTTCTCGCATTCAAGTTTAGCAGGAAACGTTCTCGTCAAAACTTATTTATTTTACATATCAATTCCTAGGATAACTCAGGGTCCGGCGTTTGATTTAGAGACTGTTGAAAGTGAATATTCAATTACCGACGAAAGTATTAAGGTATGTTGTCTTTGTTGCGGTTTTCGGTTGTTTTACCTTATGAAACGTAGCTGTACTTACTTGGTAATGTTGTTCTTCGCCGTCCTTTTTTCTTTAGTCGATATTAGCGAGCTCTGTGTCAAGGAAAGCTCAAAAGAAGAAGAAGAAAAAGGTACTGCTTGTTTTTTTTATGGCGTTATAAGTTTTCAAGGAGAACTATGTATTTTAAATAACGCTTATGGTGATTGGCTAAAAGGATAGAATCTTGTTTTTGTTTGGGAGAAATTTCTGCGCGGGAATTTAACAGTTAAAAAACTGGATCAACACATTTTTTGCTTTTCCGTTTATATAATTCGTATTTTTAAACTTAATCGGATTTTTCGTGTGCGCTCAGCTGTGTTTGTTTATTTTATTCCTTGCAGGCGGCTACTAAACCGGTCGACACACCGAAAGAAGAGAAAACAGCTTCGTGAATTGAAAACATTATTTTTCATTGTAGTGCAAATATTCTTAAATAAATGTACATAAAAATGTATAACATTACGAGTTGTGAAACTCGTGTCGTTTTAAGAAGCACGGTAATATTTTCGTCAGGAAATGTTTGTATCTCGCTTGCAGGTTAGTAGAAATACAAGCCCTCGCTGTTTTCTGTTTTCTGAAGTATTTATTTTTTGTATACAACTCGTAGAAGTTTGAAATTCCTCTTGCAAATGAACATCTTTGCAGTATTGTTATTCATCCCGGGATGTTATCTCGACTATATAAAGGAATTTTTATGATTCCTGCCAAAGCCATGCCATAACTGGAGTCTATGACGACTAGTCTTTATTTTTGATACTTCAACCGAGCAGTTTGCTGATGGTAATATAACTTCTAGTCGTATAGGAAAGATGAGTTACTGTGAAAGAATATACTTATTTTATATAAATGAGCTTTGTGTGAAATGTGAAATGAATGAGCATTGTATGATATGAATGAGCATCCGTTATCATCATTGAGCAATGTTTGATATGAATTAGCAATGTATGCTATGAATGAGCATTGTATGATATGAATGAGCTTTGTATGATAAAAAATGAGCATTGTATGATATGAATGAGCATTGTATGCTATGAATGAGCATTGTATGATATAAATGAGCATTGTATGATATGAATGAGCATTGTATGCTATGAATGAGCATTGTATGATATGAAAGAGCATTGTATGATATAAATGAGCATTGTATGATATGAATGAGCTTTGTATGATATGAAAGAGCATTGTATGATATAAATGAGCATTGTATGATATGAAAGAGTAATTCCTTAATTTCAATAGTTTTATAATAAAGTGTGTCTTATTTTTTGTTTGATCTTGGTGAAAAACGTATAATATTCAGTCATTTCTGTTGCTTGATTATAACAAATTGTTTATGTCTAATCTTACTTCAATGCGTTTCGATAGGTTTGTGCGTACGGAAACATGTGGACAAACAAGTATCCCTATGGATCAAGGAGGATTATCAAAAGGCCAATAAGGTTGGTTGTGTTTTGTTTTCTCATAATGTTCTCCCACAATCAAATTGTTATGTTTGGATTGCGTTATTTCTATTAATCGTTCGTCAAATGGATCAAAAAGAAATTTCTTAACCATCGCTCCGTTTGATTGCCGGGATGTCGCGCGAGACTGCACGCAAAGTGTTACCTTCCCATCATACACCTCGTGCTCAATTCTCATTATGTTTTCTTGTGGCAACACCTTTGCAAACTGAACACGAGTGTTATTTGGATCAGTTGTGTTGACGTTTAACTTGACTTCATTGTCTTTCCATTGACCGCAAATGGCGTCCCTGATACTCGCGTGGAACTCGCGACTTTCCCGCGTCTTCTCTTTCAATGACTCTTTCGCTTCGCTTAGATGGTTGCGCAGTCGGGATGCGATGGCAAGAGCCGAACTAACTACGAAACTTGACGGGATGACGTTTCTTTCCGATATTTCCCGTAGCGTCTCTTCGTGTATCCTGTACTTGTCTAGTAGCTCTAATGTTTCCATTTTGTGTTTCATTGAAAACTTGGACCTTGAGAACAATTCTTCGGCTATTAAAAGGATCGTGTCATGCTGCTGTCGGTGTAACTTCGATAACGTTCGTAGAAGAACGTGAAACTCCTTCAAAGTAATGTCTTCTTTTCGAACTCGTTCTCTAAGATAGTTGTCGATAGTGTCATTGAGTTCGTTTACACACGTCAGGCCCTCGTGTATTGTGTGCTCGATTATGTTGATGACGTCACGCGTTGTCATAGTAACCATAAGCTCCTGTGGTATTTTGTGAACGCACGAGGATAGCGCAGTTAACAAGAGGGTCTCGGATTTAATCTTTAGATTTACCGCCAGTCTGTAGAGCAAACAGAGCACGTCACATTTCATGACTTCACTGAGGTCGAAAAATGGCAGCTCTAACAATATTCCATCTACAATATCTGCGAGGTCTTTTACGGCTATCGTTTCTGATCTTCCCTCGTCAGGCATTTCCCGTTTTAAAAACTCCAAAATGTCATCCATGTTGCATCTCGTGATCTTGTCTATGTATTCGCCCGCAAGCCTTGCTATTTCGATCACCTTAATGCCCGCATCTCTTGCAGAAATGACAAAGTGGATGAACCAAAGTACAGGAAGCTGTAGTATACTTTGAAAAATACGTGAACAATCGTGGCTACGTTTTTTGATCAGCAATATGGCAGTATCGTAGCATAGAGAGAGTATATTTGTTTGATTTGCGCACTCGCCCATCATACAAGCGGATGTGATCAAGCTGGCTGCGCAACTTGGCTTGGAATTTAAAATCTCAGCTATTGTGATATCGGCATCTTTGGCCAAAGGTCTCATCTGTAGGAATTCTGCAGCACAGCGCAACTCGACCACATTGCTTGTATTAATGTCGATTTTAAGTCCGTAGCAGTAGTCTGCTATTAAGCTGAATACTTTATTACCACCGGGAAACATTGGCAGTACGACACGATTTTTGTCTGTCATGGCGCTCCTGCAAAGCGCGCGAAAGAATTCTGAGTTTAAAAACAGTGGAAATTTGTGTAAATGAAAGTCGATTTCGTTTACTGTCACACAAATATCAGATAATTCGCCACTTTTACGTAGCTCTTGAAGCTCTTCAAGTCTCTCAACGTTCATGATGATGCCAAGTTCATTTTATGTCACTCCAGTCTCTACATAGCACAGAAAATGTATCAATAATCTGCTACAGTGTTCTACGATTGTGTCTTGAATTTCAGAGACAGCGTTGAAATTTTTGTTTAACTTCCTATTCTACAATGTTTTCATGTTTTTTCTATCGTTTTCAACATGGTATTAAACCCTATAACGAATCTACCTTGTACCATGATGTTTTGCGTAGTTGCAACGAGAAATAAAGGAATACAATGTACTTTTGTTTCGTTAACCGGAGCAATAGTATCTCCTGTGGTGTGATGCATAATATATGCATAGTATCAGAAAAATATTCAGTGAATCGAGAATGCGTTTGAAAAGATTTTTAAAGCAACAACTGAATTTTGCTCTAATAAAATTTCCTCTTTTTGTGTACAGATTTTCTTTACAAAAGATGGGAATATTTACTTACTGGTGTTTATTCATCGGTTTTCTGCTCGGTGTCGTCATTCAGTCATTGTACAATATTTGCTGGATTATTTAGCAACAACTTGAAATCATAAAAATGCTTAAACATTTAATATGTCCAATGAAAAAATTCGTTCCTTGAGAATTTATTTAAAAGTCGAGAGAATGTGCGTGTGGATTCGCTTGAGTTCTTCTTCACGATGTTTGTTTTCTCGATACAAATGACTTTATTTAAGTCTACGATATTCGAGACGAGTTATATTGGGTACATGTGCGTTCATTCCGAGCAATAGAAACGATTTTTGTCCATTGGTACATTCAGACATTGAATAACAATTTTATGTGCGTGCATTTTGTCCACAATAACATTGAAACAAAGACACTTTGACGTGTGCTGCTGTGCAATAAAATGCAAATATTTATTCATGACCTTTGTACCGCCATGCGCCATATATTGTTTCAGTATTAGCTCTAACTTCATTTGCTTATCGTTCCTTGTTTATTCAGGTAAATCAAAACTTTGTCGTGAGGAGCTGAGGTTTCCGAGAAAGATTAACTCTCTGGTATGAACTATTGTTTTTGTTTCGGGATTTTATGTAGACATCCTTCATTTCATTAGCATGATGCACAAAAATACGGGCGAAACTAGAATGTTAAGGTAGGAGGGGGTGAATACTCATATCTTCAGCTCTGCCCTGTTCTGCCAAAACAAATAAGTCAAGCAGTTATGAATATATGAATATAACCCCCAACCTCCACTCAACGTACTAGTTCGCCCACGTCAGCATAAATCCGTGTTTAAAGCGAAACTCAGACTTAGGATTAGGTTTTAGGATTAGAATCAAAGTTTAGACGGGTGTTCTGGTATTTCGTCTGGCTCCAATAGTACATGCGTCCAGTGGCGATGCCAGTCTGCTTGTTTAGTAGTCCTTCTATGCTAATATTTCTGTGTCAGTTTGTCAATGTGGAAACAACAGAGTTCTATCCTGAAATTTACGTAGCAGGACCAAAACTCGAGGGTTATGTATAAGTGCTCAAAACAAACAATTCACTTTTTGTGATTTTCACATTTATTTCGAGTCGCTCAATTCTCTATTGTTATCTTTGTCGAATATAATTTACTATTTTCTTCCGCATCAATCATCGCTTGTAGTGAATTATTAAGAACTTTGTCCCGAAATCGCTAGAGCTGGCTCCCTTTGCGTTCTTTATCCTTCCGTCTTTCTTGATCCCCAAGTACCAACGATTCGAGTTTTTGGAGCATTTTTTTGATTGAAAGTCCGCATCATTGTTTTGATGATTGTAGTAGAACAGCGCTTCTTGATTTAGTTTCTTTTTCTAAATAATGATTTGTGTAGATCTAAGTTTCGTCGTGTTGATAAAATAGAAACCAGTTGCAACATGGAGGGAGGGATTGATATATTTTTTACTGGGTTGTTTGCATGGTCTGGTACCACGAGTGAACTAATGTTGAATCATGATTCTTTTTATACTCCAGTTTAGTGTCTTCATCAGGAGTGATCTGATGTTGCAACTTGAGTTCTTACATACTCCAGTCTAGTGTCTTCATCAGAAGTGATCTGATGTTAAAACATGAGTCTTTATATACTCCAGTCTAGTGTCTTCATCAGGAGTGATCTGATGTTGCAACTTGAGTTCTTACATACTCCAGTCTAGTGTCTTCATCAGAAGTGATCTGATGTTAAAACATGAGTCTTTATATACTCCAGTCTAGTGTCTTCATCAGGAGTGATCTGATGTTAAGTTTTGATTTATCATAATTTTCATTTAAGTTATCAAAACAAAGAATCTTACCGTTGTGTAGACATGTCCTGTTTTACATGAAATCGCTAAATATTTCCCATATGCCTCGCTTTGTAATTTTACCAGTGATTTATTTTTTTCCAAGCCGAAGAGATGCACCTTGAATATTGCTGAAATTGAAAGTTTTCAATATAATTGGTATATTTTGCAAATACGGATAGATCTGTTGTGGTCGATGTGTTAGACGCTCTAATGAATGTGGAAGTATAAACGGCGATGGAGAAATATGAAAATTTTCGTGTCTTTGTATTTCGCATCATAGCAGTGCATGTTGCAAAGAGAAATGCATGGCTGTAATAACGATCAGTGTTAATCTTATTGTATGAACGCAGGATGTGTTGCATAAATCGTGTCAACACTGTTTGGCTGGCTCATGGATAAGGCAAACAGTCTTTTTTGACGTTCCGAGTCATCGGAAGAGTTAGAAAACACGATAAACAATACAGCACGAAGTAAAATAAGGCTAGTACGTGTATGTCTCACCCTCGGGCGCATTGAAAGATTTTGTCGTGTACAGTCTTCCTTTTTTGTTTACAGCCAAAGAGTAACTTCGTCTCGTGTTATAAATCCTAATCCTTCTTGCATTGGTTCTTGTGTTCATTGCCTGTCTCTCAAATAAATCGATAGTTCTCTTCAGGAAGGCTGTCATTGGCCAATTTTCTCCTTCGTACTGTTTGGGATCTTTACCATACGCTTTCAGCTGATTGTGTTCGTTCCCAGTCCACGATTTTTTCCAACCGCCGTTCTCGTTGTACATTATCGAGAAATCGTTTGATGCGTAACTCGTGTGGATGATATCCGTGACGATTGTGAGGAATGGGATGTACTGGAAAAAATCGAGACAGAAATGTTGGTTTTTTAAAACTAGTTCAAAAGTTTCTCTTTCCTAAGAATGTTCGATTCTTCCTTTTTCGCGTGTAGGAAAAACTCGTAAAGTTTTTTCCGCGTTCAATGTTTTATAGCCATCTCCGTTTACGTTCATGTTTCTGCTTTCTAATAATTCTCTGCTTTATAGATTCTCAAAACCGTAATGTTGGACTCTAGAAATATCGTCTGCTGAGAATTCATATCTCGGATGTCTCATATTGAAGGTGTGTGTGTGTTTATAATACATAGGTGAAGTAGCTACCTGTTATATTATTGGTCAAAACTACCAAAATCACCGCCAATCATAGTGCTTTTATAAATGTAATTGCATAGTACAAAAAATGCCTTGGAGTTTTGACTGAGATGAACATGGCGGATTTTTGATCGTGCGCATAATTCTTAAGCGTTTGTGATGAAGGTGAAACAATGTCATTTAAGTTGAAACTATTGTTGAAGGCACCTGCCTTTCAAAATGGAGACGTATTGCACACGCGTGATCAAGCGCCCGTTTCATGCAATATAGGCGATTGTAAATGATGTCTCTGTCTAAATAATATTTATTATACCTATAGGGGTAAAAAGTTTGTACACTTGGAATTTTTCCATCTTGCATCTTCAGAAGAAATTATTTTCGCGCGAGGAAAATTTTTTTCACTTAAAGAAAAGATTTGAGCTAAACGTCGTCCATGTTTTAAGTTGTCACAGTTCGGACGTTTGCTTTCAAATATTGTTTTAAAATGTTTTGACGAGGAGGGAACTCTACACAAGATAACATGACCTCATTTTTCTGTCCGTAATGTATTTAATTGGTTATTCCTTAATTTGAGAAGAGGCGCCCCTCTTACACGATAGCTTTGTTGAAAACGTGAAAACAAGTTATTAGCTATTTACTTACATATTTATAGAACTTCATTTCTCAGAAAGTGTATTCCCGAGTCTCCGATGTCCAGTGTCTTTGCGTTGTAGCGTTGAACTGGCTGTCAAAACAGCTTTATATGCAGATATTTGCTGCATATAGACATATGTTTCTCGTATTCCAAACATGGACATTACGATAACACGGTTTGACATCATCATATTACGTGGGTCTGATTGGTTAATTTCCTTGTAGTTTATTTTTGTTCGGTTGCTGAACGGTCGGGGAGACTCTGTATGTTCGTATTGAAATCAAATTTCATAAACGAAAGTCAATATTTGGTAGAGTCATCGCTATGAAAACTTGTACGACTAAGGTTGATGTAGCATACATATATTTTTTATTATCTTGAAAAACCTTTTACGCTTGTATATGCCTACTCAATTTTCTTTATGGGTTTATCTTACAAGGTGTCTATTCTTATTGATAGCTCGCAATGCAAACATGTACTTCACGTAATCAGATTCAAAGTGCCGCAGACGCTAGATATATATAAGCTAAATTATCCGTTCGATTGAGTCGCAAAACATCCCAATCACCTTGCTTACATATATAATTAACATCGTAATTAGGAATATTTTTGTCGTAAGTTGAGCATACCTAATAGGCCTTTGCGTTTTTTAAACATAATTTATACGAATGTGTTTTCCTAAATGCATTAGGTCTGATAGAGCTTTAATATAAGTATGTTTCTCGTTCATCTGCGATTATCTTCACTAATGATTTATTATCTGGCAAAGAACAGATGTTCTGAGACAATTAACTCTTAACTAGAACATAATGCGCTTCGCTTTTTTGTTCATTTGGTCGTAATTATATTTCTTTTAAAAAGCGTGAAATTATCAAAAATCTGCGAGGAAAGGTGTTCCTTTAATATACGTCATTCTCGTTTGGTTTGTTTTTTTCGTTTGATTTAATGATTGTTAAATTTTATGGATTGTTAAATTTTACTTCCACGGTTGTGCTTTTTGTCTGTTAAATTTCCATTGTTGGAATGGCGTTTTTACAACCAAAAACGATGATTACGGTATTTATGTGTTTTTGACTGGATATAGACCGGTATACAGCACGCTTTCAACCTTTAATTCCAGTCATTTCTCTTTTACATGCCTGAATCCGCTGACCTGTTGCACCACAACCCTTCATTGGCATGGCGGTTGCGAGCACAAAAACTGTGATACAATTGCGTTGCGGAAATTGTCGTTTTTACTTGTCTGTATAACATGCACACCGGTTTGTCTTGTTTTGCGTTACCTCAAAAATTGTCGAGTGTAAATTATTTTGACAGCAACATAGCTGAAATCCCAAAGTCTTCTTTTTGGCGTTTTGTTAAAGACTCTTTACTTTGTTCTTTGATGTGCATTACGCGAAAAGATAGCCCTCGGTTGTGAAACTATAAATAGGGCAATGTTGTAACGAAACAAAGTGCCTGCAACATTCTTTGCGGCGTTATGAACCCCCACTGAGTTGAACGTATGATACTTCGAATATCTACGAAATTGAGCGGCTGTTTTCTTGAATTCCATGCAAATAAACTGATAAACTGATACTCGGCGTACGTTACTTTGACATTGATTTACTTGTTTCTATTTATAGCGAGTCTTGAACTTGTAAGTCTGATGGATAATGTGCGTGCGTTACAGCATTCTCAAGCTGTCACGCCTTCGATCATCATACTATCCTGCACGGTCAGTCGATAATGATCATTTTTATTGGGACATGATCTTGGGGTGTTTTTAGAATAAAGTGGTTTTCAATAAGGCTCATACGATGAGCATATTATAAATAGTTACAATTATTTCTTCGCTGATAGTTTTTATACACAAATTAATTCTCTTTTTTTTTTTCATTCTAAAGTCCATTCTTAAGTCCATTACCAGTATTGCATCTTGTCAACGAATGCCATTTTATTCTAAATACACATACATACACGAGACAACATTGACATGTTCGTTTTCCCTCATATGTCTGAACAGTTTGCGTGAAAACCTTATGCATGTCTGTTTTGGCCAAGCTCACAGTTTTGTAAATTAAATCGCCTATTATACGGCACTCGTTTCATAAATTCTCAATCAGATATTAATCTGGGTATTTCTCAATAAAGACTTTCCGCAGTATCAAAGCTAGAGGATCATCTTCATCGTAGAAGATTTACCAAACACATTTCAATATGGCGTCCAATTCTAGAAGCGGTGTGCAGAGGAAGCAGCGTGAAGAACGGTGGAATGTGTGAAATTATTTCAACACGGCAAATGAACGATGACTGTATTGCATGCCTTAAACGTTGATTATGACAATTTATATGAGTGAAAAATTCCTCAAAGATAATGTACGTATTTTCATGACACTCAGAATGAGATTCAAACACTTAATCTGACTCCGTCTTTCGTGCTTATAATTTGAATGATGCGAACAAAATGTCATTTAGATGACAGAGATGATCCTCTGGCCTTGGAGAAGTCTCAACAGAAAAATGTCTAGAATAATACACCTGATTTGAAATTTTTGACATGATGATGTCTACTTAGGCTTGTACTCGAATTTATATGTTTTACGTGTGTGAATCTAATTGAGCTTTAGTCAAGAAGTTGAAGAACGAACGAGTAGGCACAAGCGTGTGTTGTATGGGAATGAATATCCATTTACTTTCTCTATAAATCACCACTTGATGGAGTGAAAGAGCGACATTACACACTGAAACACTTGAAAAGGCAGGCGCGACATTCCTTCATTTTCTATTACACAACAGATCTTCATTTTCATATGAAATTGAGGACGATGAAATTGCGATTTCTACGTGTTTCAAAATCAATAGGCTAATTTCAACTGTTACTGTGAAGTTGTTATAAAGATAGGAATCACTAAAAGCTAATTTTAAAGATTTGAGCATACGTGCTTTAAAAATCTCGGTTGAAATGGGGAGAAAATTTACGTGAAAAGTTGAGAAACATATTCAAAATCAGATGAACAAAAAAGAAAGCGAAAGACGTGGGAGAAATCGATTATCTCATTAAATCGGAATATCGTCAAACATTTTTTAACGTTTGTCATTAATTTTCACTTTTTTTGTTTGCTATACTTGTTTGTCTTCCCGTTGGAGTGAAATAATTCGAGTTATGATTTACATATTTAGTCCGAATTCGTTTCCATTAATGCGCGTCTTTTTTTGTGAAGAAACACGAGGAAAACTTGTAATTGTAATGCCAGAAAACTTCAATTCGATTAACACAAAGCAAAAAAAGGTTTCCCTTGTATAAATTGTTGTAAATTCCAAATGATTGAATCCCAGATAATTAAAACTCAGCACTACTTCGACTTAAGGTAATTTGCCAACTGCCACGTGAAGAATGGGATCCACTCGTGTTTTAAGAATGGAGGTTGAATGTAGAAATTCGCTGGACGTCATTACTACTTTTCTCACTGTTCGTTTTCTCTTTATTCACTAATTAACAACATGGCAATCGCAATTGGTCTATTAGAGGCTGACTGAGATTCATTCGTGCGACACTTTCAATGATTTATCTGTGGGGGAGGACTTTCTTTTTTGCGGGTGTTCCCTCATTATCCTTCTAAAAGCAATCGGATTCAATTCTAATTTCTCTTTTCGTCTCTTTCAGGACGCTTCGTTTGTTTGACTTTCATTTTTCTGACAGGAGCACTTAATCGTGGTCAGTTTTGTCTATAGCCAGAGGGCAACTTCTGTTCGCGCTTTGAAAATTTTGAATATCATTTTTCATTTCTTTAGAAATCATTTTTGCGGCTGTTGAGCACAGAAAAAATTATACTTTGCTGGACCAATTGGCTAGCTCCGCCACACAGTCGGCCAGGCGGCCCTTTTAGGTAATAACTTTGAAAATCAGGCAAAGGCTAATTGCTTTTGGAATATTGACTAATATTGTTTGGTACATTAATTGTGTGGAATTTTAATTGTATTTTAATCAAATATTGTTAAAATTACACAGATTTAAAAAAGAGATGTTGCTACGATCTACGTTGTTAGAAAATGTTTCAAAGGACGGCTCGGCAGCATGAGAGTGACAGTCGACAATTTAACAATGTATCTTTGACACGTAAGTAAACGAAGCATATACAGCTTTTTATCGTATTATTAAAAGTGAAATATAACTCTTGAATTAATGAGGAAGTCAAAGAGTACATTACCTAAGTATTAAACCCACACACCACCTACAAAGAATGTGAAAACGGAAATTGAGTGGAATAAACAAAAAGTGAAATTCGCCTCCATTCACATATTCCATATATAAAGTCCTAAACTGCTACTTCTGTATCATTTACTACTGCAGTTTTCTTGAAAGATTCTCAGAAAGCATGGGAAACGTCTTTGCCTACGTTTCTGTGAAATCTAATGATGGCGACGAAACGAAAGTAATCAAGGATCATCCGAAAAAATTAAAGCCTTTAAAGTTGAACGATGATACGGAGCAGCTTACACGGCCGGCGTTTATTGAAGATGGAGACAATGTCTCCAGTCCTGCTTTGAAATTGGAAAGGAATAAAGACGTGCCTGATGGTAACGTTATTAGTAACATTTTGGTAAGTTCTTGGTGCTTGTGGCCACGGAGTTTTTGGTGCCTTGTGGCAAAAATTTGCTCGTGCTAAAATGAAACGATGGAGATAATAAGACGACACTTATATATGTGTATACTTATTTTATAGTTTAAGACAAAACGTATTTTATTCTGTCAAATATAAAAAACATAGAATTATGCCTCTTTATCGTCTGCCTTTAGTGTTGTATGCCGAAACATTCGGCTAACTTCACGTTCTGTATTTGGCTCAATTTCTAAATCATCAATGTTTACGGCATAGGAAGCACACGACAGCGAGTTCGAATCACTGGAAAACAAAGTACAAATTATCAATTTAAATCATGGTGGATTCCTCAAAATGGAGCCGAACAATCATGACGGATTCTCTGTACTCGCCAACGGAAGAAGAAGCGATGGTTATGGTAACTAAAGATCAATAAATATAACAGTGAAAATTGCATTAATCGATGTATGCTGACTTAAGTGCAAATGTTTTTATGTTTGATTTACAGCTGTGTGGCAGGCTCATTTAACTGTTGATGAAGAACATCGACAGATCCTCGTGTTTGAGAACGTAGAATGTTCACGTCTTAAGAAAGAAAAGTGTGTCCTGTGTTCGGAAGTGAACGCTTCTGAGGGTTTCATTTTGTCTGGAAAGGTAAGAAGTTGAAATGAATTTATTTCAGTGTGCGGTGTTTCCATCGTGTGTAAAATATACTATGGTTGCTCAATTTTATATTCAAAGTACTTTAATTTACCAATGCTGACATGGTAAGGCATTCCATGCATGGTTAGAAACATCCAAAGAATGAAATCTTACGAATGGAATTTCTTTTTGAGTATTTTGAAATTCAAATATGTAAAATAAATGTATATTTTTTCAATGTATATTTTTGCTATTTTTGGCTAAAAGTTCTAAATACCTCACAGGCGCGAGTGAAGCGCAAGCAACATCGTATAGCTTTTGAAACAACGTTGAGCTTTGTACTCCATAGGTTTTATAAATGTATCATCCACACTTGATGTTTTTTCTCGTTTGTCGTGTTTCATCGTGTGGATCAAACTTATTTCCTATTCTTACCATCAATAATAAGGTTAATAAAATAATTTATCATTTTTCTTTCTTAGACAATTGTAGATATCCCAACAACGCTTCGTAAGCTTGATCGGTCAATCGCTTTCTACAAGACGAGAAAGGCAGAGGGAAGTGAATTGATGTTTTTCAAGTCGATGTTTTCTAAGAAAGATCGACCTTTATATGTTGGCTTTGACGGAGAAGGATTGCCACTTCCTCTTAATAAAGTAAGGAAGTATTCGCCTGATTTTCAGGCGTTTTTCAGACTTATTGAAGCTGCGTATTGATCGTTTAGCTGTGCAAGCGCACATTGCTTTCATTCATTCGTTAGTGTGCACATATGTGAAAAGATCCTTCGTGGTACAATCTATTTTTTGTGCTTTATACTAGAACAATTGCTTGACCTGTCCGCGTATTTATGCTATACAATTAGAATTCAAAGGAAACGAGTAATGAGAACGCTCTGATTATGATAACATTCTTAAATTAGAATAGCAGGACCAAAACTTGCGTGCTGGCCAGCCCCCATTGTAAATCAGTAATTCTAGTGTTGTAGAGATATGAATGTAAAACAAATGCATGTTTACAGACAATACAATTCGAAAGAATTTATGACCATTGATTCATAACTTTTACTAGGAAAAAATACACATATTTATGATCTCGTTTGAAAAATTCAACTGACATGCTAATCTGTTTGATGTGCAAGAACTTCTTTGGGCGATTTTACTGATGTAAAAACTAGACTTAAATGAAAACCCAAATGTCGACTGATAAGTTGTTTGGTACAAGTTAGTCGTTGGTAACTCGTCGGTAATTTGTTGGTTTCACATTCTGTTGTATTTAATACGCGAGAACTGAGTTTAACAATGTATTAAAATAGACTGAAGAACTCTCGAGCAGTTGCAAACCCATAACCTTCGTTCTCGGGCTAACATTGATCTTCTCTCGAGTTCTTCCAAAGGTCTCCTCGTTTTGCACAAGCCTGTGCAAACATAAAGTAAACATCTTTTATTTCTTAAATATTTGATAAGCAAGAACTTTGCTCTGCATTGACGTATAAGGACTAGACACAGAAGCTAACACAAAAATAGATATATGAGCATGTATGTGTAAAGATAACTTGTGTTTCGAAGGAGAAGAATGCATCAATTTGTAGAGAAGTATTTGACAACCTAGTTAACTCAGTCAATGGTACATGGTGAAACTATCAAAGTAAACTAAAACCGTGCAGTTAGTCAAAAGGGATTGCTCTTCTTTAGCTACTTTTATATACATTATCTTATTGAGTTTTGCTCTTTTAATAACCATACGTGATACAAATTTCTATACCTTTACATCATCTTAATGATACTAGCGTTCATGCATTAAGCCTTCATTATACGTGTGTTTGTGAATATAGGTTTCGCATGTTACAATATCTTCTTAACGAAAGTGAGTTTTAACAGCTTCGTTATTTAAACACGTAGAAATAGTTTCAAACGTTATGTATTTTATACATGACTTCAGAATTTCCCACTGTATTACCTAAACATGCTTGCAAGTTACTTCGTTGTTTGCTATTAAGCTCTGTGCAGTTTCACTTTCACTCCATTGGGAAATTATACAAAATAATCATCATCAATGTTCGTCATTAAGTAATGACCACTCTAACATATCGATCAAAACATCCATTCCGTGGACTTGTTCAGGCAGATATTCATCCAGAGTTTTACCGCTTTTGCGATGTACTTCATAAGCTTCCAGCCATAACCTTCCCTTCATAAACACCTCGTATAAAGTGTCTTGGGCATTCCAAAGAGGCGGATAGAAATGACAGATCGATATGCATCCATTTGTCCTCTCAAGTGTATGAAATGTTGAGTCGTCCTCTGGTAAGAGTTGGCCATTTTTTTGCTTCAAATTTGTCGGAGATACAATTTTCAACTTCGGACATGAATTAGGGAAATCCTCGCTCAGTTCAATGCGTAATTTGTACTTTCTTCCGTTGTTTGTTTGCATGCTCACTTCTACCTTCGTGTCTGTGGTAGGAGAAATCCACGTCACGCGATTTGGAAAGTACTTGTCAAGTATGTTCCGTTCAATTGTGAGGCGCCGAATTTGTGCCGGTGACCAAGACATTATTATCAAACTTTTTCACTTTCAAGAGAGCTTTTCTGACTATGAAATGAGTTGTAGGAAACCATTCAGTATTGGTTTTAATGTATTGTTACTGAAGTTAACTTGATAATTCGTTCCTGGAAGTCGGTCTTCTTCCTTGAATATTACCTTTCATTTTCATTTCTGGGGAATTTAAATTTCTGAAGATTTCCTTTTAATATACTCCTTATACTGTGGATTCTAAATATTTAAGGGAAATGACTTGCGAATGCGTATAGAAAAATGCACTTATATCAAATCTCGATTTAAAGGAAATTCAATATTTTGATATAACAGGTATGTATATTATCCACTTCAATATGTCTTTATCTAGAAATCTAATATAACGTAGAGGTCAAATGAAACGATAAACCGCTGGGTAGCAAATTTGTCTGACTACGGGCTTATGTGTGTGCTAGTTGCCAATGGCGGACAAGACGAATGGACGAAGCCTTGTTTACCAACGAACGTAATGGATATTTAGGGAATAAACGACAAATATTTTGAATTGAACGCGTCATGTCATTGTTTAAAGGAAGAGAATGGTGGTCCACTTCGGCTGGTTGTGGAGAAGAGTTCGATCTTGGTTGCTTGTGCGTTGCTAATATAAACAATGATGTGTCATCATCAGGTCAGAAACCAATGTTCTTTTGTAAATTATGTTATTTAACATAGGCAGGGATCAGGTGGGTTTGTGTTTGTATGAATTTTGAAACAATCAGAATATATTTCTTATTCACAATTGATTGAATTCTCCATTGAGCAATGTCAGTTTATGCTGCTAAGCATAAGTTGCACAACATGTCAAATTGTCAAATTCTATTACAAATTGTATAAACTGCACTTTTTTATCATGTTCAAAAATATGTTTGGATTTGAACCCACTGGAAAGTGTATTGTGCACCCCAACGTGTGAGGTGAGCATCTTTTTATATCTTTCGCAAAGTGGTCACCTGTGTTCAAAAATTCTCATCTTGAGTGCACAGATCACAGACTCTCCAGTCAGGAACAGACTTAAACATTTGCCAAGTAATATTGTATTACATTATAGATAAAATCATTGTTGGAAGTTATCATGGTATGTTAAGAATATTCATGCCTCGCTCAGCAGAATTTAAGCCTGAAGATCTCATGCTTGAGATACAGATGAGCCAACCTATATTGCAAGTGGAAGCTGGTCGTTATGTCTCGTTAGTATGAATGGCATTTCTAAACCACCGAGAAAATGGTCATCAACTATTCAATGTGGGGCAATATAATGAAAATTGATTTGTTTATTCCAGGGGAAGTGATAAATTGCATCTTGGAATTCTTCATCCGAGAAAATTTTCAGTCTACAGTGTATCAGGTACATCAAAAACATCTTTGTATAATATACAGGGGCACATATTCCCCGCAAAACTGGGGGCTCTACGGTACAATTGTTTGTTCCTGGTAAAATGTGAGTATTTTGATCAGAACATCAGATCTTTCCGTTGCATCTGTGTGCTGTTAGAGCTGTGTGTTTTTTGCTTCAGGTATATGTAAATATTAATTTTCATTTTTCTTTTCTTTGCAGTCATTTCTGGGGCCGTTGAACATGGCAATCACTTCACTTTACAACTTGTTTATGAGCATATTTTGGATCGAACAGCGTATTCATTTACATTTGGTCCATTTGGAAGTATTCAAGGTAGTTAAAACTGTTAAAATTTAGGTTTGTTAGTTTGTTATTATGTTTGAGCTTTCGCCCCAGACATCCTCATAAACAATATTTCCTTACCCCCCCCCCTCTTTCCGTATAAGTGATGTTGAAAAAATTTTTCAACCAGTTTGTGTGACCAATCTAGCACACTTTCTGTCTGTTCCCAGTATTCATCACTCGTGGGTGATTTAATTGCTTTTATAATTTATATATTTCATCCTTGTTGTACCCAATTATTTCATAGGAAAAGATTTTATCTGCGTTGCGTCTATGGATGGAATGTTGTCGTTTTTTGAGCAAGAAATGTTTGCATTTGGTAGATTTTTGCCTGGTTTTCTACTACCCGCTCCGGTGCGCTATGTAGTCAAAACTGATTCCTTCGTTACGTGTAGCTCCTCGAAGTTAGTTGAGTGTTTCAAGTACGTCACGGCTTGCTGTCCTATACCTCTAAGATACGTTCCGTTTAGTGGGATTTCACTTTGTATTTAAATGTCTTTCTTACAGATACCAAACGCTGGCGGCTGCTACGGACGCAGAAACGAAAGAGAGTAAGGATCTTAAAAAAATCTCTGGCAAACGTTTAATGGTGAGTGCGTACAGTAGTACGCATAATCGCAGAATACTAACATAAAAGGGTCATCTCTTATGAATTTTATGTAAATGCTGCACCATATTAATTCGTCCTTGGGGCAGTGCATGAAACAGAAGTACTTGATTGCCCAACTTGCGTTTGTAGATTTTCGTGAGAATACTATTTGAATGTGTCCGTGGGCTTTATCATTGAAAACGATATAGTTGACCTTTTGTCAGTTGCGTAGCAATCCCACAGCTTTGAAAGTGGGGCTCAATTCAGTTTATACTAACAACCGACTTCGCTTTTTAATTGTTATCATTGTAATAAAGTCACGATTCTCGATGACTTATTTAATATCTATTGAGGCAAGGAAAGCGGATAATCCTTGTTTGCAATGAAGCCCGTGGGCTGTCTGCTCATGATACATGAAAGATTAAATGAGAGAAATTAGCCTTGAAGGATGTAAATCAATGAAAAGTTTATCAATTATAACATGTTAACGTTTCCTTAAATTATAAGTTAAAAAGACAAAAGCTGCTTGAAATTTTGCACTATCTTAGGACATTATAGTTCATTACACGAGAAGAATTGAGAATGTGAATATGGACAAATTTTTAAAGCAAAATATCCCGTTTTAGGAATAAGGCTGTAGAACATTGCATGTTAGCTTCATATTAAACTATGACAATGGCTTGGCCCATCAAAGGTTGTCATTGTAAAAGCTTTGATGTCTTGGACTCGTGATTATTCATTTCTCTCGTGATTAGTCAACGAGAAGGGCTCGTGAAAAAGATAAAAGATAAAATTCGAAAGCAAAAAACCCCGTTTTCGGTCCATGCTTCCCGATACCTTGTTAAGCGTAAGGCACTAGAACGTCGCATGTTAACGTTTCGGTAGGAGATTTCGGCCCCTACACGCTATCCTACTTGGGAGATGCAATAGCAAGCTTCCGCCCATCAGACCCCGAGATCACCTGCGATAGGCTTTGCTCGGGGTACGCAGGGAGAGTGCGGTCGCCACCGAAGTGTGGGCCCCTAAGCCACTGCATACCTAATCGCACCCAGCTTCCACTGCTAGTTGACATCTACTATACCTAATATTGGCTTTATATATATATACATAAATTCAAAGGCTTACGAAAGTTGTGGGATTAGTAAAGTCACTACTGCGCATGCTCAGTTGATTTCTTTAATAATTTGCAACTAAGTGAGCTAATTGCCATGAAAGTAGTGCAAGTGCATCTAGTTAGTCCTTGCCTTGACTATGGACAATTATTCAAGTTGACTGCGCATGATCGAGCGCATGCGCAGATGATTTTTTTATTAAATTGTTACTAAGCATGCTATTTACTTCAAAATCGGTGCTAGTAGATGCAGTTGGTCGTTGCCATGACCATGAACTTGTGCAGTTAGTCAAGTTGACTGCGCATGCTTAAGCAAACTGCGCATGCGCAGATGATTTATCTGAAAATTTGTAATTGAGCGAGCTATTTACTCTTAAACTTGTGCTAGTGGATTCATGAGTCTTTTTTCTTGTATTTTCTTTCCATATGAAAACCTGTTGTTTGATTTTTAGCCCGACTGGACATGTAATATAGGCGATAATGCTGTCAATGTCGTCGTCGCCGAGTATAACAATCTTTCTGCAATATTTGTCCTTGGTGAGTATTTAGAAACCAGCCCAATACATCAGTGTACATGGATGTACTTGTGAGAATTTCCATTGTTTTTCATCAGGTGAACGAGGATTTTATGGCCTTCAGTGTAACGGGGCGTTGTTGTTTATGAAAAAATTTGAGTATAACTCTAGCTGCATTCTACCGTACGGAACATGTAAGTTTATTGATTTTTTTCCACATTGTTGAAGGAGACAAAAGTTTTATTTCAACTGAGCATATCTTAGCTACTCGCCTCAAACGTAATACATTTCTTTTGTGACGGTGCTTCACTTCATATGTGATTCAGTATCCTCTCTATTTTTTTTTATTTTATTTTAACCGCGTGTTATAGTTAAAGAAGAAACATTCAATCTACTTGTGGGCACGCATAATAAAACTTTGATGATTTACCAAAATATCACGCTCATCTGGGCTGCTCAACTACCACATTGTCCTGTTGATGTCAGAGTTGCAAACTTTACGTAAGTATAAATTTGTATAAAGTAAATGGTTTCAACCCGGGAGTATCGTTACATGTTTGTAGATGTAGTGATGTCAGAGTTGCAAACTTTACGTAAGTATAAATTTGTACAAAGTATATGGTTTCAACCCGGGAGTATCGTTACATGTTTGTAGATGTAGATCGTCCAGGTTAGTGGAGCCATGAGAAAGACTGTTGTTGACTGACGTTTCGACAACTTTAGCGGTAGTCATCTTCAGAGTCAGGTGAGGAGTAAACATGGAAAGTGAGAAGTACACGTTTACTCCTCACTTGATACTAAAGATAAATGCAGTTAAAGTTATCGAAACGTCAGTCAACATCAACACCAAAGTCCTTCTCATGATTCTACTAACCTGGATGATGTACATCTTTATAAACTTTTATAAAGTGTTATGTTTAAACTATCGCGGATATGTCGGTTATGTGAAGGGTAACTTCGGGATGACCATTGATAAATGACGGTTATACGAAGGATATTTAACGGATAATGGGTGTATAATGTATGTGAATATACATCAGACTATTATATGATGGATAATCGATTTTTTTTTGTTTTCAGTAACATGAAAGGAATCATCGTCACGTTAGACGAGACTGGTCATATATACTGTAGTTATCTTGGCACCGATCCCTCGATGTTCATTGCACCCCCTCCCCAATCACGTGATGTTCAGTATGACGTAAGTAAAACGCGTGCTCAGTATTCTTTTCATCTCGCAAAATCACACTGCAATCTTCAACGTTGACAGGACATTGACGATGAGATGCGTGAATTGCATAAAGTGATCCGGGAGTCTTCGTCAAACTCCGGTAGGGGCATTACTCGTACTCTTCTTTCAGTTCATCTTCGAGATGGAAAAACAGAACGAAATAATCGCCGAGGAAAACTCGGTGCTATGTTTTTGCGATTCAGTCATGCTATTCGGCATAATGGGTTAGTGTCTATAAAAAAGACCAATTTAAATGCATTATGCTGAACCCCCCATCATATTCTAGCATCTCTTTCTTTGTTATAATAAAACAGTTATGGTTGATCTGTACCATGCCATGTCCGCGTTGCAAAGTGCTCTTTTTATTACAGAATTGGTTTTGAAACCATCTGAAAAAGATGAATTATCGCTTTTGGCAGATATCCCTACTTGTTTGGATGAAACTACGGTTGGTCTAACTTGCTTGAAAAACTATCCTCTTCTCTTTCAATTAACTTTCATTTAAATTGTTGTGGCTGACAATCAAGACGACTTTTTTTCAGTGTGCTGTTCCCGATGAAAATGGCGAAACGTATCCTTCCATTACTGTTAAAGTAAATTGATATTTTTCATCCTGATTATGTTGCCAACAATCGTCGTCACTGACTGTTATGTTTTTAGCTCGCCCTGGAATGTTGCGCGAATTATCCCATTGGAAATGTGACTGTGGCAGTTGATGTCACTTACCCCATCATCTGTAATAAACCATCTTCAGTTGTACCACGCATAGGTAAAGTAACGTTATGTTTTTTTGAAACATTTCGTGTGGATGTCTTCAAGTGACATGAAAATGATCGTAGTGGGAATTTCACACGTTGCCATCTAAATGTAAACTTTGCTGTCGAGTAAATTCACAAGTTACACGTAGCCATCTGAATGTAAACTTTGCTGTCGAGTAAATTCACAAGTTACACGTAGCCATCTAAATGTAAACTTTGCTGTCGAGTAAATTCACAAGTTACACGTAGCCATCTGAATGTAAACTTTGCTGTCGAGTAAATTCACAAGTTACACGTAGCCATCTGAATGTAAACTTTGCTGTCGAGTAAATTCACAAGTTACACGTAGCCATCTAAATGTAAACTTTGCTGTCGAGTAAATTCACAAGTTACACGTAGCCATCTAAATGTAAACTTTGCTGTCGAGTAAATTCACAAGTTACACGTAGCCATCTAAATGTAAACTTTGCTGTCGAGTAAATTCACAAGTTACACGTAGCCATCTAAATGTACACTTTGCTGTCGAGTAAATTCACAAGTTACACGTAGCCATCTAAATGTAAACTTTGCTGTCGAGTAAATTCACAAGTTACACGTAGCCATCTAAATGTAAACTTTGCTGTCGAGTAAATTCACAAGTTACACGTAGCCATCTAAATGTAAACTTTGCTGTCGAGTAAATTCACAAGTTACACGTAGCCATCTAAATGTACACTTTGCTGTCGAGTAAATTCACAAGTTACACGTAGCCATCTAAATGTAAACTTTGCTGTCGAGTAAATTCACAAGTTACACGTAGCCATCTAAATGTAAACTTTGTTGTCGAGTAAATTCACAAGTTACACGTAGCCATCTAAATGTAAACTTTGCTGTCGAGTAAATTCACAAGTTACACGTAGCCATCTAAATGTAAACTTTGTTGTCGAGTAAATTCACAAGTTACACGTAGCCATCTAAATGTAAACTTTGCTGTCGAGTAAATTCACAAGTTACACGTAGCCATCTAAATGTAAACTTTGCTGTCGAGTAAATTCACAAGTTACACGTAGCCATCTAAATTTTAACTTTGCTGTCGGGTAAATTCACAAGTTATACGTTTTAGTTTTTTTTAACTTGCCTGTTGTCACTCGCTGATAAAACTGGGGGTATGGTGTAGATTTGTATCTTAAAACTTGGTCTTTATTTGCGACATAAACATGAGCATCGGAAGAACGTAGAGTTTTGTTGATCTTGTGCTTACGCTTATGTTTTTGTCGCAAGAGTAGATCGCGCTCAAGTATTTTGTGCTTATTTGAACGCTTTTTTAAAGGAGACGCAAAGGCGAGAACGGAGATTGAAGTATCGTTTTATCTTTGTTGCTCATGTGTACCTTCATCGATGAAAGTTCGAGCACTGGCGACGTACACAACCGCCCTAGGTACAACGTTTTGCTTCACAATTTTCAAACTTAATTTTTCCCTTTGGAGAGTTTAGTGTATACGGCGGAGGGAGTCTGAGGGCTTGCACCGAAACATTTACAGCAGTAGTGTGTAGAATCTTTTTGATAGCCTTTCTTAAATTGCTCTCTTTCCTGTAGAATTATGATTTTGCTTTTCGTACAAAGAAGTAGCGCGGGCGGTGAAAAACAAATCTAAATGGTCGTCTGTTTGTGTTTTAGGCTCACCAAGAATCTCTCAATGTGAATTTGAACTACCTGTCTTTCTTGTACTTCGCGGTTGTTCCCCCATCAAAAATGCCATTTGTAAGGTTCGTATATTGACAATTCATGTAACCGCGCCTCCCAGCCTGTCTGAAACGTGGTCACCTCGATATTACAGCCCCTGTCATAGTCCTGACCGAAAACTAAACCTTTCGTTTTTTCTTAAACTGGTGCCGAATAGAATTATGCAAAATTCATCTTAACGTTTCAGCTGACGTTAGATTCGAACAAGCCATCCGTCGACCTTGGCGAAATATTTCAAGGTAAATAAGAAGTTTTGTCTACAGTTTAAGATGTCTGCTGTCAGATTTCTACCGAATATTCTTGATGATATTTTTTGTTCTCTTTTTAAGACATGGTCGAAGACCGAGGCGAGCCTCAGGTTGCTTTGGGTTTGGAGTATATTAACGGTCCTGTCGTCACCATACTTGTTTCAAAAACTTCACGTGAGTATGCCCTAACCAAAAACAAAATGGCTCACCAGCTTAACTAAGAAACAAAACACACCATTTACAAGTCATTCAAACTGTTTGCCCGTCGAAGCAAACACTGTCCAACTTTTAGCTCTGATAATCGTCCATCAACATGTATGTCGCGTCCCTTTAGAGAGGTACAGAATACAATGCGACAGGTTTGATGGATTGTGGTTGGTCGTTCAACAACTCGTCACCAGGCTTCATAATTATTTTGCTGACGCTAAGGACGACATTGCTTTACAAGTTTCATTCGCGGGGCCCGTGCCACTCAAGTTTTACTTTGAATTAATTGATAATCACTTTGAGGTATGTATGAATCTGTATTTGATGATTTTTCCGTAAAGGAAACGGTTATTTGTAGGTGTTAATTGTCCAGTGTTTTATGCTGCGGTTCCAGGTTCATCTAGATGCGAAAGAAGGGGTCTTCATTCTCTGCTCGGCACCCCAGGTGCTATAGCTAAGATGCTTTGTGCGCCCTCCCTAAGCACAGTAATTAGATATATGACTTGGTCGAATGGCTTTGCTACTATTTTTTTATTGTTTATTTTTTAATATAATCGCCATGTTTTTTGGGGGGAAATCACAGTTATCTTCAATGTAATAATTTGTAGTTCTTTGTTGTATAAAATATTGTAGTTCTTTGGCTCAATAATGTGTTTGTGCTTGTGAAACAAATTTACATGAGCGTTTCTTGATTCTGAGTATTTTTTTACTGACTAACTTTTAGCAAAGGCTTAACCAGCAGAAATACCGCGAGATTCTCGCCCAGCGGTCTGCGCAGTTTCGTGCGATACAAAGACGACTGCTGACCAAGTACAAAGATAAAACACCGTCTCCTTTAGGCAACTTGGATACATTACTTGATGGCACCTACAGACAGGTACAAAAGAGGTCCTTGAGGGAACAATGTGTGTGTGCTTTTGAATCATTTATTTTGTTTTGTTCATTCAGCTTTTAGCTCTCGGGGAGGCAGAAGAAGATTGTCAGCGATGTATACAACGTTCTGCAATTGCGTTATCTTGTGGGACAAGACTTATCAACCTTTTGCTTAAGTAAGTTTGGTAATTATTGAAATAAATTGAGAATTTAGCACTCCGTCTTCTATTCCACGGTTTTGTTTTGAATACAGCACGCCGATAAAATACATATTCAAAACAATCTTTGCAACGAGTAATGTCATATCTAAGTATTGATTTTTATGGAATATAGCGATTCATATTTGAGTAGATTTAAGAACATGGGCATGTCAAGTGCAAAACATTTTCTCGCTGTTTTCCTGTAGACTGTGGAAAGATATGAAAGAAGATGAATATAAAATGCTTCAGTCGACCCTTTGTGCCGATATCGTGGAAACTGACAGTCAGGTTAGTTTCCAGTCTTTTCTGTTGTTGCCAGTGCCCTCTCCCTTCCCGATAACAACATATCGCGAGCTTTTTGTTTTAGGGGTGGGAGGAAATTACGGATGCTGCCGTCACGCATCTTTTGAAGACATCATTATCAAAAGGTTCTAAAGATCATACAGGTAAAATATTTGTGGCAAATGTTTTTGCGATAATATTGGTAATGTATGAGAAAATGTACTTCAAAGAACATCATCTTGTAAACTCAGGATACGAATATTTCGTATTGTAGCTAGCAGGAGACATGATTTAAAAATGAAAAGTAATTTAAAAATAAAAACGAAATATTGCTTTGAAATCTTGTCTCTTGGTACTATTAAAAAATGTTGAGTTGACAAGATGATTGTTTTTTGGAGTGTGTTTTATCGTTTACTTCTTCAAATTGTCGGCTGGAAAAGGTTTCTTTTAAATTTATAATTTTATGACATTTATTTGATCGGTATGAGGAAGTACGTGTTGTGTTTAACAACAGCGCTTTTCAATGGACGTGCTGTTAGATTCTACAATTGAGCATATATGTTTGTTTTTAAGACGCAAAACGATTGTATGGTAAATTTTGTATTTCTTTCCCCGTTACGACAGTAAATCCTCAGACGCTTGAGTTTCCAAAGGACACAAGTAAACTAAAAAAACACATTGCGTTGTTGTGCGAAAGGCTCAACAAAGGAAGCCGGATGGACCTTTCCAATCCGACGATATCATCTTCGAATAAAGAGACTCGATCACCTGGTAAAGAGAATTGTGTTAATCATACTCTTGAATCGGTTGAAGAAGAAAGATCAGGTTTGTTATCTTGACTTACGAAAAATGCACGATGAACAGCGAATGGCTTTTGTGATCTCTGAATTGAATTGAATAACTTCAACTTCTGTTTTAAAATGTGGGGTGTTTTGCACAAAAAGTAATAATCTTTCCAAAACGCGAGACTCACCTTTATGCAAGACTAACTATAAACATTGATTCCTTATTTTTATAGATAGTTTGACGAGCCCGCGATCATCATACGATAGTATTTCACCGGAGCAGTTTGAGAGTTCGACATTTGGCGGGAGACTGCCTTCGTTAAACGACTCAAGACCGAAACACGATATTAACACTGGCGGTGTGGAACTAGCTACATATTTGGAAAACATGAAGCCATTTTCTGGTACGTAAATTTTACAGAATGATATAAGTACGCGACGTGAGAACTTTGCCTCGTCTAACCAGCTTTATTGATGAACCTAACACTTGCATCATGAAGACATTGTTGTCAGGGGGGTACGGATAAATGCATGCATGAATGTGGTTTCTGGCAATGGGAATTTCGTACGAAAATGGGCGAGCTGTTGATCTCGTGTGAAACTCTTCTATAGTCACATAAGGATTTATTAGTAACAGTGTGAAAGATTGTGTGAAACAGAGTTCACGTCGCTTTGAAGCCGTCTCAAATCAATCGTTTTGTGTTTATTTGGATAAAATTGAACAACGTCTGCCTGGTGTTTTTAATTACCCACTAGCACTTAATTTATTAACTTAAAGTAACTTATTATCGAAGATAAATCTTATTAAAAAGTTGGGAAATTGCGATGAACTCTAAAAAGAAAAACAAAAATGTTTCTCGTAAACGTTCGCTCGTATAAAAATATATTTCTTTTAAAAAAGATGATCAAATATAATTTAAAATATTTAAAACCTACTAATGGTAGAGAAATATAGATATTAACTCTTGTGAGTTCTACTATGACATTTGTGAGTTTATCTTGTTACAATAGTTATTTTAACATAGTGTACATAATAGCCTCAATGTAAAATTACGCGTCTTGTGAAACTACAAAATAATTGAATTATTTTGATTTTTCAGCAAGTTTTCTCGTAGAAATTGTGTCGTTAGATCTTGGCGCTCTTCTTTGAGCTTTAAATCGGTTTAATATTATTTATTATTTGACCAGCAAACAAGTTGTTTTTTGTGTGTGCTTGGAAAATTTTTCCCGTTGGATTTCTGCCTTTTAGTTTAGGATTAAAACACTCGCTTCATTATTTAGCAAATTTTGACGATTTTATAAACTTGGCAGAAGAAATTTTACAAACTTTTTTGTATACGTTCTTCATGTTGAAGCAAAAACTGGCAATGGGAAATTTTTTCCAAGATGAAAACGACCTTTTTGGCTATTCAATATACTTACCTACCGAACCTACCATCTGTTGCCACGATTTTATATTGTGTTATTTTATAACTAAAGTGTTTATACAAGCCATCAAATGGCTAATTCACTGTTCACAATGTTTCAATGGGCAAAAGCTTTTCGTTTCTTGGACCTGAAGTTAAAATGGGCAGTCGTTGAGTCAATGGGCAATAAAGCTATGTTTGTCATATGCAATTGACGTAGATAGGAACCTTATCATTTGACGACAAACTATGGGTGAAAAGAATACATGGAACAAGCGTAGTGTTGACTACGAGCTGAGTAACTGTTATGGTTACACAACTTGCAGCCTTTGCTTTGCACTTATTAATCGTTTTAGATATACCGCTGTAATGATAGAGAGTTGTATAAAGGATTGCTTGAATGATTACGAGTGGTATATTTGAACGCATGCAACCTGGCACGAGCGAGTTCCTCCATACATTTATCAGTAATGACAAAAGTGATTCACTTCGTTTTTTACCCTCTCCTCCCTGCATTAATTTGCCGAGAAGAATCTTTTAATTTTAGTTTGAAGATTATATTTGGTACTCCCGTGCATAAACAACATAAGCTCACCTACTTTGGACATTTCGACGGTAAAATACATTTCCTCTTGTGCCACACTTTTCCCGCTGGGCATTGACAGCCCGCAACACAAGGTTTCGTGCACATTTTGTTCGCGCGATCTTTATTCTTGCACGTGATTCGACACGCGGGCCCACAATTATCGTATACTTTGCCGCCTTTACATTTAACTCCTACAAAATCGATATTTTTGTTTGTAAAAGACAGTGAAATGATTGATACATCTATGACGGTGACTTGTCTTGTCTAATCCTTCACTTACCACAACTGCTGGTCGACCGCCATTGTATAAATATTCCCTTTCTTTGACACGCTCTAGCGTAAGCGGTTAAACTCTGACATAAACAAGAGTGGACTTGTGAACGAGGACAATGACACATGTCGTTTATGCATGATTGAAAATGGGGCCTTGGGTTCACCAGATTGTGACATTTAGCAAACTTTGCTTTCTTTAACACGTGACATTGCAGTCTGGCATGCAATAACTTTGCACCTCGGCAGGCGGGCGGGTTGTTGCCCGATTCATTGCTGTCGCAACTTGACATTTTGTTGTTATGCACTTGCCAGCTAACAGCAAATTCCTTCGTGTTCTCTTTCACCTTAGCGTAAAAAATAAATCGATTTGCTTCGTTTTCACTTCTGCATTTAGCTAAAATTTAAGTAAGAAGTTTATAGTATTCTTAATTATCCTATATAAATACTGCGCTGTGATTGGCCAATCAGGCAGCATTGCATTCTCGTTCCCAGGACTTCTGTTGTTCACGGCTTTGGAGGCAAGAGTTCAAAATAATGGCGGCATAGGTATTTTGATTTATGATATGTACTTGTGGAAAAAAGATATAATAAAGAATGCAGAGCAACTGGACGTTTCTACCGGTAAGAAAATGGTTCAATTATGATATGAGAACGTTTTGATGTTATTGTCAAGTCCTTTTAATGACCGCGAAATCCAATTTCTTCGTCTAAAGGCACTTGAAATGAGTGAATGCTTCAGTGAAGACTATACTAATATATTTTGTAACGTTAACGGTTTAATATGCATCATATTGTGATATCTAGAGGTTATAATTGCCATTTGAAATATTTTTGAACATCAATAAACTCTCAAAGCCTGTGAGCTGTGACATAAACCTCACTAATGCACAAAGTGCTTCATGGCTTGTTACGTTTGCGGTTTCACAGACCTCCCCCCCCCCCTCATTCCCTTCGTGATAGTGAAGTGGAAATGTCGTTTACAACTTATATATAGGGTCTTATTATGTGAACTAAACTACATGGGCTTCACCAAGAGGGTTAAATGTGGTTATCTTTACCCAGGACAATGAACCCCCTGATTTAAGTGCAGTTGAAAGTATTATGGGGGGGGGAGGTAAAATTGCCAAATTTGCTCCACTCACCATACATTGAATTCAACATTTCTGTCTCGCAATCACTCTTAATTTAAATCATGTAGTTCTAACTCCCCCCCCGGGGAGCTCCCCCACCAAACCCCATACTTCTTTTTCCAGCCTTCATTTCTTGTGCATCGTTAGTGATGACCAAAAAAGTGCTCACCTCACCATCTGGTGTTTGAAAATCATCGCTTGCATCACCGTTAAAATTTCCACAAAATCCACAAGTTTTGTTCCTGTATCTTTTTGGTACATGAACCTCGGTGTAACTATCACCGTCCCATACAACCTGGACACCAATGGCGGTATTGACCGTGATTAAGTAGCTCTCCTTTGCGATGTATACATCCGGTTTTAGATCAGCATAAGGCAAACCCACAGCATGACCGTTCACTTTCACGCGAAGATTCTGGAGTAGTGCCACCTCGATGCCATTATAGTGCAAAAACACGGATTTTGTCCAGGAAAATGTCCTGGAGTGACGTCCTTCGTTTCGTACTTGAATCGTAAAGTTGTTTGTGGCGCAATCTTTGGCAAACACGTATTTACATTTTCCTTGGAAGTTATACATTCGACCGTCGAATGTTTGATAGTGAGGGTCCCCAAATGATGTACACATTTCGGTCTCTGTATAGAAATAAAGAGTTCTTTCATTGCCATCCCCACGCTAGCGGCTTTAGTTTCATTGTAGGAGTTAGTTTGCTAAAATAGGGGTTAGCTCCGGGTTCGTAGCAAACCCTCTTTGTATCAGAATGATTTCATATTGACTCGTTCGAAAGTACCCTGTTTTGTGTATGATAGATGTGCTTTTTTTAGGAGGTAAGGTGTGAACAAATACTCATCGAACTGTCGTGTTTTCATGGTGGAAACAGATTCACATCTAAAGGTTTGCTGTTGTTATTTTCTTTCTTTTAAAATTGCGATTGGCTTGCGGAGAATCAACTCACACGGACCGAGGTTGCATTAAGTGGTTTCGTTTTGCGTGCAAGATTGATTAAAACTTCGAGCAAAAAAATTTAACATTGCTCATTGTATGACTGTATCTGTGGCAGTTTTTGTCAATGTCATTGTAATTTACTGTTCTACCATTTCAAATGAATTTAATGATAGAATTTCTACCATTTTATACAAAATGGACATTCTCCCGACTATGGTAGTTACCAAAGACTAGTGATGAAAAATATTATTGACGGCCTTAATACATAGGGAAGTTTTATGAAAGAGATTAATAATGCCGTTTGTACTCAGTAAAATTTGATGAAAAACATTCACGATGGCTGTTTCCGTCTGTATTTAAGAAATAAAAGATTTAAACAGCGTACGCGTTTGTTGTTTTTTCCAGTTTTTTCTTTATGATTAGCCAATAATTACGTAAGTACACGTGCGGGCACTCAACGCGAGTTCGCGCCCCGAGGACGCGCATCCCGCGAGTATATCTATAGATAATTGTTTCAAAAAGATTGTTCCTTGCCCCACTAACCTTCAATACAAGTCTCACAGCAAGCTCCTGGCTTGAATCCTTTTTTCATACCCTAAATCACAAAGAGATAACGAGGCTTTAAACGTTAACATATTGAATTTATTATGCCTGACGCGTTGACGATAGAACTTCGTCGCGTAGCAATACGTATTATAAATTTAAAAACTATTAAAGAATGAAAATATTTTGTACCTTTGGACAGACAAAATGTTGGTTACACGTTATAGGCTTGCAGGAATAACCGCCTGTTTTACATGTACATTGTGTGCATTGACGACCAGGCCACGAATCTCCATTCTAAATACACAATAACACAATGACAAGAACATTAACGTGCATTCTTGTGATGAATCATGGGATTTTTGCTCAGTAAACTTTTTGAGATCTTTCAAATGAACTTGCGACGATAAATTTCTGTGGAAAATGTTTAACGAAGCTAAACGTTCGTTAGAAATTAGTGTTTGATTCGAAAATGTGCGAATACCTCGAATAGCAAGATCGCAACTAGGCTTCGCAGCTATTGTGGCAGGGGTGCTTGGACGCATTAAAGTTCATGAACAATATTCGAATCCCTCTTTTTTTCGTTTTTTAAGATCGAAATTTCGTGTTCAGTGCCGCGTCTTTCTGTGAAACATAGCTTTGGCTTGTACTGGCTACAAACCTTTCATAGGACAAAACCATTTGAGTAACAGATTACGTATTTACTTCAGCTTAGTGCTTGGTGTGTGAGTAGAGCTTATTATGTCAACATGTCACCTAACACATATTGCCACGCATTGCGTTAACTTTTCTACAAATAAGGGGCGTAGGATATATTCGCGCGGAGTAAACTTTGGAAAAAAACCAGCCAGCTATCCTTCAGCCACATCCTGTTGATGTAGACGTTGAGGCGCTTACTCGTTGATCGCAACGAAAGTCGTTTGTATTCAAAATAACGAGTAGTCAATTAAGATGTATGGCTTTTTAATGTGAAGAAATCCCTCAGGAAACGAATTTTTAAATTACCATTTCCATAATCCTGCATCTGGAAGCTTGATTTTGACAATAGCCTACGAAAGCTCTATGGCTCTAAGCGAATGCTTGCGTAGAAAATATAATGATATCAACTATTGCTGTGAAAGACCTCTAAGTTGACTTCATTTATACGTATTCTTCTCTTTCACTTAATACCAGACCCACGTTCCACTGCGTTGTGGTCCTCGCCACGACGCACAATATGGAAATTTGTGTCTATGTGAGGTGCGACCTATTCTCTATTGGCATTCGGCCGCCTCCAAAAGGCAACATAATCGCGTTATAAGAGAAATGATTTGTGTATAAACTTGCGGTTTATCCTTCTATTAGTTTTTGCTAAGCTCGTGGCTGCCGTTTCATAAACTGCGCAGGTTTGTGTGTTTAGCAATAGTTTGGGAGCTGTTAATTACTACCGCGTGCATCCCCAAGGTTCAAACTGTGAAAGGATTTCAAATTTTGTTGTTTTTGCCAAGAAAGAAGGTATAACGGTTAATAATGTCGTTCTGCAACAACAAAATGTATAAATAATTTGGATAATTAGATTCGCGGAGGAGACAAAGATATTTTTTCCGGTAAGAACGATTCCTCAAGTGTTATTGATTCACAAGGAGCTCTTTAAAGGGGCGACAGTCGACCGTTGCCTCGGTTTTATAGTGCTTTCAATTGCATGAGTATAGTGCGTGCGTTTCATGAATTGGCTGCGTTTGAAAACGTTTCTAAGTCATCATGAAAATTCAAGGTATTTCAAAGAATTAACAGAGTGGCTTACCTCATATTTCTTTCCTTCGTATAAGCAGTTTTCGCTTTCTACAAAAGAGGCAAAAATTACACAAATGGACAGTAGTAGCATATCGTAAACACACCGTGGACGAGAACTTTTCCAGGCTTAGTTAGAGGTCAATTCTATTTATGAACGTTTCAGTGAATGGAGATTGATTTATTAGGATATAAAATAACGCCAGTTATCCAACGTGCGATGAGTGATGACCTTGTTTATTCAAGATAACTGCTAAACACCCAAGGGATTAGCTATGTTCTTTGCCTTTTTCGCGACACCTTCTAGAGTTTTCACCGCTCTAAATCGCTGCATACTTATGGTCAAAGTGTACGATTCTCTCGAGGTGGAACGTGTGTTTTAGATTATGTTCCAAGTGGAATTTTTTTAGTATAGTCTAGTCTCTCGTTTGCTCAACGCTGACCAGGTATACCGTAAGTGTAAAAGAGAACTTGCAACAGGCTTTATTTGGTGGTGTCATTTTTTAAGTATTGGTGAAAATTATTTGATTTTCGGCTTCGTTTACGCTGCCATTGTTCAATTCTTGCAGATATTTCATTTTTTACAGAATATTTTTTCATTTTGTGGAAACGTTTTTCGCCCAAAACTTAAAAAATCTTAAAAAGACATTCATTTTACAAACACGATTGAAACTCGTGTTGCAGTGATGTACGTTTTATTGTTTATAAACTTGCATGTTCATTGTATTGATTGAAAAAACGTCTATAATAAGAAAGTGTGTGGGCAATGAAATCTTTTCATCACAAAATTAGCGCAGGAAACTTTTACCGTGCTGTTTTTTTCACACCGTTTATTTGTGAACTTGTCATGATAGAATGGCGCTTCATATGTAATGGGCCACGTCTGTTTAAAACTTGTGTTTCAATACGAAATTAACACAGGAAAATATTTGTCATGGTATTTTTCACACCGTTTACATGTAAACTTGTCATAATGAAATAGTGCTTCACGTGTACTTAAACCGCGCGTTGCATTGTGAATTATTATTTTCGTTTCTAATCTGACAAGATATTCAACCGCCTTGACCAAACATGGCATCGTCTCTCAGACATGCACAAAATGAGACATTTTAAATAAAAAATCTTACTTGATCAAGGAATTCCGGTGACTGCCAGTATTATTTTACCAAACCTCAAACATTTATTTAAAATATTCAACTACTTAAATAGGAATTGAACAAAAAAGGTATTTGACCATAGGCGTACGGGAGCTTTCTTTCCTGGGGGGGGGAGGGGTGGCAGTAAATATTTTCGGCAAAATTCACAAAGAAGGCTCTGGCGTAGTTTTCACAGACTAACGTTTAAAATTCGCCAAACTTTTTAATCTTTAAAATTTCTTGGGGAGGGAGGGCAACTGCCTCCCTCTCTGCTTACTGTCCCTTGCGCCTATGTATTTGACGTTGTCATTACATTGTCAATACATATGATATAAAAGGGGATGTCAGCCAAGGAGATGAGAAAACAGAACTTTTCAGATCATAATAAATGTATGCATGGTAAATTACATTCTCAAGCTTCGCGCTTTAGATACTTTCGAGAAAGCTACTTATGACAGAGACACTTTAAAGCTAAGTTTAATGGTCGAATAAAGTTACCCTAAATCGCTTACTGATGAGCCCACATAAATGCGATTTTAGCAATGGTCATCGCAACCGTTGAAATACTTTATGTAACATTCGTTCATTCTTATTCGATCAATTAAAACTATAAATGGTCAAATTTGAAATCGTTATTTGTTGATCAGTAAAATATTAAGAAAATATTGTCATTAAACAAGAGCAATCACATCATCGAAACAACAGTTAAATCATTTTAGCTGTCGTCAAGGCATGTGGGAGAAGAATTTGTGAGATTTTTTGCACCAACCTTGACATTCGCTACAACAGACGTTCGCCTTCTTCACCATGATTCCATTGCAATGCAAGATTTTAGGGCATTTCTCTATCTTGCACCGTACAACTCCGCCCTGAATTACATGAAAAGAAGAAATTAAAATTGAAGCGATGAAATAGAAAAGTTTTGATGCCATTTACAGTCTGGGAGAATTGTACCGTCTGGCGCCGAACGTATTCATACGCTAATTATACAATGGTATCACAGACTATAATGCGACTGGACGCCACATTTCTCATGGCAAACGTATCGCAACACCACTGCATGCCGCCATTGACTTATTCACGAGAAAAAATATTATTGTCTAGTGAACGCCTCTCGTATTGCATAAATACAGCGGTAACGATGATTAACTAATATATATTTATATATATAACCGCACGTCCTGTGTCCCAAGTGCAGGAGTCACCATTTTACTATGGTGATGGCCGGGAGGGCACATTGTTATACACTTTGTATATATATATTTATATATATATGTTTAAAGATTGGCAATCCAGGCATTATATTGCTCAAAAATAAAAGTTTCTCCGGATTTTATAAATAATTTTATTTAGCTTTCGACTCGTTTCTTCGAGCTTTCATCAGAATGAGGAAACTGCAAGTGTAAATAAATAATTTCCTCATTCTGTTGAAGGCTCGAAGCAACGAGTCGAAAGCTCAATAAAATTATTTTTGAAAACCGGAGAAACTTTTGTTTCTGAACAATTATATATATATATATATATATATATATATATAATACGTCTCGTTTGCATAACATGCGAAAGCAATCAGAGAATTTTCGTCACCGATGATTTTATAGAACGATGAATTTTTTATTGATCTTTCATGTTGAGGATTTCATCTGAGTGTATTTTTGATCAAAATCATACAAGCTATCCAGTTATAACGCCATTTATTGCCACTTTAGTATCGCGTTGTGGTAGACTTCAACATTTCCAGAAGCAACTACGAGAACAGTCTAGAAGCAAGTGCATAAACATTCCCAGAAGCAACTGCGCTTTTTCATTCGTAGTGCCTTACGTGCATTACGTAGCTATTTAAGGACTAAGATTTCCTGCAATATTTCTATAAAAGTCTGTATGTTTTTTTGTGAAAAACTGAGCGTGAGTGCCGTTTGTATTCATTTCTGATTACCCTTAGACAGTTTGTTCAATTAGGTGAAAAAACATTGTTTAGATTAGCACTATATGCCACAGTTGCTCAGCCCATTCACCAATTAAACAATCGTGCATTTTTAGCGGGCTTACCTAGAGCTGCGACTTAAGTCTATTAGTAAATAGTGGCTCTTGAATTCTTTGTTTGGCAAAAAGAAAAAAAAGGGTCATTCATAGTCACTAGTTTTGAAGAGCATGCAACACTAAAAATTGTAGGTGGTTTAAACGAAAAAAAAAATGAACGTTTTCTAGATTTTTTAGACCTTCAGGCATTATCCAAAGAATGCACGCCATCGATCTAGACTTCTCGCATTGAAATCATCAACAGCTGCGATATTTGTTTGCGTTTCTTCGGTGTGGGATGTGTCTTAACTTATTAACGGGACTTTTTTTACAATCCTCCAAACTCAATTGCTTGTTTTTTGTTGGAATTTATTAACCTCGGCCATATTTTCACCTGAGGTTTCTTTTAAGCTATACTCAGTACTGGAGTTTTATATCAAATTTTACATATTCGTCAACATTTTTTTCGGAATACGAGACACGCGATTGCAGTTTTAAGCTAGTCACAGCTAGTTTATTTCAAATCAATCCTGTGGGGAAAAACAGGAGGCAGAGCGTAGCATCCATTTGGATCATGTGAAGACAATTAACGAACCACTGTCAGTGTTTAAAGCTTGCTATACATCTGTAAAACCTAAACCTGCGATCATTTACTCTTCCCACTCTCACCCTGTCTAGTCCTCATATACGTAAGCTCGGGTAAGCCATTCAAAAAATCATTTTAAGTTGGATTACTCTAAAGCAGACTTAGATGTGTTACTCGTGAGCTTACGATACTTTTACCTACCCATGCGTTTCAATTTTTTTTGTCAATTAAGCCTTGTACAATGTCTGTGACCCTTTCCTTATAAGTCCGACATCTTGTGGGGTCAATATTCTGTTGGTATGCAGAGCGCATTTTATTATAATTATGTCTATAATGATCTTATATGACGTCGTGCATTTTGCAATGAACGATGTAATTAGGCCAAGTTCATCGCAAACCGGATTGGAGTAGTTCAAACTTCCTTGGTTTTATAAGTCTGTGAAGATTTTTTGTTGCTATGACACAAAAAGATTATACACCAAATAAACCCTGCGTCTTAACGCGAAGCAAATATGTATATCGTGAGCAATGAGTAGCGAGTTCGTTATAGCGAATAAACTGGAGCTCTCATAGCTTTTACGGAAACCTCTTGAAATTGCTCTCAGTAATTTCTACACGTACTTGCGTGTGAAGAAAGATATTGTTGAATGATGAACGGAGGAATGATTCACGTTGCTAATGAGACAATTTATGCAATTTTCTTTTTAATATCCGTGCAAAATTTCTATTTATGGAAGCAAGCGAAAGTATTCTGGAAACATTCTGAAAGGTTTAATTTAAGCTTGTAGTTTGTCTATACATAATTAACGATGGTTTATTTTAGATAGTTGGACAGTTTTCTTTTTCAAGCGAAAGTATTCTGGAGACATTCTGAAAGGTTTAATTTAAGTTTGTAATTTGTCTATACATAATTAACGATGGTTTATTGTAGATAGTTGGACAGTTTTTTACGTAGAAAATACGTAAGTATTTTGAGCTTTTCTTAACGTGATGTTTTCGTGATTTCCCTTGTACCATAAAATATCTTAAATTTTTCATTGCCTAAAGATTTAGAAATCGAAAAGCGTACGAATTTGATGAGTCATACCCCGATTCAAATGCGATTACAAAATTAGTTTGAAATAGGATTTCGAAAAAAGTTTATTTCTTATTTATAAAAAGTTTGACTGTTCGTCTTCAGTTTACTAAATGTCTACTTTTGACACAATTCAATAAAACTTTTGCGCTCATATACAAAGTCATGCATGTGTATTTACTGACCAATGTCGGCTCTCACGACAACATCATTCAATATCCTGAACAAAGGGTGTGGTGTGATGGACCCACAATGGTTTGTGTATCTGTGTGTGTGGGGTGCTTTTGTTTGGATTAGATTTCAACTGCTGCCTATTGCCATACCCATTCAGGCTTTTTTTCGTTACATTCTGTAACCTTTTTATTTTGATTGTGAGATTTTTTAGTGAAGTTTCTACCCCTTCTTCACCCCGTCTCGCTATCGTTAGGAGGGATGAACATCCTTTCACGTCCCTCCCATAAATCCATTGCTGATGTCATGAAAATTTCTCATATAATACAACGTTGGGTGACTTTTGTCTCCTATTGCGAAGTATACAAAGTTTCCAAGCATATTCGATAGAAAGCCTGTGTGTTTATAGTTGCACCCTTTCTAGACATTGCTCGGATACTGAAAATCTTTACAAACTTTTACTGCATTGGGGACGAGGGAATTTTTGTCCGGCAAAACTTGCGGACTTTTCATCCAAAATTTACCTAGAGTTTTGTATATTCGAGCGAGAAACAATAGTGCAGATCTGTTTTGAAAAGTGAATGGCGTGGGCGTGAATGGACTGAGAAGTAGGGGGCATGCTATTCCCTTCACACCCCCCCAGGATTCACAAACTTGGCGAAAAACATTACATTGACCATATATGTTTGTAATAAATATTTATCACAAGTGGTGAAGTGAGCATTAGAAATTGGATTGTCTGACTTCTCATCCCTTGGATGTGCATTTGTGGTCACGTTTCATAAGCATTACGTAGAAAATAAGGAGGTTATTTCAATACGTATATTAACTGACAGTGTATTTATCAAAAATTTCGCCTGGAAAATTCCTCACGTTTAATTTTACGTTTGAGTACAAAAACGCCGTCGAGAAAACGAGAAAAAAATACGTGGCCTTTGGTCGTTATTTTTTAAAGGATGTTGAAATATCATTAAGACGCCAAGTATTTTTACTTGTGGCATATAGCCATGAATTCAAAAGTTTTGCATTCTCTTTCACAATTCACTTGCAATTAACTTGCGAGTTCATAGCTGACTGTATCACATATTTCCTATCGCTAGTTCTTAGTCCTCCGCCGTTGGGGTAATCTCACTCACTCTTGAGGGACCTTGGACATTTAAGTCAGTATATATGAAAAATAGTGGGTTATTATTCGGCCCATGCAATGAAGGATATGTATATTCACTGCTTAAATCCTCAATCTTTTTGTTACTGTCTTTCATTTATCGCTGTGTGTTTCCTGACGTAACAATCTATAACATTACATATGTGTAACCCTGTTAATTTGACGTACGCCGTGCAGCTAACGAGTCAAACAAGATTATGTTTAACGGGTTATTACGCACGATTTTATTTCTAGACCCACCGATCCTTTTAAAACGCTGATTGAAGTGTAGTCATTAGCTCGTTGTACGTACTAAAGGGGAACTGGAAGATTCGGGATTTGGGAAGGGGACGTGGAAAGACATGTGGGGATTGCATTGATGCAGAATAGGTTTTTGACGGCCCGTCGAGTAGAGGTGCTGAGTTAGCAACTTCAAAATATGTACGTGTCAAGTGAAGTATGTACGAAGCAATCGATCACACGATTTTATCGTGTGGTTTAATTGCAAGTTGACGAAAACCAAGGTTATTAAAAACAAAAAAAAAGTGCGGTTTGTCATTGTGTACCACCCCCCACCCCCCATACGCAAATTTCATAAAGTTGGTTAACTTTGGAGATGTTTGCACCTGGCGACTAGCATGTCGGCTTAACGCCATGCAGTCGTTAATCGCGCAATCCTTACGTAAAACCCTAGAGTTAGTCGACTTTTCATCTGGCTGAAATGTAGTTCACTGTTTGAATTTTGTTGTCGTGATCGTCATGACGACGATAGGGCCATGGCTATAACAGGCTGCGGATTAACTGTGGATGAAACGTGATTAGATTGTGATGCTTTCATTCGGAACGGACGAGAGAAAAAGAAATATGTGCCGAAATGGAAAATTCGGGTTGAGTTTCGTCACAACCCAAGATGTTTCCAAATCACTTGTCAGCCTAATAAATCATTGTCATTCGTGCATTCGCAATGCTCTTCATAAATCACACAAAAAACACTTGCTATGCTGTCGTCGTAGTTGTTTTACGCAGTCTCGTTGTCATATATATCCAACGAACATATTTTTTGTTTTCTTTATGAGTGCTCTTCGAAAAATATCACCATTGATTGCATGGTGCTTTGTAGAATCATAAATTGTCTCTTCATATTTTTCTATACATTCCATAGTTTCCGCCTGTTTTAGATTGCGTTTATCTCGTAGTACGTGCAGTTAATTAAAAGTTTCTGTCGCGTATTTTACGTTTTAAAACCACCCAGTGAATTTATTTTCCGCGAGCACTCCTTTACTAAAGACGCATGCCAATGTCGATGATCGAATTCGTGTAAAATGGAGAAATTCGTCCTATGTTTTACATTGGAAACAGGCGAATCTAAAGGCTAAAACGAATGCTAGTTTTTCGTATTTCCCCCTTGGATCAAGGGCGACAATATATTGTGTATCAATATAGAAATTTCGATAAGTGGAAACTGTAACTGACACTTTTTCTAATCACTTTAGTTGTTTTGACATGCTAAAGGCCACGAATTATTTGCCAAGGAGATGATTGATATTCTCCAACAAGATCGACAACAACAACATGATTTTGGCCACGAGAAGAACACCTTATCGTCAGCGGCGAACAGTTGTGAGTAATGTATACCTCTACTTATTGAATAATTAAATGTTGCTCATCGTCTATTTGAATGGTTCCCACTACAGTTTAAACTGGCATATTAACCCCCTGCAGTTACGGTAAACTTTCTTCAAACTGCGCGCAAACTGTGCATCGTGAAAGACGTTTAACTGTAGTAAGATTTTACATTTCGCGGTAGTTCGTCGAATTTTTGGTGCGAATGTATGTGGAAATTACATCTGTGCTCGAGCATTTGTTATAAATTGGAAAGAAATTTTTAATTATACCATCTCGAATAAAGGTCATTGCCGAGGAATGCGGCATTCAAACATACCTCACAAAAACATCGCATACAAGGAATGCGAGAGACTAATGGCAAGTCCACGATGGCTCCTTCTTTTTCACATTTCGCCGTGCGACCTTAAAAATGAGCGAAACATGTTACGTTTGATGACATATTGCAACGAAGTTCTTGTGTCTTATCTACACGCATGCGCGGTACATGTCGCCGAAATATGTTTTTCCGCTTTATTTTGTCCTTTCCGATGGACGGTATGCGCTCTCTTGTTTGTGTACAACAGCACTAAATTGCCATCGTTCAATTTCCCTTGCGATAGTTTAAAATATTTGTCCTATATTCCAATCATTACATCGTACATGCTTTGTGATGATCTGTGCTGATCTTTTAAATCTGTGATCCCTGAGTTTAAGGATTATTAAGTACTTTCGTGAAAGGCTCGCTGAATCTACGAAGCATTCCTGTATCTTCCCCCAAGGAACCTTCCCGCATTCTGACAATGTTATGTGCAATGACCGGCGGGCCTCTTTACTAATACGCTAGGCGCACGGTAATCGGAAGTCGTATGCCTAAAAACTGAACAGAAACTCGTAAGCACTGCATCATCTTGTATTTTAAACGCTGTAATCCTGTAATTGAAACGTTTTATGCAGTGAAAGAGCAGACGAAGCCCCAGGGTCAAATATTTTTTGTTCGTTTCTATCCTATAATAATACACCAGGTTGTGTTGGGGATGTCTGTAAGTTACGCAAGTTTTGATGTTCTTCTATCGCAGTAATCACACTCTATACGGGCGTTTAGCAACAAAAATTAAATCTTCATCCTTTTCATCTCATTAAAAAGAACGAACTAGGAATGACGAATCTAGAATGAAAGCTCTACACGTTATTAACTCTGGTTTATTTTATATATTTTTAAGCATTTTTGGATCCATACCGATCTCGTTCTCCTACCTCCTAAAATCTCTGGCGAGCTTGATTTTCGCGTCCGAAGCAAATTGAAAGTCAGCATTGACGGAACACCGTTTATATTTTTTATAAACATTATTAATAGGAGCAATAAGTGGGTGTACTTTTTCATTTTTACGATTCTTGTCTTATCAAAGATTCTTTGAAGATGTGTAGCTCTTACTGCTTTGCTTTGTCAAGTATGATTATGAACGTTGTGGAAATAATTCTTTTTGCTTGTTTGCGTTGAATCCTCCTCGTTTACCGTACGATGTGCTAGTAATCTTCCTTTATCCCCTTCCGACGCCTCAATCTAATCCACTATACGAATTTTTGAGGAACTGATTGCGACCTCGTGTCGTTCGTACTGCGCATGCACCCTGGTGATGTTATCTGGACGGCGTGCTCGTGTGATTTGACGCAAATGATCTGTCAGGAGCGATTTTAAACTCGAGTGTCTTATCTCAACTATGTGATGATGATATCTCGCCCCAAATCTGCGCTTTTTCGTTAAGATTTCCTTTCTTACTCACGTAATCCGTCAACATTGACAAGAGGCTTGTTGAATTGTGGTTACAGGTTCGTCTGTCAGCAGCTTATAATTCTGTCTTATGCATTAAAAACGGCTGATCATGTGCGCTTTGCCTTCTGCAATCTTAGACGCGTAAGAAAATCTGCGGAAAAGGTACAAAAACAGCTTCGAGGCTACAGACAGATTTTGATCAGCTTAATGCTATTATTTTGCAGCTTCAATTTCTTTGTGGAGCGATGTGGTTCATTCAAAAGTAGATTTCATTAAATTAAACTTAATTTTCTTATTCAGTCTTTAAGGCGCCATGAATAGCCGTGTGCCTTCGCTGAAATCATCTAATTACATTCTTATTTGTCTAGTGTATGTTGAAGTGCGAATGGCGAGCACACGATGAACTTGTTGAGACACCAAAAGGTGATGATTTGCATGGTTTTTTTGTCTGCAAAGCCGTTGGCCTGCGCATTTAGAAGCAAAGCTGGCAGTCTCGAGATTTGAGACGAAATGGCGAACAAGATAACGCACACTCTTTAGCACATGTCAGATTGCTTTGAGTGGCGAATAGTTGCGTGATAGTACCCGCCCCGGAGACAGACGGTCAAGCGAAATATGGTTACTGCAGATAACATTGTGCAGCCTCCCTCCATCCAAATCACGCAAATATGGCTGTGATTGTGGGCGCGTGCAGACCATAATGGTCAACACTGGTCAACACCGTTTACGTATTTCTCTATAGCTCTTTCATCTGCATTTAACTCTGAGGTAGATTCGTTGTCAAAGATATGGTTTTCATTTCTATCATGTCCGTTTTCTCTCACTGACGAGCTTTTACCTTCTTTTCCATTTTCTCAAAATGCAATGAAACAAAGAATTTTCGGAATTCCTCAAGTTTGAGAAATATTCATTTACATCGTTCTGATCATTGTTTTTCTTTTCGTTTGTGCAACAACTTAAACGAGAACCTTTCCTCGGCTCTCCCATCTTTTTTCACATCGATGGAACTGTTTGAAATTTAGCAAAAGATTCCTTTCATCAGCATACATTCGACATTTCATTCGCAGATGAAAGGATTGCAAATTAATGAATAGTTTGTGCAGACTTTAAATGAAAATATTATTAATTTTGCGTCATTGACTTGTGCTAAAATTCCTTCGCATCTTTCGTCTGTGCGAAGATGATTATACAGTTTGATCTTGAAGGGGCAGGCATGAAATTGCTTTTTGTATTTCATGCTCAGCTTTATAAACGGAGTCCTGTTCTCTGCATCAAGATTCTGTGTGATCCGTGAGATAATTTCTCAATCTATGATAGACTTGAGTTAGGGCGTTTTTGGTCTCAATATCATTTCATTGCTGTCGCCGAATATTTCTCATCGTACATCTAGATAATATAAGTGACTGACCACCTTGTGGGAAGACATATCATCGTGCCGTATGCAGGCTCTTTGGGTCAGTCATCGAAGTCTAGATTAACATGCCCGGCTTCTTTGTGCATTTCTGAAGCTGGCAAAAATTCTTTGCATTGAAGTTAATCCGAGACTTTATCTTTTGGATTTCAGCTTAATCTTGTTGCGTATTGTTACAAATGTCCCAACTGTTGGTTCTGTTATGTGTCGAATAATGGTCGTAAATGCATTTCGTAATCGTTCCTTCGAATAGTTTTTGCTCATCAATAAATAGTTTCAGGTCGTTGTGTTTATCGAAGCCCGTGAAAATGTCTTTTCTGTCCTAATTACAAGATTTTCACGAGTTTGTTGTTTATGGAAGTATTCGGTAATTACTTGTGAAGTGTTCGTGTTTGACTGTCGTTAATGCTCGGAAATAGGATGTCGTCAGCGAAAGGAAATTGTTAAATGAACTTATACTCCAGGGTCTTCTTTGTGCAATTCTCAAGGTCGCCAATTATTTGACGGAGCGACGTACGTTTAAGAAAAATTCAACGACCGTAACATTTTAAAAACATACTTGAAATTTTTCCGAACTGCACCCAAGACGGATAACATCACGAAGGAAGTTGTTAGCTCTTTAAGCAATTAAACAAATAGTTCGCAACATTAAACTTTAGCTGGAATTATACACAGTCTCAAGTGAGTTCGTCAATGCACTTAAAGAGAATAACTACCAGTTAATAGGAATGCTCGAACCTGTTAGATAAAAACCTTGACATTGAATTCATGGAAGATGATTGTTGGAATAAAGTAACATTTGATCGTGACTGTTTCTTGGTTGTCTTCGCGAAAAGAGAATGTTATATTTGTCTAATTATAGCATTCATCAGAGTATCGTGAGAAAACAATTGAGCGAGCTTGAACTTCGCGGAAAGAAAGATTTCATAGGAAAAGGCATCGAAGGCAAATGCATTTGGTCTTATAATCGTGAGTTCAAATTCGTCCTATAGGAAGATGATGAAACAACTGCGGTCGCAAAGCGTTCGAATATACGCGGCGTCTGTAATTTCAGGGCGGCTTCAACTGCGTCAGCTATTAGAGGATAATGACTTTTAATATTGTGTTAAATCTTTAATCTACGTCGTCCTTTGATATTAAGTATAAAAACACCTTCATTGACAATGCTTGCATGCATGCAAAAACTTTCCTGGACACTTGCATTTTCTATGTACAATTCTCAAAACAAGTTTTGTGAATGCAAGTGGACATGCAAACTTAGTCTGTGGTACGATACCGACATCTTTGTATCAACTAAGGTTTAGAAATAGCTGCATATATACATGCACATGACCCCTAAGGCAGTTGCGGCAGTTTATTATATTCGTACTACAGTTTGAGAAAATCTAACGCAGTTTTTGTATATACATATCTGCCATAAAATTGCAAAATGTGATTTTCAGTATCTTGACTTTTTGATGATTACATAACATAGAAACCAAAAGCTTGCCTTTGTTTGATGTTCATTTTCTTCTACATGTTTCAACTCTAATATTTCCTTGTGTAAACATAAACGTTTTAAGGGGATTTTAATATCTTGGTACTGTCTGCATGGGAACTTTGTACAGTACATAATTTTTTGGCAATATAATCGGTTGCTACAATGTCATGCGTCTCAAGTCACGAGAAGGGGTATTAAGCCACTTTCATTTTATAGCTTGCTTCTGCCACGAACGCGTGCATACGTCTTAAATCTCAACCTTATTCATTTTGAAGAGTAATGTTACTTTTTTGCTGTTGTCTATATGCATAATAATCTCCAATTAAAGTTTCCCCACCGACTTTCTTCTTCCAATTAAAATTTTTATTCAAATTTAACATGGAAGGCGATCATTCTGTAATTTTTCGTTAAGTCTTTAGTTTAATAAACTCAATGCCACCTGTGTTTAAATCTTATTTACTAAGAATACTCGATAATCCATGCCGTGCATTTCATACATTTATAACAACATTGGCCACCCTGGTGTGTGTATACACATCTGCTTGTTCTCCATACTTCAAAACGATCAGTTCGTACATTATACCAATTGGGTTCAACGGGGGATTCTACTTGATTCGTTTCTTCGTTGCGTCTTCATTTCCACGCACTCAGTGCGCATGTCACAAAAATTTCAGATAATGTTTTGCTGTATGAACTGTATGGAAAGTCAATTTACTGGTGAAAAAATGAACTAAATAAAAGATACACTTAGAGTAACATCGCTTCAGAGCTTTGAACTGATTTTTCATGGGGTTGATTCATTTAATGCCTGTAATGATCTGCAGTCGAAGCTTGTTCTCGCATCAAAGGTATAGGCACAGTGCTCTTGTTTTTGAAAAATATATGGCGTTTTATATTTTTCATCTTCAGTCAGCATACCCAAATTGTCTTCAGAATGTTTGCTTTCGTGCGTGGTCCTTTGGCTATCGTTTCAAGTATAATTGTTGTCATAGTTTTTAAGGCACTTTGTATGAAGAATGTTTGCTTTCGTGCGTGGTCCTTTGGCTATCGTTTCAAGTATAATTGTTGTCATAGTTTTTAAGGCACTTTGAATGAAGAATGTTTGCTTTCGTGCGTGGTCCTTTGGCTATCGTTTCAAGTATAATTGTTGTCATAGTTTTTAAGGCACTTTGTATCAGAATGTTTGCTTTCGTGCGTGGTCCTTTGGCTATCGTTTCAAGTATAATTGTTGTCATAGTTTTTAAGGCACTTTGAATGAAGAATTAATGGTGATGCTTATTCCCACGACAAAATGCATTTTGTTATATCCTAGCTGCACTTCTCGCTCATTTAATCCATTTTATTCAAGTCTGAATTTTCTTAATAGCAGGTATAATTTGATCCGTTGCCATTGGAGAAATTGTCGTCGAGATGAAAGCTATAAGTGCAAAGAATGTAATTTGCCAGCTGAGTGTGTTTCAATGAAAAATGAAGCGAAGGATAGTATGAGAATAAAATATACATATTTTCTGAAAATTGACAACATTGATAAATTCTCAAAATTATTTAAGTCTTAAACACCTTTCGCAAAATTTTACAAAAAATGATTTCGTAAATTTCACATTCGATTATATATTGTCAAGCATTTTTTACTATATTATACAAAATGTCGTTATGATAACGTATGTCATGTAAAAGGTTTCAGCGAAGGCATTACTTAAGTTTCATCGCTCGTTCTTTATCGTTTCGAAATATTTCCAGCAATGCATGTCAATGTATGTGATTGTGTCGAGAATTGGCCCTCCCAAGTCGTACTCCCACTCGAGTGGCAATCGATCAACTTAAACTAAATAAAATCCTACGACAATAAACTTTACTAAGATATATTAACAAATAAAAACCCACAAATAACAAGTATGCGTTCGTTACAGTACAAATAGACAACATCTCGGGGTCACATACGTCTCGCAACTGACTCGCTCCCCTCACCTCTTTCATTCCCCACTCTTGACGTCATTACTGATAGTTCGTGCATGCTACTGACTAATAATGAATGATGTCCTTGTCAGTTTCCGACAATTCATCATCACACGAAAATTTAGTATTTCCTTTTACTGGATTGAGGAGCAAGTGTGGGCAAAAAATGCCAACTCACTTCACTGATGTAAGAACATTCTAGAGAAACGTCCATTTTGCTCATTTTGCCCATTTTTGCTCTTCCCAATAGAGAAAATTTCAATGTTAAACTAAAACCACTGTAAAAGCAATGTTAAAACCATCTTCTCAATGAGTATTCATTATTATTATTATTTTTTTATCATTTTTAATGTCCCCGTTATTGCTGTGACTACATTATGGAATATTTACTGAGGATGGACATCTCACTGTACAAGATACAATATGTATCCAATCATTTAAATTCATGAAATCTTTACGAGAAATACATTACTTAATGTAATACGTACAATTATGACATTTATATAATGCTTTATAGTTGAGTGGAGAGCTTCTCAATACACATATGTTATTTGAGCCAAGTATATATTACGATAGATATGTTTAGATTTTGAAATGACATCTTTTGACCATTATTCGAGTTTCCAATTGGCCTTTTTCATGTAACACAACCTTGCGTGACCATCACTGTTCTTCGTCGTAGTACTTTGTACTGTTTAAAGCATGCCTGTATGCACTTGTAAAACAACAAGAAATAATCTCAAATCCCCTTAAGTAACCACCTCAAGTAATGTTCAATGGGATTGTCTTACTAAGTAATAATCTAGGCAACACTTTCTTGAAATCGACATCCTGTTGGAACTCTTCTGTTCTAGGCATCAGTACATTTTTCTCTCGCGTCAGTTACAGTCATGAGCCATGAAAAATGAATGTTTATATACCACTTGTTGTTCTTCTGTTACAGTATAACGCACATTGAAGTAATGCATATTAATCTTTAAGATAAGAACTATTTTTTCGTGCACATACATCATATGCATCGTTTTTCTTCACGTCGCTGTCAACAAATTGTTTTAGTAATTAAACTTTTAATAAAACAATTGCGATGATAACAACCAAATATTTCTCGAAAAACCTTGCAATGAAATTTAATCAAATTTGTTGAAAACACCTAATGCTCTGGCTCATTCTGTCTTATTTAAAAATAAGATCATTAGGTTTGGTAAGTTGATTCCGAGGTGGGGCACAAGAAAATAATAGGAACTTTGTGCTTGTGCCTGCACGTCGTGTGAAATTCATCAGCACAAATTTTTTTGCATGACATCAATAATCGCATTACGCAATCCTTGCAAATACATCGTGAAAAGCCCATTAATTAGAAGATATACATAACGTTAATAGTAAAGTTTGCTGTGTTTTTTTTTTGTACTTTGCAGGCACGTTTTTGATGAGACAGGCGTACATTTGTTTTCGATGGGAGTTGCCATCTACGGTTCTAAAGGGATCGAAGATGGCACAATAAAGAACATTTATTGGGGGTAATATTGATCATCGAAGGATCTACGATGTATGAAGGTACGGTAATGAACATTTATTGGGGGTAATATTGATCATGGAAGAATCTACGGGTTTATGAAGGTGCGGTAATGAATAACTATATTGGGGCTATGTTTGTAGATGTAGATCGGCCAGGTTAGTGTAGTCCTGAGAAGACTGTTGTTGTTGATGTTGACTGACGTTTCGACAACAACAAAAACAGTCTTCTCAGGACTATATACTAACCTGGATGATCTACATCTACAAACATGTAACGATACTCCCGGGTTCAAACCAATTACTTTATATTGGGGCTATATTGATGATCGAAGGATCTACGGATATATGAATGTACAATAATGAACGCATATTGAGGATGACTGCATGTGAAGATTAGATTTGTTTAATCAGAAGTAGATTACGTTTCATCATATTTCCATTGTTATTGACTTGTATTCAAATGAGGTTTTTTAAATAATGTGCCACCAACATTCGGCTCATGACAATATGGCCAGGAATGAACTGCAAGACATTTTTAAAACGCTCGCTACTGTACATTACCTGCGAAAAGGGATTTGCCAGCTCAGCGTTTGTTCCCTGTATACTGTGAAAAGATGGCATGATGAAAATCATTGAAGTTCATGTAAAGACATTTGCATCCAGCGTATGGTAGATGCTACACAGAACAGCAAACATAACTTTTCAGGTTTTTCATTGAGTTTTCATTAATTGTCGTCGACAATATTCTGTTTCACAAGAAAATTTAGAAAATTAACACACGCATGCAGTATGCTCACAAATACGCAGACATTTATTCTGTTTGTTGTTCTAACTCCTTTGCACGGAATTTTACTTTGATTTTTGCAGTCAAGTTTCCGTTCTTTTTCAGTACACTGAATCACAGTTTCATTACTTTGATCTGATTCGAAACCTTAACAAAAGAAAATTTGACTTCAATGTCGCAAGTATTTTGTTACAATAGCATACGACTGGAGCGAGGTTACCAATGTGGAGCAGAAATCTGTTCATTTTTGATGAATAATAGTTATAAACAATATTCTTAGCATATGTTGTTTGAAAGCAACAAAGCATAACAAACGGAAACTTTATTAATATGTGTTGGATCATTTGGCCGTGGTTTGTTATCCTGAAGTTGTTGAGTTCTAAATCTGTAGCTGACTTAAGCCTTGCTCTTGTTTCTTCATGACTGCCACGCTTTAATATTTCGCAAGTTCACTTGTAAATACTTGGAAGTTAATGGCATCATTATTCTTTGTAAAGAAGTCAATATTTTATTTTTAGTAAACAGAATATTTCGTCACACGTATTTTCCATTTATATCTCCAGAGATACAAATACTCCAAACGTTTGCAAATTTTGTGTTGTATTTTTGCCTCGTTTTAAAAGGAACAGTTTCCAGATCAATGCGTTTGCGTTCCAAGGAATATTTTCCAGATAATGCATTCCAAATCAATGCATTAATTTTGGAAAAACTTTAAAAAGCTTAAAAGTGGTGGCTTGAGGTGTTTCTCGTGACTAAGCCAAGTAACGAAAAACCGACTCTGTAATTTCTAATCTTGAGTAGTTTATAATGTCATGTAAATTATGCATTAACTTGTATGAAATAGAGCTGTCCAACCGGGAGGGAGTGGGGGTGAAATAGAGCTGTCTAACCGTGAGGGAGGGGTGAAATAGAGCTGTCTAACCGTGAGGGAGTGGGGATGAATGTGGCAAAGTGTTCCTATTAGATAAATGGATTTCTGATATTAAATGCTATCCCTTCCACCCACGTCGGTCGAAACAGCGACTTTGCCTTATTTTCTCTACAAGTAAACAAATTATGGTATTCCCCCACCCCCACCCCCTGATTTGATCACGCTATGCTTTAGCATGCAAAATTTCTTAAGTACTCAGCACCAGACTCAGAAATGAAAAGTGCGTTTTTATTAGATTTTATCGTGATCCCATTATAAGTAATAATAATAATGATTGTATAGTAATAAAGCCTGTGTTGTATTTTTTGTACCTTGTACAGATACGTTCGAAATTTGTTTTTTCATGGAGTTATCGTTCATGGATCTACAGATCTACGATGGTAGAATAATGATGGGGTCTCTTGAGATCATTTCATGGATCTACAGATCTACGATGGTAGAATAATGATGGGGTCTCTTGAGATCATTTCATGGATCTACAGATCTACGATGGTAGAATAATGATGGGGTCTCTTGAGATCATTTCATGGATCTACAGATCTACGATGGTAGAATAATGATGGGGTCTCTTGAGATCATTTCATGGATCTACAGATCTACGATGGTAGAATAATGATGGGGTCTCTTGAGATCATTTCATGGATCTACAGATCTACGATGGTAGAATAATAATGGGGTCTCTTGAGATCATTTCATGGATCTACAGATCTACGATGGTAGAATAATGATGGGGTCTCTTGAGATCATTTCATGGATCTACGGATCTACGATGGTAGAATAATGATGGGGTCTCTTGAGGTCATTTCATGGATCTACAGATCTACGATGGTAGAATAATGATGGGGTCTCTTGAGATCATTTCATGGATCTACGGATCTACGATGGTAGAATAATGATGGGGTCTCTTGAGATCATTTCATGGATCTACGGATCTACGATGGTAGAATAATGATGGGGTCTCTTGAGATCATTTCATGGATCTACGGATCTACAATGGTAGAATAATGATGGGGTCTCTTGAGATCATTTCATGGATCTACGGATCTACGATGGTAGAATAATATGGGGTCTCTTGAGATCATTTCATGGATCTACGGATCTACGATGGTAGAATAATGATGGGGTCTCTTGAGATCATTTCATGGATCTACGGATCTACGATGGTAGAATAATGATGGGGTCTCTTGAGATCATTTCATGGATCTACAGATCTACGATGGTAGAATAATGATGGGGTCTCTTGAGATCATTTCATGGATCTACGGATCTACGATGGTAGAATAATGATGGGGTCTCTTGAGATCATTTCATGGATCTACAAATCTACGATGGTAGAATAATGATGGGGTCTCTTGAGATCATTTCATGGATCTACGGATCTACGATGGTAGAATAATGATGGGATCTCTTGAGATCATTTCATGGATCTACGGATCTACGATGGTAGAATAATGATGGGGTCTCTTGAGATCATTTCATGGATCTACGGATCTACGATGGTAGAATAATGAATGTCTTTTGGGATCATTTCATGGTCGAAGTATCTACAAAGGTAAAACAATGAACACGTATTGGAACTATCTTGATCATCAAAGGATCTACAAAAGTACAACAATGGACACGTATTGGAACTATCTTGATCATCAAAGGATCTACAAAAGTACAACAATGGACACGTATTGGAACTATCTTGATCATCAAAGGATCTACAAAGGTACAACAATGAACACGTATTGGAACTATCTTGATCATCAAAGGATCTACAAAGGTAAAACAATGAACACGTATTGGAACTATCTTGATCATCAAAGGATCTACAAAGGTAAAACAATGAACACGTATTGGAACTATCTTGATCATCAAAGGATCTACAAAAGTACAACAATGGACACGTATTGGAACTATCTTGATCATCAAAGGATCTACAAAGGTAAAACAATGAACACGTATTGGAACTATCTTGATAATCAAAGGATCTACAAAAGTACAACAATGGACACGTATTGGAACTATCTTGATCATCAAAGGATCTACAAAGGTACAACAATGAACACGTATTGGAACTACCTCATCATCAAAGGATCTAAAGATTTTTGAAGGTAAAAACAATGATGAATGCCTAAAGATTACTGCATATGAGAATGGGAATAGGAATGTGTTTGTGTCAGTGAAAATGAGGCTAACTTTGTGATATATACAATTTTTAATATCTTTATGGTTATTGAAGCGGCGAGCCATTGAATAATGTTCATTATTCATGTTTTGGAATATCTTCCTTCGTGTAATACATATTGTAATAACTATGTTTTTGAGCAATGATCCAATAATGTAGAAGATAGGAATATTTGATTCTGATTCGCTGTTTTACCGTTACAATTCGTTGATCATTTAATGAAAGCGGTCATTGTGTAATAGAGAATTTAGCAAACACGACTTGTTGTCCAAGACGCCATGAAATGTTTGTAGATGTAGATCGTCCAGGTTAGTATAGCCTGAGCAGTCAACAACAACAAAAACAGTACTTCTCAGGACTATACTAACCTGGACGATCTACATCTACAAACATGTAACGATACTCCCGGGTTCAAACCATTTACTTCATTACGCCATAAAATCTCGTGTCTCCTCCATACGTGGGCGCCATTGTGCCATTTTACGCCATTTTTGCTATGCGTTAAATGGCCCAATCTTGTTTGCTAAATGAAGAATTGAATAAAAATGAAGAAGACTTCTCAGGTTCAACGCCTGTATGTTTTTATCATCGTGAAACATTCCGAAAGAATACATCCCATACGAAGAAGATTACGTTTCTTCATATGTACTTGTTACGGTTTGGCAATCAACTGGGATTTCTTAAATAACGTGACTTGGGCAACCAGCATTAGCCATCTCAGCGCGTCATACATAAAAATACTTAAGTGGTCGTGCTGTTAGCTCACTCTACTGTGACTAGATAGAAAGATTAAAATTACAAACTTCTGAAAACATATAATTAGCGTTAGGCAGATGATCGTGCATCGAATAACAATTACAAAATAACGTGTTTGCCTTCGTTCTTTAGTTTTTCATTGCATTTTTCATTAACATTGTTCGATTACAAAAGAAAATTTAGAAAATTGAACCAAACATCGCTAGCATACTGCCCACAAAAACACAGACATTTATTTTGTTTGCCATTCCAACGCCGTTGCACGAAGTTTCACTTCGAATTACAATTTGATCTGATTTGGAGAGAGAAATAACGGCTTTTCGAACGTCTCCGTACATGAAACAAGTATAAAGACCAAAATGTTCTTCTTTGAAACGAGGAATGCTAATACAGCACATTTTATTATCGCAAAAGTCCACTTTACTGTCATTTAAGCGAGCTTTATCCTTTTTCCAAACACAAATTCCTTTGCTTTCGTTATGTACACAGCGAAGCGTGATATTCCTCTGCTTTGAGACACACTGCGAACCGGAGGACGTCTTTATGATTGAGGCATTCTTGTAAATTCCATAGTACTTGTCTAGAATTAATAAATTTGGCAATATTCAGCGTACAAATTATTTCTACTAAGGCGACTATCTAGAATGTAAGAAATTATGCTGATCCTTTATAGCAGTGATTGATCGTGTTATGTAAATACTTTTGTGTCTACTCACTGTAAAAACTGTAGATTTCAAAATGATTTGAAATTCATACGGCAAGACAAGCAGAACCATGAACTTGCTAAGCCACTGCCTTTCAGTCTGCATAATGAGCGTCAAAATGCAACGCCCAGACATAGAGAGTTTTTTAGCATTTCTTACCAGTGTAAAATGCGTAAATATTCAGCGATCTTGCTTGTATTTTCTTATTAGTCCTTTCTAATTTCACCCTATTAGTTCCTACATATCCCTCAATAGTCTTCTTTATCTTATTAGCAACATCCGTGTTCTATTCCTATATTTTTACCTGTTTGCTGCACAGCAAGGACAACAGGTGCAGATATTGTTTCACCATGAGTGTTCCTGGCCATACACGAGTATCGTCCTGTGTCCCTCGGTTCCAAAAACATTATTCTAAGGGTTGTATTGCAATGTGAATAATCATACGCCTGCTGTTGTTCTATTCCTTCAATATATTTTCCTTCGTATAGCCACAAGATTTCCGCTGCAGGATTCGCCTGCACTTTACATTTTAAGAAGGCCACGTCGTCAACTTTAAAGCTCTCGTGACGAGGCGACAACTCAACCATGACAATGGGTTTTCCTATATTGTAAGCATGTAAGTGAGCAATTAAATTTCCTTCACTAAGAACAAGACAATATATCAAGGACAGCGTATAGTGTTTTTAGTCCGATTTAAAAATTTTCCTTTTACATCGACTTTATATACCAAGACCCATGTGGTTGACGTACATGTGCAAGATTACAACTAAAATTACAAATTTTAAAACGTGGTCTACAGATTTTAATAGACGTTTCAGTATTTGAAATACCACAGACTTTGTTTACACAGTTTGATATTGATTCAATGTTACATAAATAGTCGCTTACTGGCTGGCGAACAAAGCTTTCATAAAATGTCTGTTTTTAAGTTTTACCTTCGGTTGCATTTTGCGTCTTGTACTTTCTACCATTGCATATTCCATCAGCAAAACCTTAACCAAAGGAAATTTTATTTCAATGTCGCAAGCATTTTGTTACAATAGCATACGACTGGAGCGATATAACCAATGTGGAGCAGAAATCTGTTCATTTTTGATGAATAATAGATATAAACAATATTCTTACCATATGTTGTTTGAAAGCAACAAAGCATTACAAACAGAAGCTTTACCAAGTTGTGTTGGATCATATTTGATTGTCTTTGTATAGGACGTGGTTTGTTATCCTGCAGTTGTTGAGCTCTAAACCTGTAGCTGATTTAAGCTTTACTCTAGTTTCTTCGTGACTGCCACGTTTTAATACTTCGTAAGCGTTGTCATTCTCAAATTTGTTCGTGAATGCCTGGAAGTTAACGTTCTGATTGTTCTTTGTAAAAAGGATTCTTACAATTGTACGTCTTCTGGGAAAACTGTTGTTGGGTTGGACGAAAAAAAATTCTGTGTATTTAACAGGATATTGGCCTCAGTATGTTTGACACGTAGAGATTTTCAGCATGTATCTTTGGAGATATTTAATATCCGCAATGTTTCCTTTGATTTCAGTCTTTTCCTTTGCAAGAGATTTTATTATAAATAATGGTGCAGGGATTCCTTCATGATTAAGACACTTAATATCTAATCTGTATTAGCTTTTACTCTTTGGGTTCTTACTGCTGTTTAAAAAAAGTAGGGAAAGAGAATTAAGCAGGGTTTGTCATTTGTACATTGTTGAAGACGATTAGATAAAATGACTTATTCCATTAGATAAAATGACCCCTAATTTATAGTGTCTCGAGTGGTACACAAATAAGCATGCAATATGAAGTACCCTCTGATTGGATGTACTTACTTTTAACATGTGCATTCACCAGAGGCGTAACCAGAACATTAATTGAGGGTGCATATTCATATATTCCGTTGTGCCTTACTGATTTCTTTTGAAAGTGATTTGAATTTCAAAAGAAATCAGTAGGGCGCAACTGAATATATAAATATATACCCCAATTAACGTTCCAGTTACGCCTCTGTGCATTTCAGAGATCCCAAAATGCCACACTTTGTCGTCGCCATCATTCAATGGTTCCATATGAATGGTTCCCACACTTGTGAATTAATTAACTGTCAATTGTCCGTAATTTTGTTTATACTTTGCAAATGCGAAAGCACGAGATTGATGTGCGAGCTACGGTTACGTGTGAACAAGCCAGTGTGATCAATTTTTTGCGCTGTACGCCATGTCTCAAAGTTCAAACCCTTTTTTTGCAAACATTCGTCAGAATCGGTCTTCGCTATTGTTAAATTTTCGCACCAATTTCTGTCTGTTTTACTCAGAAAAAAGCTGAATGTGCACATTTACCCCTAGGTACCTCATGGAATCTCAAAATTTACAATTGCTTTCGACTACATAGAGCGAACTATTTTATGTATAATTAGGAATAACTATACGTGACGGAACGATACAAAACCGAAGATCATCCGATTCTGTCTTTCGCTTCTTCTCTGTGATTGGTTGGTGAAAATTTGCACGTGAAGACTGGGTCGAGCTCCAATTTGTGTTTTTCTACGTGTTTTTATTTATAATTTTTATGTTGGAAAAATATTGAATTTTATTTAACGGTTTCTCCTTGAGAATGCACAGAAATGGATAACTGTATCGGCTAGAGAGCAAAGAAGGTATGAGGGTTTTCCAAAAATATTTTCCATCGTCTGTAACGAACTGCTAGAGTGCTAGTGATTTCAACGTTCATGGACACGAGACCTGATACCAGTTTTCTTTGTTTTGAAACGTATTTCGATTACCCACTCCAAATAATAATCTTAAACAAAGTTTTTAAGTATTTTTGATTTTCTAGTCCCTTGGCAGCTCGTGTTGGTTTTAATTGGGCGTTAAATTTTCATCGAGCCTGTTTTATTTCACCTAAAGTCTTAAACTAAAATAGTGAATAATTTATGAAAGTTGTTCACCTTTAATTGTTGTCCTTGAACAATTTTGAAAAAGATTGATGTCTTAATCAATGAAAATTCCATTTGCTGTTCATTGCAAAGTCCTAAGGGGGATTGTTATATCTAAATAAGCTGATAGTAAAGGATTTAGTGATCAGTTCAGAACCGTCATATCAAGTTCATGTTAAGGGTCCAATGCAAGTCTTGGATTTCTCACAAGGTAGAACTATATCCTGGTATAGTTAGTGCTGCCCCCTTCCTAGTTGAAAAACAGTATTATGTTTTGTCACACTAATACAACAGTATTGTAAATGAAATTAATGATCTATATTTAACCAAGTGATGTTCTCAATCTAGTTTATGTAAAACATTCGAGACTTTAATACTCTACCATATTTTTCAGTAAATCAAAGCATGTGTGTGTAAGCTGGTTTTGGCTATGTACATAGGAGGTGGTCCGAAGGCAGCATCTTTCTGACCAATTGCATTTTTATTGTTTTGATCAACATTTACGTATGGAACCGATCACTCTCGATGATCTTGAAAAGTTTTTTGTTTGTGAATAGATACGCCTGTTCTTCAGTATGCAGTTGCAAATTTTCAAGTTTTTTTCAATCTTTCCTTCAAGTTTACTTTAGGCTACAAACAACTATTCCTTGCCAATTCCTTGCAATGAAAATATTGAATTATATAGTTAATTGTTCTTGATTACGATTCTTCAGGTAGTTTAGAAGAAAGGATTTTAAGAATGGGAGATTCATATCAGCATCTTACACAAGATCCTGATGAAAGGTATGATGAATTCAGATATTTTAAAACTACTGAGCATGTTTAATTATTTACTTTACGGAGTTTCATGGATCGATTGATAAAAAAGTCCTTGCTTATGCCAATCCTATCAACTACAACTTGTTGTGGAAAATATGTTTAGATATTTACATTATAAGAAATACTGCGGACTAAAATGTTTATGATGATCAAAGAACATGGGAATCTAAATGCATGTTTTGTAGCAAGTCTCGTGAACCATCTAGTAAAAAATCTTGTTGTTTTTAACATTCGTGTGTTATGTTTAAAAAAGTTTCATTAAGTAGTTATCTATGTTGCCTTGTGTGTATACATGGCAAGTTGTTGCCAAAGATGAATATATAAATAAATTTTGAGAGCAAGCACGGGTTAGCAAGGGTGTAAATCAAAAAGTGGGAGAGATGGACATGGGATCTTTGTGTGTAAAGTAGCTTTTCTAATGTGAAATCATTGATTTTAAAAAAAGTTGGAAGAAATGTCCACCCTCCCTCCCAAGATTTATGCCCTTACAGGTTAAGGTAAATTTCAAGCCGGGGGCACAAATTGGAAGGTGTAAGGGGTGTGTTTGACACCAAATGGATTATCCAATTTGATAAACTTTTAGCTTTGATCATCCAATGGATTATCCTGATGATGACTCTCTGATTGATGCTAGTACAAATGGTTTCAACTATCGTGAATACAGAAGACCCGCAGATTCATTCAAAGGCAAGGTCCAACAGAAGTACTGGAAGAGTAAACAGACAATGATTGAAAAACTCGGTAAACAACAGGATGAGTTTGTTGTTGCTGGTGATTCAGAAGTTGATGCTCGACTTGAAGCATTCAAGCACATTCAAAAAACTTGCATTGATCTCTTGAGGGCTGTTGAGGTGTATCAAAAAAAGATATTTGGTATGTGGGTGTCATTTAAATTATAGTTGTGAATTGATTTTAAGCATCAGATATCTGTTTTTGTTTCGTCATCAGGTGTGATCTGATGTTAAAACTTCTGTTCTTATATACTCCAGTCCAGTGTCTTCCTCAGGAGTGATCTAATGTTAAAACTTGAATTTTTATACACTTCAGTTTAGTGTCTTCCTCAGGAGTGATCTGATGTTAAAACTTCTGTTCTTATATACTCCAGTCTAGTGTCTTCATCAGGAGTGATCTGATGTTAAAACTTGAGTTCTTATATACTTCAGTTTAGTGTCTTCCTCAGGAGTGATTTGATGTTAAAACTTCTGTTCTTATATACTCCAGTCCAGTGTCTTCATCAGGAGTGATCTGATGTTAAAACTTGAGTCCTTATATACTTCAGTTTAGTGTCTTCCTCAGGAGTGATCTGATGTTGAAACTTCTGTTCTTATATACTCCAGTCTTGTGTCTTCATCAGAAGTGATTTGATGTTGAAACTTGAGTTCTTATATACTCCAGTCCAGTGTCTTCCTCCGGAGTAATCTGATGTTAAAACTTCTGTTCTTATATACTCCAGTCTTGTGTCTTCATCAGAAGTGATTTGATGTTGAAACTTGAGTTCTTATATACTCCAGTCCAGTGTCTTCATCAGGAGTGATCTGATGTTAAAACTTCTGTTCTTAAATACTCCAGTCTAGTGCCTTCATCAGAAGTGATTTGATGTTGAAACTTGAGTCCTTATATACTTCAGTCTAGTGTCTTCCTCAGGAGTGATCTGATGTTGAAGCAGGATTGTTCATAATTTTGAAAATGCGGTTTTTACATTTTAACAACCTACGTCTGATGATGTAACATTGATATTTATTTAGCTTTGTCGCGAGAGGAGAACGAATGCGGTCGATTTCTTCGAGAGAAAGGTTCAGTTGATAAAACAAAGGCAGGAAAAATGATGATCAGTGTAGGAAAATCGCTCAGTTATACAGCGCAACAAAGGTAGCTACACCAACTTACTTTGCTTTTTTTTGCTATTCTGAGTTTTCATGTGTCCCATGTTGCCTTAGGTTGACCCTTCGTCTCCCCTTGGTCCGTTTGTTCCAAGAGGTTGACACGTTTCGTGTTCGGGCCATTGGTGATACAATGCAAACGGTGAATCGAATGGAAAGATTAAGAAGTGAATATCGAGCTGCGTTACTGTGGATGGCAGACATCTCGAAGGAGCTTGATCCAGAAGCTTACAGGAAGCTTGATAAATACAGAGAGGTTTGTTTCATTTGGGGGGTTGATTAAGCATGGTTTGGGGGGTGCGTCCTGCCCTTCACTCTGCTTTGGCTTGAGTTCAGTTGATATGGATGAAGCAAGGGGGGGGCGTCCGGTATTTTACTGTTGCGTTGGCTTTAGTTCAGCTGATATTTATAAAGCAAAAGGGGTGCGTCCGGTACTTTACTACTGCTTTAGCACGAGATTCAGTGGATATGTATACAGGGGGGCAGGGGGCTTTTGGTGCCTCACAGCTGCTCGTAGTTTCAGAAGTAAAAACGTTTGGAAATTGTCACTCTTGAATTTTTTTATTATTTTGTGTGCATCGTGCTAAGGTAAACAAATTTTGCGTTTAAATTATTGAAATTCTCGATCTATATAGTGCCTATCATGAATTGTATTGTTTTTTCGCAAGATTGCGCTCATAAAAGCCTGATAACAGCGACTATTTTCAGTTAGTTATGGCGTTTCTTATTTTTTGTCGAAACATATTAATTTCCATTAGCGACGTTCTCATATTTTATAAGTTTTGCCAAGTTCAAACTCCAAAGGTCAACTTGTGCTTGCCAATTTCCTCTAAAACTTGCGAAGGCTGATGATGAGTCGCTGCATCATTAAGTTCTTTACTGACTGGTTTAATTACTGGAGTGATGATTATATCAATAGTAGTCTGATTAAAGAGGAGTTTTCAATGTCACTGCATTGTTCCTACGTGGAATTAGGTGCAATCAGAGGTTAAAGTGACGAAGAAAAAATTCGAGAAATGCAAAGTTGATGTTATCCAGAAAGTGGATTTACTCTCAGCCAGCCGTTGTAATCTCTTGTCAGCAACTCTCGTTGCCTATCAACAAAGTCTTTTGAAGTTCTGGGAGAATACGTCAAACTCTTTGACGAATGTCTACGAGCAGTTCCGAGGTCATCCTCTTATCAGTTTCAAATGCTAAAGCACATCATCCCGGATGACTCGTACACCCGCGAGAATGATATTGATGAAGAGGATGAAAAGGGATTAGATGAGATCAAGGAGGAACACATTGAAGAGGTGGCCCACGTGGAGGAGAGAAATAAAGATGAATCGGCTGACAAGGCTGAAGAAGAAGGTGCTGATGTCCTGGTAACTAATGATGATGATGATGATACTTTAATCTCATTGGATAATCTACCGGATCACAGACCTCCATTAGCAGGAGGCAATGAAGAACTTTTGGGGAATCCACAGAGTGGTAAGGAAGAATCGTCTACTGTTTTATTGGGCCCAAGTTCTGCTTCTGTAATACAAGGTACTAATGTGTTTTGATTTTGTCATGATAAATAGTTAAACATCGATTGCTTGTTTTCTTTCTCGCCAAACGATAAATGCGTCGCATGTTTTTAGCAAGTGGTTTTTTTAGCTGGAGTCTTTATTCGTGTTGTTTTCTTGTAAGGTATTGATGATCTTCTGAATTTGTCCATTGATACACCTGTGAATAATGTTGGTGTTAATATGTCCGAGTTTTTCATCAATAATACTGCTCCATCATTGAACAGTACAGAGGCTACAAATGGTACCTTCAAAGGTAAACACTTAACATTTTTTTTCATTTCAACCCACAATGTTTACTGAAATCTTTGACCATTGAATCGCTCAATCATTTTGTTTTTGCTATTAGTTTATCCCATTAGTGATGTACCAAATTTAAGATTTAACCGATCAACCGATCAACCGATATTAAAATGCCAATATTCTTCCCATACCGATAAAATTTTATGTCATTTTACTACACTTAAACATCATAGTGTTCACCCTTTGGTGTTTGCCACTTCATTGTTCGTTTGATAAAAAAAAAAGATAAAATCCAAAGTGTTTATTTACACTGCAGCCTTATTTCACAACACAGTTGTCGATGGAAATGAATGTCATGTGGAACTAACAATTTTTAAGAAGTTTTAATTTAATAACAAAAATTGTTAGGGTGAAATATTTAGTATTGTTGAACTGTGGTTCATTTCAATGTATATTCGGTTCAATTACGTATCATAGCTAATTTCTTTCATTGGGAAATGTCACTTTTAATTAAAGCTTTTCCTCTACACGTTTTGTGAAAGGTCTGAGCGCGACTTGTTTTTTTATGTTCCAGGCGACCTGTTGTCTGGTAACGATTTGCTTTCTTCAGAGAATAATTATCCTACGACAGATGATTTATTATTTGGTAACCTATCGCAGCCACAACAGGCAGATAACATAGGAGATGGAAGCAGTTTTAGCGAGACATGGAATAAAATGTTTGGCAACGACCAGAAGTCGGAAAGTCAGTTTCCAAAGGGCGAGAAAGTCGAATCGTCACCTACAAGCTACATGCCTTCTGACTTAATTGACCGTCTTGCTGATTTGGACCCATACTCCCAACCATCCATTACTGGCAATCCTGCACCCGCTTTGCAGGCAACAGCAGTGCTGACCCCCACCATGCAGAATGATGATTTACTTGGCGCCAGTCCCGTGGCGCCATCTGCGCAGCAAACTGCACAAGGAGAACACAAACCCAAACCAAAATCTTCCAATGGAAATTTAACATCGTGGTTAAACCTGTTCTCAGATTTAGATCCTCTCTCCAATCCCGATGCCATTGGTAAGGAAAATCAAGAGATAGACGCCAAGAGATCGTGCTAAACCTGAATAAACGATATCTTTGCATATTTCAAAGCAAATTTTCCCGAAGATTTTTCACTCGCGTTTTGCAATGAAATTTTATTGGTGCGTTTCGTGGTTGATGAAATGATCAGTGTACTAGATATGTCAGTTTAGTTTCATCATTAAAACATTGGGTGACTATCAGCTGTCTACCAGCTATTCTTAGTTTTCGGTTTGTAATTCATATACTATACAAAAGGCTTTTGGTTCTTCGCGAATATGATTCTGAATTCTTAATCTGCGATGACCTGATCGACTCGAGTTGGATGTGAATTTTAATCCAATATAGTTTTGCTAAATGCTCTAAATAGTTCATACATTATTTATGTATTATTATAATAATAACTTTATGCATAAGACCGGATATCGTTCAACTTTGATGCTTCATTTATCCTTAATTATAGTTGGGGTGTTGCATCATCTCATAAGTTGCAAGAAGATTTGAAAAATTAAATGAATATTATTTGATTGTGTCAGAGCAATTGCTTATTTTTGAATCGTGACCATTGTCCTATGTGTGCATTTAGTTTAATTTTGTTATTTGAAAAAGTTCGTTCTCTTTCTTTTATGTAGTCGAATTCAGTCCTTTTTAATTATGTTAATGTCGAGTACATTTATTCAAACTTCCAGCTAAGGCTTTGTCTAGTTTCAGCCTTCCGGTGAATCCATGTTGTGCGCTGATGGGAAGATGTTCATCAAAAGATCGCTCATTAAAAACATTTGATGAGATTTCACTTTCGGTTTTGTCCGATTGTGCAAAATGGTTTAACCAATGGAAAATTCGACTTTTATCTGAAAATGCAATCGAACGTTTTTAGTTGTCGAACTTGCAAACTTGTGCATGATCATTGAAAATTCCGCAAGCGGAAGGATGTATTTTCTGTTTGAATATTATGAATATTATCACCTTTACTTTGTCTGTTTTTGTCCATTTTCAAAATCATAAAATCATCTTTACTCTGTAATTTCGCGTTGGTCAACTAATCGTTGGATACGGGGCCTTACTTAATTCTGGGAAGAACTCTCTTGATTGGCGGCCATCTTCGAAGTTTGCTTGCTTGCTAACTTCACTATGATATGCAGTGTTTGTGGACGTATAAAGTGTGCTAAAGTGGAGAGGATTTCGTGGAAGATTGCTCAATAATAATGTTTGACGATCTTTCACTTTCGATTTTGTAGTGCCCTCTGTAACAAGAATTTTTTAACCAATAAAAAACGGCAGTCTAATGTTTTGCAATGGTAAACAGGTCTATTTTTATAGTCTGACGTATATTGACGTCACGAGGCTTTGCAATATAGGAGCATTTTTAGTTGGAAATATTCCACGGCTGAAAAAAATCATGAAATCTGTTTCTGTTATCGTGGCTTTTTATGTTTTGTCTTCTTGTGTTCCAGTTGCTGGTCAGAGCACGAAAGGTAATTTCATTCTTATTTAGTCACAAGCGTAGCTCGAATAGCTGAAATCGAAAAGATATGTCTCTGTTTGAGTCTTACCGAGCGAATTGCTAAATTCTTCATTTTACTTTATTTTCTTCCATTTCAAAATCAAAAATCCTCACTTCTTTCATTTGAAGAGGTAAACTAGTGCTTGTTTATAGCTTCTGAAATTTTAATTCAGGAAACAACTACACTGGAATGTGTGCTCCAGTTTTAAGATTGCAAGTTGCCAAGTTCCCGATTAAAGTCGGAGATAATGTTACCATCATTTGTCGTGTTTGTGGACGCAAGAATATCTTTTGGTTTAAAGACAACGAGAGATTTGGAGAGACGAAACGCGTGAAGTGGATCAATACGAAAAAAGTCTCCACAAATCCGTATGTGGTAGAAGGACGATTGTGGATTAAGAGGGTAAAGAAGAGAGATCGCGGTGTTTTCACTTGTTACGCTTTAGATTTCTTTACAAACATTGCGGAAAAAGCCATATTAACTTGGCTGGTAAGTGTGAAATTAGTTGTGATATTCTTTGTATGTTATATTTAACATGCTTTTGCTTTCAATTCGTCCCTACGTCTATTCCATGAATTACTTTGCCATATTTCGTTGTATTTGCGACTTTAACCGTAAATTTTTATGAAATTTTTCTTTCGTTTAGTGAAAGGAAAGAACTCCGGTGCAAAGTCCCAGGCGTAAAGATTTAAAAAGATACGGTTTATTGGGTCAGTTATACACTTAAATACTGACATAATCATGTTGTAAGTTTGTTTTAACTTCGAGTGGGAGAATTTTCGATGCTTAATTTAGTCTTTGTAAAAATAGTCTTAGACTGTGTAACAATAATTATGGATTTTTCATTTTTTGCACTCTTTCAAAATCAGTACTGTTATTATTTGCATGGCGTGTTTATCGATCTGACTCTTCTGCTTTTTTCCCCCTTTCAGCTGCTCGCTTAGGACTTTATTTTTGTTTCTAAGAGTTCGGTATACTGGTTGTCACGAAAATATAATTTTGTTGCCTGGTCTATGAATAATACCCCGTCAAATTTAGAATTTTATAAATTTCATCATCTAGCACAACCTCTATATTCACGAAAAAACCTCAACTCAGATCAACAAAACTAACGAACTTGTTCAATTTTTATTTATATACGACATTCATATCGTTCCATGGCCAGCTGGACGTATTTTAGTTCAGTCATAAGAGCATTTGCTTACTAAGTTCTTTGATTAGAAACATAAAGAGGTGGGAAGATACTTAATGGCCACTCCCTTGGTCTGTTATAAGGCGTGTTGTTGCACGAATAGCCTGTGGGACAACAAAAGCATCTTCTGAAAAAAGGCAAACTTACTGCGGCTGGTGGATAAACTCGTACCGACGGTGGGATAAAACGCATTCTTGCAAAATTCTCCTTTCGTTGTCGTTTGTTCTTGTATCGGTGATTTTGATACCAAATCTTTATCTGAGTTGGAGTGAGGTTGATCTCCTTAGAAAACTCTTCGCGTTCACTCGCTGACAAATAGCGTTGCTTAAAAAAACGTTTTTCGAGCTCCAACGTTTGGAATTTCGTGAACAGTACCCGTCTTCGTTTTCCTGTGCGTGCGTTATCGGTTCTTTGCTGTTCGAGCTCCTTAGCAGCCCTTTGTATGGAGTTGCCTTCAACTGTATCTTGTTCTGAAAAAGTTAGAAACATCAATAGAATTTTGTTAGCCGTTACTTGGTTGTAAATATCACAAGGATTTTCTTATCACCTTTAGTTTGTCTTTAAATATCTTACTCATAGTTTCATAATGGTAGCTATTGTTACATTTTAAAGGCCTTAATTAATTTTGAAGATGGAGTCGAAATTTTTGCCCTTTCTCCTTTTTACAGTTTTTCTTTCTATTTTGTCTTTCGTAGATTTATTTAGCAAAGTGACGTCTTTAAATTAGTTTTAATCTAAAGATGCAAGTCATACAAATGATATTTCGTTATCAAATGGACCAATCTCAAACACTGTTTTCCATTTTAACCGCAATACATCACTATACACGAAGCACTTGAACTTCGTGTAACGCTTGCATTAATAATTAAGCGATGAAGCAATTTAATGGAAGTAGCTTCAGCGACTTTCATGCATAAATACTCAAGGACACGATTCTTACCATAAAAACAACAGCCTGTCACGACTTCCCATGTACAGCAAAATTTTTATTACCTGTTTCGTGATGTTTCGTGTCTTTCATGATATTTTCTTCTTCCGTTGTCCCTTCTCCTTTACCGGTCGGTTTTTTTCCAGAATCACGTGGATCGTCTGTAGTGAAAGCCTTCGTCTTTAATATATGATGAATTGAGAAGGGAAACTTGGCTGTGTTGCATCCGACAGAAGATTCCATCATTCTTTATGTTAATTCAACAAGATGGATTCGTTTTCTTTCGAGATTTAAGTTTGATTCGAAACGTGATATTTTACAATGTCAGTTCTTGTGATTATTGGTCGACAATTTGCAAGTAAAAGGCTCTTTTGTGTATTGTTGTTTTTATACTGCTCTAAATTTGTCCGCCTTTATGCCTTTCATCCGTCCGAGGAATGCACAAGATGAGAATAATCTTCTATCATGCATATGACGTTTATCTTTATTCGTTTGAGGTTTTATGCAACGCCTAATTGCTTGTAAAAACTGACAGAACTCAAGTGCTCACTCTCTTCTCTGATTGGTTCCCTGAAACAGCGACATGCGCAAAGCCACTCAAAGACACAGAGTGGTGATACGCAATGATGGAAAATTTCCATCGTAGGAAGTCCACTAAATTAACATCATTGCCTGGAATTTTACACACTTCATATACTTATAAAGGTCGTATATTTTCTGACTGAGTAAAAGGTATATGAAAATACGATACCGACAGATATATATGAAATTGTGTTGTCAGTACTGTTCAACTGTTCTGTTCAAACTCATTTTAGATACGATGACAACATTTACTTGCTTGTGTAAGCTGTGCAAATTGTCCAATTTTGTTTGATATATATATGTACTTATTTAGCCACATAAAAATTCCTGATTAATCGGGCTTTTTGATGTGCGGTGCATGACGTTTAGCTGCGTAATGTGTCAGACGAAATGCTTCAATTGTGAAGAAATATATTTCAAGTGTTTTCGATAGTCTTGATCGTTTCTATTTTAGTGAAGAGTCGGTAATGTCGGCAACGGAAACAAGAATTCTTTTCATGTTTATTTTTTGAATTGTGACTGTTGAAATCATGATTCTTTCACTCAACGTTCTGTAATTCAATAGTGTATCGACATATGGAAAACTAGACCATGTATATCTTGTTATACGTAGCTAACGTACTTTTACCTGCCAAGTGGGGGGTATAAGACGAGGCTGGGGAGTAATTGAAGGCCTGCGAGTATAAGGGATGGGGAAAGTATATGGAAGCTACTAAGAGATATTGTAAATAAAATCTGAATTGAGCATTGATTGAACAGAGCATCTTTACTGCTCTGTGGATAAAATGTTCTAATTCTACGAATTACTCCCGGCTAGAATTGAACTTTAACTATTGTCTGTGTTGCTCTGTATATAGATAGAAATCGAATAGAAATCACTCACACTCGTTTTCGAATGCATTTCAATGGTAACACATTCATTGTTTGTCATCTTCTCGCTAACAAAACAAAACCTCCTTTTGTCGTGTGACACTTCAAAAATTATCTCCCTGTATGGGTGCTTATCTTGACCACAAATCCCTCCCTTCCATCAATTTGCCAGACCATACCCTTTTTTCGTTTATCGGTTTGAGCTAATGTCCAAATGGTTTTGCTGCACTCAAAAGCGGTCGATAAAGTGACCAAATCATAAAAAATCTCTTACGTCAATCTGTGTGCATTTAAGATGAACAAATGTTAAATGCTAGTTGTCATTATTTATCTGTTCCTTCAATCCATTTTCAATGCAAAATTTATAGCTAGCAGTGTAAAAGATTTCGTGAAACAGAGCTTTCAATCAATACTTAAGATTTTCAGCGTTTGCATTTGTATCATATTTCTATAGTTGTGCGTGAGCACGAGATTCACAAATTGATTCAAAGTATTCATATGTACGAAATTTTATAATACATAATGCATATACTCGCGTTGTAAGACGTGTTTTCACAGAATAGCGTCCATGGCTTTGACAAGTGCTTCTTGGATAGCGTTTTAAGATTCTAATATTTATGAGAAATTTTAGTCTTCTCTAAGGTTTAGGAGCAACTGTTGATATGTCCTTTTATTATCAGCTAATTCTGTATTTTTCATGTATACAATAAATTTAACTTGTTTTTCTTGGAGACCCACAAGTTTTCAGCTGTACTCTCTATAAATAAAACTTCAATCGACATATGTATCCGTCGATTTATACAAAAAGGTTGAAGAAAAATCATGGAAATGTCAACGAGAATATAACGTTTCCACCAATTACGAGAATAAAATAATTAAAAAATGTCACACCTAATATTATTACTTAAAATGAAAATGTGCATGTAAAAGAAAAGGTGCTCCTTGCAAATAAAATAAAAGTATTTTCCTCGTAAACAATCAAGATATGCACAGATTTGGGCAATGAATTTTCGATAAAATACCACTTTGTTTACTCAACTCAAACTGTCACAATATGAAATCGATAATCTGTGTTGCAATGTATGACCAAATTGAAAAACCATTGCCGTTTGGCTGTTACACCGAGAATAGTCTTTCTTTCGAGAAATTACTTTTTATTTGTTTCTGTATTCACTGCTTGTGTCTCCCTGAAAAACTCGTTCGCATTAAGATGATCATAATACGAATTTATGATTGGTTAATAAAGCACCAATCCGTGAAAGGTTTAAATTCTCCCACGACAGTGTGGTTTGTAAAAATCACGTGACGTCGTGATTAATGTCACATCGACTACTTTATCTCTCCATTTGACTCTGTCTTAGCGGTTTTCTTCGTAGAAATGTTCTTGAAGCCTTTCAATTTTTTGAAAATTACTTCTGTTAACATTCTAGGTCTTTCATTCAAACTTAACTATTGAAAATTACTCCGCAAAAACGTTCAAGGTGTTTCGCCCAAACCTCACCATTGAAGATTGATCCTGTGGAAAATCAAGTTGTCATACAAATGTCGATTTCTCCAGTAAACATCTATGTTTTTTTCATAAAATCGAAAAGCGTTTATCTTAACATTCGCATAACAATTTTGAATATGTTGCAGTCAAATAAGATAGGGCTATTTTCTTATACAATACTCTGTAAGCCATGTTGAAGATTTCAATTTTTAACCACGAAAGCTTTGGAAGGAGAAAAGAATTAAATAAAGCAAGTGATGATACGACAAGAATTTTTTTATAAAGTCTTTTGCATTCGACAAATTGTTTGCCTCCGTTTCTTTCACTTTGGCTAAACTGTTCACAAATATAGTGCTTGACTTAAGCTTGAAATTCTTAATCGACTGAGTTAAGAGTTAAAACTCTAAGGTTACTGTGAAGTGAATGAAATATGAGGTGTTTGTTGAGAGATGAATAAAACACGACTTTTATATCATTTTACTGCGAGTGAAGACCATTGTTTAGGGTAAAATTCTTGCATTTGGGCATGCTAACGTCAATGAAATTCATCACGGTACAATCAATTCTTCGCTGTAAAATATTCGTGTTGGCTTTTCATTCTTTAACTGTGCCTTCGTACGTCATAACAATGTAAAAATTAGAACATAGCCATTAGCTTGTAGTGCACATAAATAAAAAGGCCATTTGAAAACTATCAAAGATGCTTGCACGTCTTTGCTAACTCTGCTCCAACTACAGCTACAAGTGGTCGGTAGGCGAATGATAGAAAGAGCTCATCGATAAGCAATATACTTGTGTGCTGGCTTTTTTTGAGTGTGTGTTCGAGTTTTTAGACTTTTTTTGTATGAAAGTTTGTATGACATGTATAGTTGTGATAATTTTAAGTGTCAACAGTTCAAACTTCACCATTGTTTCTGTCAGAGATATACTTTCTAGAACTTTTATTTTGAGTAACTACCATAAGTATCCCCTTCTTAGCTCTCCGGCTTATATACAAATTCCACGATACCATTTACTTTTAATCGACAGGAATACAGTGTCAATATTAGCTGCTTTTTTTATTATGAAATTTCCCAGTTTTAATAAAAATGTAATGGGAACCGTAAACACGACTAAAATTGGAAGAACTTCAGGCTTTTATGTTTAAGAGCAACTTCCCCTCAACATTCAGTAATCAAGAATCGTTCTCTATCCTTGACTGTCTTTCACGGCGAATTTTTTCCATCCTCAAGCGATCGACATGTCTTTTAGCGAAAACAAATGTTGTTATTCCAGATACGATGACGACGACCCTTGAATTGAAATTTCAAAACAAAGTTTATTTACAAAACTCACTCGCTATGGATGGATAAACGATGTACACTCATTTTATGTTTCGATTGTATGAAGTTACTTTTCTAGTACATAATAATCGTACCATCCAAGTGCAACCATTGGCATTCCTTGATTCTTTGATAAAAATGATACATAACTCCTTTTGACCGCCATATTGTTTTATATTTTTATCGTTTTGTACAATTCCCCCCCTTAAATCAAATAAGCATAATACTAAAATCAGGGGGGTACGTGTACCTTTATCACGCAACATGTTGCTTGGATGAAAAACATGGCTGCCACAACTGGAGATTTTTTTAATCTTTTATAAAGAAAATATTGTTTTCAGTTTTATGTGTGTCAAACTGTTTGCTGCTTAGTACTCATGGGAGTTCCAGCTTTTTTTCGTTGGTTATCAAAGAAATACCCGTCTATTGTTGTGCATTCTTATGAAGAAAAGGTAATATTTTTATATTACGTTTTAATAATTAGGAGTATGAAAGGATTATGAATAGTTTATCTTGATTAAAACAGTCTTAAAAGTAAACTGGAGACTTCTTTACTGTGCTCGCAATGTATTGTGAATTTTTATTTGTCAGTTTCCAGTTTTCTTTTGACTGATAAAAGTGATACGAGTGATACTGATAAGAATTGAAATTAAAAAGTGTTTGTCACGTGTGTTAAAATACACCATGTTCTGTGGTTGGACCAGCAATGTTTGACTTACTTTTACTTTTTTTTACTTGGGCTCTGTGGTACATATAAAATACCCTGCCATTATGACTCTTGACAACAATCAAGCTGGGTTAAGCATGGTTTACACTTGCGACATAGGCATAAGCACAAGATTATCAAAACTCACCATTCTTCCTATGCTTATGGTGTGTGTATTGCAGTTCATTGCAAATGAGGCAGAAGGTTAGTGCTTGCATCAGGTATAAGTCACTTAAGTATATCGGAGGGTATTATATAATTACTCAAACTGTGTTTTATTTCAACAATCCTAGTTGTACCGTAGGAGCAGTCAGACTGGAAAGTCTATATTTTGCATTTCAAACTTTCCAGTCTGGTACACCAGCAATATTCTTTATTGTTTTTATAACTGTGTATTGATCCACCAGCAGTGATGCACTCAATTGCTAATTTCGTTGTTCTCAATGTCTTTCAATCCTGAAGCCACGTGAAGTAAATGATGTAAAGATTCCTGTTGATTCGAGCAAAGCAAATCCAAACAATGTTGAGTTTGATAATCTTTACTTGGACATGAATGGGATTATTCATCCTTGCTGCCATCCAGAAAACAAGTAAGGAATTTCCCTAAAAAGCAAGATATTTCTCAAAAATTAACAAGGCATTTTTTCGGAGAGCTTTCTGAAAACAAATGGTGAATTTCTTGAAGTAAAGGAATTCCTTTATGTTTGCTTCCATGTATGTTACGTTGATTGTTTTAATTTCAACTTTAGACCAGCACCAAAGAATGAAGACGAGATGATGGTAGCCATCTTTGAATACATAGATAGGTTTGTTTTAATCAAATCATGTTCGCAAGACTGCATGATTTTTTTGAGAATTGTTCACCCTCATTTAATACTGCTATGTAGTCACTGTTCAAAGACTATGGAAACCATTCATTTTGTATAATTCTTTGTGAAATATTTGTAATATGCTGAGATTTAAACATAGTACACAACTATATTGCTTGTCAAAATTATTTCATTAGAATCTTGAGGCAAATACACAAGTAAATCAAACAGTTAATCATAATCATATCATACGTTGAATATAGAGAACAAACTTTTTTAATACAGACATGTTTCGGGAAACATATGCCATCATCAGTGCGAATGAATGTGTTACAGAATGTGATACTTAAATATATAAATAGAGATAAACGACTTACAGTTAGTTGAGATGAGGAAAGTATTACAAATATTTACAATTAATTAACATATGAAATTTAGACAATACATTAAACAGAAGATAAATTAACATAAAAATTATTTACAAACTAAAAATGGTATGAATGTGGTGAACTTGCTTAATGAGATCGGGTTGAAGTTTGTTAATGTGTAAGGCTTCTTTAATTCTGAGGGTGGAAGAATAATTGTCCGTGTCGATAATTGTAAAGCAGTGGTTGGTGTATTGTGATTTGCAGTTATGTGAGGAGAGAAGGTGTTTGAAGATGTGTGAGTTTTTATCAGTGGAAATGTGTTCTTTCATCCTGGTGGGGATATGACGAATTACATGTTTGTAAATGTAGATTGTCCAGGTTGGTATAGTCCTGAGAAGGACTGTTTTTGTTGTTGTTGACTGACTTCAGTTTGACTCTGAAGATGACTACCGCTAAGGTTGTCGAAACGTCAGTCAACAACAACAAAAACAGTCCTTCTCAGGACTATACTAACCTGGACGATCTACATCTACAAACATGTAACGATACTCCCGGGTTCAAACCATTTACTTTATAAGACGAATTGTTAAAAAAATTTGTTTTCTCTATTCAATGTATTATTTCAATTGTGCTTCTATGTAAATATGGAAATCATATCGTAGCAGTAAAGGTTAATTCCTAAAATAACCACTATTGCTTGAGTATCAAACAATATTGCATTCACACTAGTTTTAGTAGTTCATTTTCATTGAAACATTGGCTTTTTATGTGTTTTCAATCATAATGTCATATATTGTTTAAACAATATAAAGTAAAGTTGAACATCTTGATCACCATAGTAGCCTAACAACATCTGTCACTTTTGTCGTTTGTTTTATATTTCAGGATTTTTTCTATTGTCCGTCCAAGAAAGTTATTGTATATGGCAATCGATGGAGTGGTAAGATTATTGATATCTGTGCATTTTATTCTTCTCTAAGAGCAGTAGAGAATTGTTTAGTTTCAACACTTACAAATTCACATAAAAACCCTTTAATTTGCCATTACTCAGGCACCAAGAGCCAAAATGAATCAACAAAGATCTAGACGATTTCGAGCGTCAAAGGAGTCAAAGTAAGTGATCAAATTAGGTAGTGATGAAAATATGAGATTAATTGCAATCCGTCAATGTTAAATTTTATGTTTTTTCACAATCATCAGGGACAAACGTGAAGATCTTGCTAGATATCGCGAAGAAGTTCTTGGCCAAGGTATCTTCATGCATGCTAGGGTTATGAAGATTGTGTTTGTTGTGAGCTTATACCTTAGGGTCTCATCACATTAAAGGAATATACAGTAGGGCCACTTCGCTGTGCAACTGGCTGCTGTATATTTAATTAGTTTACTGGCTCCCGTTTGCCATATCGTCAATCCTATTGGTCAGAAAAAGCAATTTACAGGCTGCCACTATGGTAATCACATGCGTAATAAGATATACGTGGCACGAAAAAATTCAATGGAGTGGCCCTACTGTATGTTCTCTATACTGTGGTGTCAACTTTCTGCCTTTTACTATTCTGAACTTATAATTAGCATCAGGGACGCTCCAGTTTTCAACTTAAAATATTTCAGGAGGTGAACTTCCGCCTGTGAAAGAGAAGACGGAGCATTTTGACAGCAATTGTATCACACCGGTATGAAAACCTCAAATGTTTAAAACATTTTCTCTTGTTTTATAACCATCTGTAAACCATACTGGAATAGGGAACAGAATTCATGGACAACCTATCGCTAGCATTACGTTATTACATCGCTCAAAGGTTGAATTATGATCCTGGTTGGCAGAATATCAAGGTGCAGTAATGTGGTGTAGAAAGCGAAATGCGTTGAGCAAAATGAGTGGGGTTTTTTTAATTGTTCGTAATTTGTCTTTCGTAGGTTATTTTGTCTGATGCAAATGTTCCTGGCGAAGGTGAACATAAAATAATGGATTTCATACGAAAACAAAGAGGTTTGGACAATACAAACTGCTGTTCATTCTGCTCGCGTCAAGTTAATCCATATCCAAGCTGATGTGGAGTTATTTTATTTTACCGTTCAGCCAGTCCTAGTCACGATCCAAACACACATCACTGTTTAAACGGAGCTGACGGTAAGGAATTTCTTTCATCTCGCATTTTATGTTTAATCTGCGATGCTGAACATGTTATTTTATATACTTTCTCTGCGGACGTTTTTGCATGACGAACGTAAAGGTAAAGAAAAGAGATTTTTTGTTTTCTTCAATGAATATGAAGAAGGACAATGACGAACTTTAACTGTCGCATTAGTTTATGAAACATTTTTCTACTACTATTTTTTAAACCTGGAAATTGTGTGAAGTTCACGACATTTTTTTTCGTTTTCAGCTGACTTGATCATGCTTGGTAAGTAAGTCTTTTTTTCTCGGATTTTTTTTTTTACTTTCCATTTGAACGCTAAACTTTTGCCGTTAGGACTTGCGACTCATGAGCCACATTTCACAATCTTGAGAGAGGAGTTTAAACCAAACCAGAAAAAGCCCTGTGATCTGTGCGGGCAAGTTGGTGAGGAAAATAATTAAGGAATAATTTCAAACAGATTTATTTTTTTAAAGAAAATTACACTTTTTTGAAAATTTACTATCGTTTTGACATGTCATTTCGTTAAGGTCACGAATTCAAAGATTGTGTTGGTTTACCGAAGGAAAAGACTGGGGAGGTATGTGAAAAAGGGACTATGTGTGGTGACGTCATGATACTGACGTCATACAATATAAAAGATATCATTAATCTTTTTTGTGCCAATATTAAAAACACGAACCTCGAATTCCGTAACTTAACATCATTTGTTAAAATTAAACTTTTTTATTCATCGGAAATAATTCTTTTAAAATAGTCAAACCAATAAAACTACAACCATAGAAACAGCATAAACCAGTAGTATTTGTTTCTACATATTTTAGAAATGTCAACGTTTCTCTTCGATATTATAGTTTGACGAGCAACCGCTTCCCGTTGCTGAAGAAGTGAATTTTATCTTTATACGTCTAAACGTTCTTCGAGAGGTTTGTGCAACATGAAGTTTTATGTTTATTGTAGAATAATTGTTTTTATATTTCAACCAAAGTCTTCAGTTTTCGGTTTTTAATCGTCTAGTATCTTGAAAGAGAGTTGCGAATGGAAGGTTTACCCTTTCCGTACGATTTTGAGGTGAGAAAATTTGGTTTTTATCGTTTGTCGTAAGATAACAAAGAATGAACGGATGAACGAAAGAAGGAAAGAATGAATGAACGAATTTTTTTAAATACATTTAAATACCATGGCAAATAAGAAAGGAATAAAGTAACAGTAGCTATCTATAGAGCTAAAAGATGTAGGTTCAAATATTTACTTGAATTGTTTAGTAAAATAAATAACCGTATAATATAAAGATGTATTCTGTCAGTAGAATATAAAATTGCTATTATTCAGGATATTTTTGTCTGTGTGATTTTTCAGCGATGTTTAGATGACTGGGTGTTCATGTGTTTCTTCGTTGGCAACGACTTTTTACCGCATCTTCCTTCATTGGAAATAAGGTAAGTTGCCTTTGATAGCAACAAATCACCGCCATGGTCACTAAGATGGTAGCCTTTCATGTAGTTACGATACCAAGATGAAAACCTAAAACACACTCTTATTGATAGTTAAACTATGGCATGTTCGTACAAGACTTTTTAGATACTGTTGATTTAATGGAAAAATTCAATGCGACAAAGGACTTCATTTCATATTACAAAATTTCGAAATGATTTTTAACATTTAGCATACATTGACATACATGTACCGTTATATAATTTATAACCTCAGAGTGATTGAAAAATTCGATATTTGCTGGGCAAGAGCTTTGCCAGAGACTGTTGATTGCTTTTTAAATCAATTTCCAGCCGCAAGCTATATTCAATCACCTTTCTTGCAATGATCAATTGAAATCCCTACTTTTTACGATTTAGGGAAGGAGCTATCGATAAATTAATCAATCTCTACAAGAAATGTTTACCAGCAACGGGTGTACGTGTTTGTATTGTTTGTGTTATATTCTTATCTCCTTTTTGTTTGTAAATGTCGAGCCTTTTTTTAATGCAGGGCTATCTTACTGAGAACGGTTACGTCAATATGAGAGGTGTTCATAAGATTCTGGTCGGTAGGTGTTGTTGAAATGTTAAGCAAGTTCTTAATTTAGGATTGTAGAGAATTCTCTCGTATGCAATTAGCGTTTTGTTAACTCCTTTGTCCTAAGGTTTCGTATGTTATCTTGTTGTTACAAACCTTAGCCTTTGTTATTTATTTATTTGTACAATAATTCAGGATACCCACAACACTTTTGTGTTTTTTACCTAGTTTCCGCCTTGAAAATACACAATACACCTTAATAATCTACTCATTTGCAAATTCGTAGTTACAACGCAAAAAAAAGTTACCGTTTTGCTAAGGAATTAGAACTTATGTTATACATGTTAAACTTTTGTCATCTCTATTATCCGTTTGCCACCTCTATGATCCTCTTTTATTCCCCCAAGATCTTGGCGAAATGGAAGACATGATATTCAAACAACGACAACAAAGAGAAGTAAGTACTTATTTACTACTCATTGTCTTGTAATGACCACGACCTTTTCACGTGTGCGTCACTCCGGAGTCACGTGCATTTTGTCTTGAAACATTCAGCTTCAATTTCGACAACGAGAGAAAGAAAAAAAAGCAAGAAGTTGTGTGGTAAGGCATGAAGTGAAAAACTTCTAGACTAAACTTTAACATTTTTAACACTTCTATGTTTACTCTTAAACCAATTTTAGGACGGACCACGTTGGGTACCCGCTGGTCAGTTTGCACCTCAGCCTATTTCTAACACTCTCAAAGCTATTGAAAGCCCTCGTATCGAAGCGTATAATATGAGAATGGAGGCTCAGAATCGAAAGAATTTTGTAAGTGTCACAATAGTCGTACGATATGTACTGTAAAGCATAAACGCATTTTCAAATCTTTTGCGCAATGATTCTGTATGCTATTGGTAGTTAATTTATCTGACACTTCCTGAAGTGTATCAATGTATACATGCGCCGTGATGTCCAGAGCAACAGCTTACAAAGTAGGTTTGACTCAAGTCAGGGGGTGAGGTTCTGCATCACTTTGTATTTGGTTTTGTGCAACATGCACGAAGGAAACTATAAAGTTATGAGGGTACAGGATGTGTGTAAAGCAATATGTTCTACACTTACAGAGCGCTGCAGCAAATTTGCGTTCAATGCTTTTTGAAGATAAACCGAAGAAAAATGATTCTACTGTGACAGAGGTAAGAATATAATTAGTGTTTACTTAAGGTCAATGGAACTGATGAATACGTGAACGTGTCAGTTTTAATTATTTCGTTTGTAAAGCTAACGGACTTGAACAGCTGATGGTTGACGATTTGTGTTGTATTGTGTTTGACGAGCTTTCATAATCATTTGTTAAGACAGTAGATCGCAGTAAATCGAATTCAAATCCAGTTGAAAAAGAGGACGACACACCAGTGGATAATGTCAGGTAATAAGGAATAACTGCATCAATACATACTTCACACAAGCAACATAACTTTTGATGAAAACGTGAAACTATTTTGTATTTGACTAACTTGTAATGAAATTTCAAAACATCAATGATGCTTCAATGATTTTTTTTGTTTTGTGTGAATTAGTATTTAATCAAATAGCAACTGAATAACGCATCTATGTTTTGTAAAACACATCTTACTTTGATTTTTTTTTGACTCACTAAGATTGTGGGAAGAAGGTTGGCGCGAGAGATATTATCTTCAAAAGTTCGGCGTGTCGTCGGATGACGAATCTTACAACGATTTTCGAGATCAAGTGGTACGCAGTTTCTTCAATATTCACGCTTGAGATGCTAAAATTACTTTAATCTGGGGCTGGTTGCACGAAGCCTGGATAGCTATTTTTTTAAACTTCTATAAAACCTTTAAAAAGCAAAAAATATAAGATTCCAAATGAGCAACAAGTGAATTAAAATATCGCTTCGAAGACTACGAAATTTCTTTGTCGTATGAAAAATATAAACACATTTTTTACAAATTTGAAAATTTTTGCTATCCAATGGATAACGCTATCCAGGCTTCGTGCATCCGACCACTGGGTATTAAACTGTACTGTCATGTCACATGCCTTTAAATAAGCGAACCCACCAATTTTTCTTTTAGTAGCTGCGATTTTTCCAAGCATTGAAATAGATAGATAGATGATTTATTTCTTAAAACTGGCAGCCATATTGCTGAAATACGTTTAAGATTGAATTCAACGAGTGAATTAAAAGAGTGAATTCAACATAATTCATGTAGGTTCTTTATTTTCTCTCCCTCTTTAGGCAAGTGCTTATGCTGAAGGATTGTGTTGGGTGTTACGATATTACTATCAGGTAAAACATATCCAAAAAAGAAAAAAACTCGTCCTAAAAATTATCCGACTCAACTTTACTTTTATCATGTCTAAACGAAAGAATTCGTCCCCAGTATCTTCATGAGTGATTTGCGTTGTCTGTATTTCGGATATCCAATCAATCAATGTTTTCATTTTTATTTATCAAGGGTTGCTGTTCGTGGAAATGGTATTTCCCTTTTCATTATGCACCATTCGCATCGGATTTTAAGAATGTCGAGTCAAAACGATATAAATTCGAGAAAGGAACACAGCCGGTATGACAGCAAGTTATGTGAATTTTATTTTCATGTTTGATGAGGACGATGAAGTAAGAATTTTCTTTTTCTTTCTAGTTCAATCCCTTAGAGCAACTAATGAGTGTTTTTCCTGCAGCGAGTGGTAATTTTCTACCTCCAACATGGAGGGATTTGATGAGCAATCCGGTAAGAGCTGTGACGAGACAAACATCTCTAGTTTTATAGGCTTACCTAAAACACACGTTAATCTTTTCTAGGAATCTCCCATCATCGACTTCTATCCCACTGACTTTGAGATCGACTTGAACGGAAAGAAATATGCTTGGCAAGGTATGTTTAGATGATTTGTAGTTGTAAGTACTTTTGTATCCCACAGTATCGCTGTTGGCTTCACATAAGTTCACAATTTCAATAACTGACTACAGAATAACTCAAACTCTCCATAAACGACTACAAAATACTTAACAATCTCTTCAACAGACTACAGAATGACATGCAAAATCTCATGGCTTACTCTAAACTAGTACACAAATTTTATAATTGACTTCAGAATGACATCCATCCTGTTTGTATCTTTCTCCATATCTTTTTGTAAATTCGTAATGTTTGATTGTTCAGGTGTCGCACTGTTGCCGTTTGTTGATGAAAAACGTCTATTGAAAGCGCTGGCTCAGGTTTATCCAGATTTAACTGTCGAAGAGTGTAAGATGTTTATGCTCAAGACACATTTTATAGACGTCGTGTTCATTAAAACAACCTAACGTGTAATTTATTCAATTTCAGCCAGACGCAACAGTCGGGGAAAGGATAGACTATTTGTTGGTCCAAAACATTCCTTGTACGACTTTTTTAAAGGTCTTTATGAAGGAGGAGGAACAAATGATGTAAGTACAACGTACAGTATTATAAAATAAACACAATAAAACGCGTGCGCTGATTGGTCTGGAGCTGAGTTTGCATTAGCCAGTGCTAAACACATCTGAGCTCAACCAATTAAATCAATCAAAACAATCAATCAGTCAAAGAGAATTTGCAAATTGATCATGAATACATTTTAGAGGAAAAATTAAAACGTTTACTTTAAATTTGTCTGTTTCGCATTATTGTTATTTTAGAAAAGAAATAAAAGATGTTTTTCGTGTTTGCACAGGCTTATACAAACCTCGGAGACGTTTGCGAGAACTCTCAAGCATGTGCAACCCTCGACCTTCGGTCTCAGGCTTGCACTGATCTGCTCTCGATAGAGAGCAGAAAAACTGACTCGTCAGTTTTTTTATCTTTAATGTTGTGTTTGCATCAAGATAAGCCTTGCTGATTACATAACTTTTCTCATTCGAACTGTTTTTGCTGAACTTTCTCAACTCTTTGAATATTCCACTGAATACGTATTTTCATAACTTTCTTGTGTTTTAATCGAAGCACTTCTTTTTTCATTATTTAAGGAAGTTGATTTAGTGACAGATCTCTCGCAAGGTATGTGTGGAAAAGTGATGCTGGACGATGAAGCTATCCTGCCGTCAAAGTAAGAAAATCTACAAATCACTATGATAATACGTCACCTGCCAATACAGTTATATGTAATTTGCCGTTACGTAATCTACCAATATGATATGACGTAATATAATATGACGTAACCTATTAAAAAATGCTCATGAAGTAATTCCTTTTTATTTAAGATGCGTGGAGTCACCTGTTCCGCAACTCAGAAATATTCCTGATAATTTAGCCATCGGGCAAGTGCAAATATGACATAGTTTTCTTTTGTGCGAAAATTACAAATGCATTGATCTCAACTGAACATCATGTTGTTTACAGTATTAAATTTGAGGACATCAAATATGGCGAAGATTACGTTTTCAAAGCAAAGCTTCTTCCTAAAGTCACGTAAGAAACTCGCCATCTTCAATGAATATTAGTAAATTTACACTTAGCCGGTTTTTAAAAGTTTTTTAATTTTTCAATTTTTTTCATCTCATCCGTGCGTCTACCTAAATGTACTTCATTCAGAGGCTGAATTCTATAATAAGTCTTTGTCTTTCTTGCAGGATGCCTGACCGTGTGCTAAAACCAGAAGACTGGACAGATAACAGACCTTACCGACCTCAAACCGGGTTCAGTCGTCACGCCCCAAGAGCTTCTTTGGACATGTCAGCTCGTCGAATGCTGGGGTTAGTAAGTTTACAGTTCCACATCAACGTCTGTCTATGTTTCAATGATCACTTCATTCTCACTGTATTCTTTATACCAGTTTCCACATGAAGTCTGGTGGAGCAAGTACGTCATACAGGGAGACTGGAATCGACCGACGGAATTCCTACCCACCTCCTGCACATATGACTGCCTACGGTCAAGGCCGATTCTCGGCTCCAGGTCCTTGGCCTCGGCAGCGACCGTCATACTATAGCAATACACCAAGAGGTTTCAACCCTTACCAACGAGAAGCCAGACAGTCTGGTGGTAGTCGACATCATGGTACCACCTATGGTTCTTCGTACCATTCTGGTCAGTCACAAAATGATCGTTTCTCAAATAAAACGGAAGTCAGTCCTTATGGTAGGAACAGTCGCTATGGTGATCGCAATATACCGTATAATAGTCGTGATAGCATGTATAATGGCCAAGGTAGCTCGTATGGTAGTCGAGATAGCTCGTACGATGCTCGGAATAATTCGTACAATGGTCGTGATAATTCGTCTAGTAGTCGGGATTATCGATATGGTGGTCGGGATTCCTCATATGGTGATCAAAATGGTCGGTATGGCTCGTCCGTGGGTTATGCAGGACATTCCTATCCTAATCAGGATGATCTTAGAAGAAGGTCAACAGGGGTAAGTGTGGATAATTGTGGTTAAGAATAGAATTATTCGTTGTTTACGTATTTTGTTGTTTATTCAGAGGAAATTTTAATTCTAATGAAAATTTTTTTATTTGATAGAGTTTTAAAGCACCCAGCGACGAGCAAGGACGAAGAAGCTACAAAACACCGCAGGGTCACACCCAAGGTCGTTTCAATCCTTACTAACAACCGCTGTCCATAAGGTATGCCGTGCCATAAAGAACCCATTCTTCAATCGTGTTTACCCATTTTTGTCAACCTCTGTGTGCGTTTCTATCGGAAATGGTCCAATGTTGAAATACATTGTGATTTACTGTGGCAATAAGGAAAACATAGATTTCGTGAAAAACTGTTCTAATTTATAGTTATTAATTATTGTAAAATTACATTTTATCTCATAATCTTATTTCTTTTACCCTGCCTATGTTGTACATACGTTTATAGCCATTAATATTATACACTTCTTCCTTGATTTTGTGTAAAGTTTACTTCGTGTTGTTTATCGTTTGTGAAATGCTCCATTATTACTTCATCCTTAATATTGATAACTTTCTGTTAAGGTGTGAGCATCTTTCTTCATTTTGTTAGAGCTCGCTTGAGTGTGTTTATTTACAAGATACGAGTCATTTTCACTGCGTCCGCTTCTTTTTTTCTCTTTTCTGTATTTTCGACCTCAAGTATAGGTCGGTTTTCCGTAATGGTTGGGGGTATTGCTGTCGATATGAATAATGTTTAGAGTTCTCTTGTATTACCCGTGTTTTACGCTTTCATTAATGATTAATTTCAAATCTCGTAAAGTAGACACAAAGATAGACATAAATGTAGACATAAAGGTAGACATAAAGGTAGACATAAAGGTAGACATAAAGATAGACATAAAGGTAGACATAAAAGTAGACATAAACGTAGACACAAAGGTAGACATAAAGATAGACATAAAGGTAGACATAAAGGTAGACATAAAGATAGACATAAAGGTAGACATAAAGGTAGACATAAAGGTAGACATAAAGGTAGACAAAGAAGACATAAAGGTAGACATAAAGGTAGACATAAAGGAACATAAAAGTAGACATAAAGGTAGACATAAAACAGACATAAAGGTGACATAAAGGTGACATAAAGGTAGACATAAAGTAGACATAAAGGTGAACATAAAGGTAGACATAAAGGTGAAAAGGTGACATAAAGTAGACATAAATGTAGACATAAAGGTAGACATAAAGGTAGACATAAAGGTAGACATAAAGTGAACATAAAGATAGACATAAATGAGACAAAGGTAGACATAAAGTGAACAAAGATAGACATAAAGGACATAAAGTAGACATATAGATGGGATAGACATAAAGATGAACATAAAGGTGAAGACATAAAGATAGACATAAAGACATAAAGGTACATAAACATGAGACATAAAGATAGACATAAAGGTGAACAAAGATAGACATAAAGGTAGACATAAAGGTAGACATAAAGATAGACATAAAGGTAGACATAAAGGTAGACATAAAGGTAGATAAAGGATGACATAAAGGTAGACATAAAGGTAGACAAAGACATAAAGGTAGACATAAAGGTAGACATAAAGGTAGACATAAACGTAGACATAAACGTAGACATAAAGGTAGACATAAAGGTAGACATAAAGGTAGACATAAATGTACACATAAACGTAGACATAAAGGTAGACATAAAGGTAGACATAAACGTAGACATATAGATAGAAATAAAGGTAGACATAAATGTACACATAAAGGTAGACCTTTGTACCTAAGGTCACCTTCAAAGTGAAATTCTTTAGTTCCGCACTTGGACATCATTGCGCATAAAGTCCATTGCTTTTAAAAGAAATCAGTTGGGCACAGCTTAATGAATGAATAAACATCCCCCTACCCCTCTACCCTAATCAACATTCTTGGGACGGTATGAAGATAAGATCATATGGATCCTACAAATGACGTCATTTGTTTAAAGCCTTTGCATCCGCCCCTCTAACTCTTGATGTTGCCAGGCTACAAAATTGTTGAAATCTCAAACTGTAAATAAACAAGAAAATCGATGAAATTTTTCCCTTATGAATCTCATCAAGAAAATTTTGAACGATGAACAATGACGGAACAATCAATTTCGAAAAACTTGAAGAGCAGTTGTTGGTAGCCGTAGAAGAGGACGCGAAATACAAGCGTGAAAACGATGCTAAATTTAGAGCTGTTGCTCAGAGAGTTGGATCTTATGAAGAATTTAAAGATATCGTCGCTGCTTCTCATCTGAAACCTTTGGAAAAAAAAGATAAGGAAGGTGATTATTATGAAATAAAATTTCTTCTTTTCCAGCATTTTTGCGACAAAATTTCGTTGATTTGACCTACCTATCCTTGAATGCAGTTGCATTGCAGATTCTCCTACTGCCACCTCCCCATGTTTAAACTTTGTTTTAAACATCGAATGCAGACGGTATAAATCTGTAATTATACTTTCTTTTTCAAAGGTTTGCACAATCGAAAGCAACCTTGGAACCCTTATGCAAACCAACAATGTGAAAAGAAGGCATCTTCTCAAAGAATACAAGAAAAGGATGTTTACGGCATTCCTAAGAACAGTTACGACTTTCAAAAATTCTGGCGAGCATTTCAAAAAGACCAAGTAAAGCAGTATGGTTTCTTGATCAACACCAAAGGATCCGTGCTAGGAAATATTTTTAAAGCCGAAATTCCAATGGGATTGCTTGGAGAGTTTTTGAATATTTTAAACAAGAACTGGAAACAAGAAGATGCTTTGATAATATTTGACATTTTAGACAATATTAGTCAAGTAAAGAGATTTAATCTATCCCTGCAGTTTCTTAACAAGCAGGAGCGAGACGGTTCAGTTGATTTATTTGAAAAATTGAAAACTGCCTTGATTTTTAGTGAAATGAAAAATAGTTCCGGGTCTATTGTTGATGAGAAATTGTTTATAGCTTTGAAATTAAAATATGATGTTTAATGATTATGCCTGTGTTTTAGAAGTCTGTGAAAGTTTTGCCGGGGGGAGGGGTGAAGTGTCATGGAGTCCTTTACCGTTCTTCAACGATAGTGTCATTTTAGTGGATGATAACGAGTGGACTGTCATGTTACAGGATACAGAAAATAAACAAAATTTTCCCAATTCTTCTTCACAATTTTGGCTTGAAACGTTATTGAAATAACAACTGAATAATGGGAGGAGGAGACTTGGTAAGTTAGTGACGTTCAAACGTTTCAACCACGTTCAGTATGTTACTTTTTATGTCAACTATGAGAATCTTATGTCTTACACTTCAACAGAATTTGAAGAAAAGTTGGCATCCACAAACATTACAAAACATCGAGAAAGTATGGAAAGCCGAACAGAAAGCAGAAGCCGAGGCGAAGAAGATCGAACAACTTCGTCGAGAGTTAGACGAAGAGAGACAACGTGAGGAAATGCAACGATACGCTGTTGATCAAGGCATAGTTAAGTAAGTAGTGCGATTGTAATGATAGTGACATACTGTTGATTTTAGAGTACAAAAAGTCAACTTTTGTTGTAAATAGATGGTTTATATACAAGCAGGATTTGTGAGGGACATATGTGCATGTTATGATCTGTAGAAAACTGATTTTAAATGAACTTAATATTGTAGTGTACATGTATTTATGATGTAAGGACACTACTGACATGGAAATGTTTGCAATAGTGTAATTTATGTGGTTAACCTTAGACGACTCCATTAGCATTGTTTGTTTTTTCTGTAGAAAGAAATCAGATCGTCTTGAGTGGATGTATTCAGCTCCTGGACATGCCGGCATTAATCACGAGGAGTATTTACTTGGGAAATCAATTGACAAAGCTGTGGATCCTTTAGCTCAAAATGATGAAATGGTATTTATAGTTGATGTTATAAAATGTTCTCTGGAAATCCATGAAGTGTTTGAGAAGTCAAAGTTTTTCATAATTTATTAAGCTGTCCTTCAATTTCAACTTTAAAATACTTTTAAAACATAGTTTCTAATTTACTACGAACAAAATTTAACGCAAAGTTGAAATTTAAATTATTCCAAATAAATCTCTCACAGCGCTAATGTCAACTGCGGCAGATTAGTATTTCAACCATACTTCATGATAAAATGAATATGTTGTTTGAATCCAGGAGTATTGTTAGATGTTTGTAAATGTATATTGTCCATGTCAGTAAAGTCCTGTGAAGGATTCTCCACTGACCTGGACGTTCTACATCTACAAACATCGAACAATACTCCTGGATTCAAACCATTCACTAAAGAAATAAAAGATGTTTACTGTGTTTGCACGGGCTTATGGAAACCAAGGAGACCTTTGGGAGAACTCGAGAGCAGATCAGTGCAAGCCTGAGACCGAAGGTCAAGGATTGCATTTACTCCAGAGGCCAACACTAAGGAACATCTTCTGTCCTTCTAGAATGCTGATGCTCCGGGAGCGTCGTTTATGGATGCAGACAATGCCAATGCAGGTAACGACCTTGCAGCCAAGATTCGTGATGACCCACTGTTTATGATAAGGAAAAAGGAAAATGAGAAAAAGAAGGAACTGTTGAAAAATCCGGTTCGTATGAAACAATTGCAGCAAATGTTGAAGTCAGATTTGGCAAAGAAAAGTAAAAAGAGTAAGAAAGATAAAAAGAAGAAGAAAAAGAAGAATTCGTCGTCGGATGAAGAAAACAGAAGATATCAACACCAGTAAGTATACGTAGACTGAAGTGAAGCATATTTTAAAGATTTTTGCCATCTGCCTGCAAGATGAATAGTTTTGCAAACAAAAATTAAAGAACATTTCTAGATACAGCCCTTTATCAAAACAGTTTAAAACGAAGACCAGGCAAATTCTTCACAACAGTAAACGTCTTCCTCGTAGTTTTATCCTGCTGTACGTCATGCTTATTGTTCGAATCTCCGTTTTTAGACAAAAACATTCTAGTAAACGAAAGCAAAAAAGTTCGCTATCTGGTGAAGAAGCAGAAGAACGCCATAATGGATTTTTAAAGCGTGCTGAAAGAACCATCAGAAGAGACGATGAATGGAAACGAAACGGACATAATCATCAAGATTTTGACAAAGGTCACGAGCATAAAGAAAACATTAAAAAGAACAGCAAACGAAGTAATTCTGAGGAAAGGAGGCAAAGATACGAACGCCAAACGAGTGAAGACCTTCGCCGTTACAGCAATGAAAAGATGGATATTTCTGATCGTCATCGAAAACGTAATTTACTATCACCTAAAAGACAACATTTGCGGCGAAGTTCAAGTAGGGATCGTTCTCGCAGTCCTGTAAAGAAACGTCACATTGAGGAGAAAGATGAGAAACGGGAAGAAAGGGAAAAATTTCACCAAAGAAGAAGGAATCGTAACAGACAAAAATCTTCATCACCAAATCATCACCATCGTGTACCATCAAACGTTGAAGAAAAGCGTAAATTCAGGGCACACGAACCGAGGTTTGTGCTGGCTTTATAGTAATTACAATATATATGATTATTACATTTTGGTATTATGGAATTTATGGTTTTTAGTGGTCGTTTGTTTTTTACATGGTGATTTTATCTTCTAGTAAATTGACGGACAAAGAACGAGAGAGAAGACTTGCACAAATGATGGACAATGCAAAGTAAGAAACGAACATCTATACGTTCGTACTTTTAAATCTTTTTTATTTTTTGCTTTGATCATTTTAATCGTAGATGGAGAGATGAACAAAGAGGGAAGAACGTTAAAAGATACAAAGTATGTCTGATATTTCATAGCTATAGCTTCAGGTTTTTAGTATTCTGTGTTTTATTTTTTATCAATGTACTCTTAGGAAGAAGACGAGGCAGAAGCTAAACAGACTGCTCTCAACACCGAAAAAGGAGCGAGTTTTGTCCAGTAAGTTTGCGCACGCCAAATTTTCTCAAACTTTATTAGCTTGAACAAATTGCGGCACTGACTGACACTTGGACAAATTGTCAACTCGAAACGACTTTTTTCATTTCAAATAGGCCTTTAAAAGTTGAAACATACACAAGTGCATCTGCCTCCGTCGAAAACAGAATAAAAAGAAATATCAACTCTTTGCAAAGGACACCTGCAGCCATGGAAAACTTTCTTAAAAAGTAGATCAATAGAAAGTAGGTTCAATGTAAATTTATTTGATCTGAATGCCAACTAGTAGCCGTAAGATCTATTTTTTCTTCTGTCAAACTTGAACAGTCTTTTTACGATGTATAAAATGTAAATATTCATCTAAAATGAAAACTGGCACTAAGATCACATGAAAATCTTTTAATAATCGCCATATTTGATAATGATATTTTAGAACTCTCACCCTTTGCGTATTTATTAGCATAAAGAAAAATATAATCTTGAATCTCTTCCTTAATTTTTAACTCGAATACAGCAATAATGAGTTAGTCTAGAGTAATGATGGCCTGGCGTTATTGTACTATCTGTGGGTTCAACACCTACATGGTATTTTAGCATTGAAGCAAAAGCCATTTTTAAAAATGCTTGAAAGAAAAGTGTTAAATAGAAGTTCCAATTTTTTAGTATCTTGAACGTTTAGCTCAAGAGAAACAGAATCGCCTATAGCCCACTTGACTGTAGGTACGAATACCTTTGCCAAAATTTCTCATTAAAAAAAAATTTAGAATAATTAACGGAAATATTTCAACCAATCTTCTACCTTTTGCATCTTTTCTATCATTCACCATCATCCGTCATCTTCAAGACACTTCTGTAATATGCACGTTGACTTCAGAGGATGCAGCTAGGCGAACAGTTTTATGAGACAGACTAGGTACGAACCGGAGTTCGAGCGTTGAAGGTCTGGATGGTGACCACCATACTTTTGCTGCTGGTTGATGATGCATGAAAAGATTTGGAACTTTTACATATTTTTGTAACATAACCATACATAAGCAATAGTATACTTCATGTAAGAAACATGCAACGTCTGCCTATATGTTATTCTAAGTCTATCTTTTGAGATTTGCAGTTGTATTTCATGCAATATAAAAAGGGCCTATTTTCTACTCAATTAGACAAGCAACACAGAGAACAAGTTAAGTCAATCTGTGATATCTTACTTCCTCGTACAATGAATTTCAACATATAAAAAAGTGTATTTAGAAATCTATGGTAAGATACGTCATAACTGACCATCGTGTCTGATCGTCTGTTTACACCACAAACATGATGTGAAAATGATCAATGAATTTATGTTGCTCACTGTTCAACAAACGTACGTGACCATGTATAACTTTATATTTACTCAGCCGCAATTGTTCGGACTAAATTACCCTTTCTAACTAAGAATAATCATATTCAACATCATATAGCGACACTCGTTTCCAAAACGTTTCCTCAACAGCAACAATAAATGGCAAAACTTCAAATCAACAACTTAACGATATTATGAGTATAAGCAAACAAAATAACGCTTGCTTTATTTGATGGGTTGAACAAATGTTATTGCTTGATGATTTTTGTAATACCATAGAACACTGGTCATGTCTTTTGTATTTTACGTACCTTAAATAAAGGGAGAACATTGTTCTTTTGTTTAGAAACAATACCTATTGTTTTTTAAACTATATTTAATAGATATCCAGTAACGATATCCAGTAACGGTGGGGAACAAATCGATAATTATTTGTATAACACCATACATAAAGATGTTATTCACTTCAAGTATATGAGTTTATTAAATACGAGGCGTCATGGTAAACACTTGCCGTTTATATGAAGTTGAACAAGGCTACTTGAAGTCAACAAGTATGACGAAATTAAGAGATTTTTGGTTGCGGAAAGCATAGTACATTTGGTGCATTAACTGGAGTAGGCGACGAGTATCGTTCAATTTTTTCTCGTTACCAAAAGACTTCTTATTGGATTACAGATGTATTTGTACATGTTGATAAACAAACAACGTCCTTATCTCTGACTGCTACTGAACAAGAAATAGAAACAATGACCATGGAGAAATTTGTTAAAAATATTCTCGTTCAAAACAGCTGAAGTCAATGTTTGGTCCAGCGGTTCTTTATGAAGAGACGTTCAGTTGAAAATACCTTACTTAAATGTCGATGAAGAGCAATGCACTGGACGGCAGAGCGAGTGAGCAATCGAAGTACAAAAAAAGAAACGAGAAATTTGGTTAGTAATTTGAAGACTACCTGGTAATACTGGAGCTGAAAGTTTAGAAAAACCGATCAAAAGCAAGACAAACTATTTATCGTTCATTGTGAAAAATTAGGGTTGTTGATATATGAAGCAGAGGGAGAAACCAAGTAAAATTTGGGAGCAATTCTCTAAAGACAGCCGCATTTTGACTTTTAAAGATTTCACTACAGAGTTGGGGCGACGTCAAGTAGATACTGAGGATAAAAGTGTATCGTGAAATTTACAGTCGAAAAGAAGAAACGTAGTCGTACACATGACAATAATTCTCCAGTTTTAACTTTGTGTGACTTGTGAAATATTTACGGAGAAGAAATTTATACCTATGTAATATGTTATGAAGCAACAGTTATTAAGAAGCGTCGGACTACACTAAAGCATCTTCTCGTGAAATGCTCCTCATATTCAGCTATAAACGTTCGGTGCCTTCAGAAAAGCTGTTAGCAGTCATAAACGACACTAAGCCAGAAATTTACTCCTCAAACTTCAACTTCTTTGAAGTGTTTGTAAGGCGATAAGAAAATTTACAATTGCTTTTTGGAGAAATGCCATTTTGAAACCTGTTACAGATATATCTGGTTTGATATAATTTATGAAAGTATAGGTCGCATGGCTAAAAACTGTTGATGTATTGTTGTTGGGTTCGAATAAATTTTTCGTGCTTTCTTTCTAAAATTTACCCTTATAAAGTTCTCATAAAAATCTCAACATTTTATAGATTGATCCTACTATAATTTTTGGCTTATTTCATTGATTATCTCTTTACAGAATACATATTTTTTTATTTGCTGTATTAAAATGTATAATAATAAATACAATAAATTTTCGGTATGTCTCCGTCGATCTGCGTGGTCGAGTGGTTAGATACAGGTTTCACAGGTTGAGGTGTGAGGTTCGAATCCTTCGAGGGTCAGTTGATGTTGGGCATGGTGTGATAGACATTAGACTTGCAACGAACAAGGGCCGTAAGTGTGAGAGTGATGAAGTTGGAACAGTTGAGGATGGTAATGTTGTGCACAAAGTGCGCAATTGGCATTTCTATTGTTGAATTTTTCGAGAATGGAATGCGACACTTAGAAATAAAATCGAAAAAAATTAGGGATACCCACAAAATTTTTTGGCCGAAAAAAACTAAGTCTTTTGATCAAATTTTTCTATGACTCCCTAGAAGTTAGGGAGTCATATTTTTAATAGTCAAGAACCTCAGAGCAAACAGATCGCCCTTAAACTCTCTCCTAACCTCAACCTTGCACTCAATCCTCAAGCTACAACCCATACCAGCACCGACACAGGGACGAACCAAGAACCTCGTGCATTGGAGGTCAGTCAAAGCCCGTTGAGCCAGAAGCTCAACAACGAGTACTACAGGATTTTGGAAATATTTTACCCTTTTCCTTAATAGAAAGACATATATATATATATATATATATAATTAAATACCAATAACATTTGATTCTGAAGATGACTACCGCTAAGGTTATCGAAACGTCAGTCAACAACAACAAAAACAGTCTTTCTAGGACTTTATTAACCTGGACGACATGATTTACAAACAAATACCAATAACATATCAATTAAACGTTTCAAATAAAACAGCATTTAATAGTAGCCTTCATCACTTATGGCTTTAAAAATGTTTGGCAAATGCCTTCGACGGGATCAATAGTGACGATAGAACTATAAACACAAAAACTTGCTTCGCATTGCTTTAAAGCAATTCATGTTTCTCACATGAAGAAAGAAAGTTAGTAAAATATGAACAATGTCATACACTGTCATGAGCTGAAACATGGCAATGACGTGAATGTCCTTGGTCCATATTTCCCATTCAAAGGCGATCGAATAATTTAGGTTCGACTTTATAATATCGACCTTATTTCTTCGAACACATTGAATGAATGACTAAGCAACCAAGAAAATGCTTGCTTTATGAGATATAGGCTGAATAAATTTTCATTGTTAATGATTTGCGTAATACCAAAGAACAATTACTAATTATCATTTGTATTTTACGTATACTTAATGATGGGAACATAGTTCTTTTGTTTAGCAACACTACCTATTGTTCTTTTACGATTTTCTTTGATAGATATCCGGTAGTTTGTTTAACTACGAACAATGGATGTTGAACAATCATGTGGAACAAATACATAATAATATGCATATCACCATGCAACTAAGTTGTTATTCTCTTTAAGATTTTGGCACTTATGAAATACGAGGCATCACAATAAGCACTTGTCTTTCGTACAAAGTTTAAGAAGACTACACAGAAGAGCAAGTACAACGTGCTCAAAAGATTTGGGTTTGTGCAAAGCAAAGGAAAGTTGGTGCCTTAACAGGAGTAGACGACGAGTATCGTTAATTTTCTATTCACTCTCTAAAGACATCTTATTTGAGTACCAATGTATTTGAACGTGTTGATCAATAGAAAATGAAGATCGTCAATATCTGTGGATGCAACTGAACAAGAAATGAAAGTTATATTCTAGATGAAACTAGTAGAAAATGATCTCGCTAAAAACAGCTAAAGTCGATGGTCATTTTTGGTGCTTTCTTTGATAGCACAAATCATAAAATTAAAATAAACAAAACTGTAAAGAATTATATAGAATCAAAAGCACTTGCGTAGAAGAAACTGTTAGAGATGCTACAAGCAAAAGCGCAAAAATTTCATGTTTATTTTCACTTTAAACGTTGTTTGAACATCATATAACAGCGTTAAGTTAATTTTTCATATTTCCATCTTTAAACTTGATACTTAATAAGCTATTTAGCCTGTTTCTTACAATGATTAAAAGAAAAAGGTTATATAGGAGTTCCAAAATACATTTGTGTCGAAAACATTTAGCTCAAAAGAAATACCCTCGTCTTCCGTGCACTTGACTGCAGGTTCAAAGTGCATTGGCTAAACTTTTTCGTGAAAATTTATGGAGAAAAATTTGGAAAGAAATTTAAATTACATGATTTTCTTCACATGCCACTATTATCTCTTGTCTTCACATCTTTCCATTTACTCTCTTCATCACTACTCTCTATCATTAACCATCATCAACTATCGTTAAGACTTGCACATTGATATTTGTGGATATGGTTAAGCGTTGCATCTTTCAAGGTAACAGGCAGGCTTCGAACCGGGACGTCTAGCGGAGAAGGCACAGATGGAGGCCACCATACTTTTGCTGCTGATCGATGATGCATAACAAAATTTGGAACTTTTTACATATTTTTTGTCAAGTCACAATACAAGAAACCCAGGATACTTCATGTAAGAAACATAAAACATATACACATATGGTATAAGTCTACATTGCATTATAAAGAAACCCTCTACATTTTATTTTATTCTACTAACAACACGATGAGAAAGTAAATAGATCTTTTTATTTGACTTTTTCTTACCATGAATTTCTATATACAAAAGTGTATTTAGAAATCCATTGTAAGGTATCTCATATTTGACCTTGACTTCTGATCGTCTGCTTACACCACAAACATGATTTACAAATGATCAATGAATTTATGTTGCCCGTTGTTCACTAAATGCACATGATCATTTGTAGCTGTATTTACGAAGCCGGCAGTGTTC